TCAATACACCGTGCAATGTCAATACACCGTGCAAAGTCAATACACCGTGCAGAGTCAATACACCGTGCAAAGTCAATACACCGTGCAAAGTCAATGCACCGTGCAATGTTAATGCGCCGTGCGAGTACGGCGCCGGGGTCTACATACCGGGTCAATCGCTGGCACTTGGCCACTGGAAGCCTTGGCGATGGTAGGACGCAGGCCAAGGTAACGCTGAGCACGCTTGAACTGATCCAAGAGGGTCTTCTGCTTCACCAGTCGCTCTTGCTGCTTCCTGGCCTTGGCCGCCTTGTTCTTCGCCCTCTGCGCCTCGAACGAGTCCTCCATGAGCTGCTTGAAGGCGTCCAGGCCGAGTGCATCGAGCGGCGGGCGTTCGGGCTCGCCCGCAGCGCCGAGGTCGGGGTCTGGCACGTTCCCGAGCATGTCGTCGTAGTCTTCACGTGACTGCGAGCGTCCCAGGAACCGTGGAGTGCAGCGAGGGTGATCAGGGAAGCGACTGATGAGGGCGTCCTCGCGCTGTTGGGGCGTGATGCAGAGGTCGAGCTTCAGGTGGTGGTTGATCTCGCGGAGAAGGTCCTGGACTTGGCTTTCGAGGACGAGGATGAGTGGCTTGGCGAGGCTGTCGATATCCCAGACGTAGTAGCTGCGGTGGAGGTGAGTCGGGCTCTGGTCTGGTAGGAGTGTGGGGCACTCACAGGTCCCACTCGCGCGCCCAGAACTTGCCCTGGTCGAAGAAGGCAGCAGCGACGTCTTGAGAGCGACTCTTGTTGCACCACTTGTAGGGGTACTTGGCCAAGGCTACTATGGGCGTGTAGTGGTGTGTGGCTGACCCAAGGTCGCCACGGTTGAGGTTGGTGGCGGGGAGAGGGGCAGATGGGTTGGGAGGTGAGGTTGAACTGGGAGGTGAAGTTGAACCGGGCGGTGAAGTTGAACTGGGCGGTGAAGTTGAACTGGGAGGTGAGGTTGAACTGGGAGGTGAGGTTGAACTGGGAGGTGAGGTTGAACTGGGAGGTGAGGTTGGACTGGGAGGTGAAGTTGAACTGGGCGGCTTGGGCATCGACCTTGGGTTGTAGGCGCTTTCAGTGTCCCTCGGGAAGATGGGTCGGCCGTCAGTGTCGCTCAGGAAGATGAGTCGGCCGTCAGTGTCCGGCTCAGTGGTTGGTGTGGGCTCAGGATCAGGCTGCACGACGGCTTCTGGTTGTTTGCTGGCTTTGCTGGGTGCGTCGACAAGGTCCAGGGCTACACCACCAGAAGCGTCACTGTCGCTGATGACGGGCTCTGCTACTGGTCGGTCAGGCAGTGCGGCAAGGTCTTGTTGGAGGGTCCTGCGCAAGCGCTCGAGCCGTGCTGCGGAGGCCATGGTGGGTGGTGTTGGGGAAGATGACGGGGCGGGTTTGCGAGGCAGAGGCGAGACAAACGCAGCTGCGGAAGGCAAGCAGCAAATCTTGATGGTGAGCATGTCCAGGATGTCCAGGACGTCCAGGACGTCCAGGTCGTCCAGGACGTCCAGGATATCGAGGATTGTTGATGGGCCATGTTGAGTGATGGGGAAGAAGCAAGTGTTTGAGCAGAACGGCAGCAGCAGAACAGCAGCAGCAGAACAGCAGCAGCAGAACAGCAGCAGCAGAACAGCAGCACCACGAGAGCAAAAAGGTTACGAGGGCGATGATGCAACAAACTACAAAGAAACGACGCCGAAAACTCACAGGATGCGGAGAGCTACAGAATGGCCCACAAAGATATCGCCGGCGAGGTCCTGGCTGAAAGCGCACCTGCCATGCGCCGCACATGAGTCGTGGTCGCGGTCTTTTGCATGGCAGGGAGAACGCACACTGGTGGGTCTCGACGACAGGCACGACGGCCAGTCGTATACGACTTTACCCGCTTACTATAAGATGTGGCTGCTGGGGCGCAGCGGTGCCTGGCCGCTTGCTCCGACCGTCGACGGGGTGGTTCGCGCTACCGCAATGTACAATGGGTACCGGTGCCTACCCAGACCCGGGCCGGCAGCCGCGCCAACGTCGACCGTCTCTGGCGATGCTGACCATCCGCCTCTCCGCCCAGCACAGCACCACGACCCAGCACGCTGTCGTCCGCCGTCCGTCCCCGCGCCGCCCCGATTCCGCATTCCGACAGCATCGACGCGTGGCTGGAGTGTCTGACGCGCGCATCGGCCGCCTCTCAAGCAGGACACTCCCCGCGACGGCGATGCACCACGGCGCCCGCCATGGCCGACGTAGAAGACGCGCCCGCGGTGCCGCCGCCGGCGCCCAACCCCGACGCGCAGACGACGGTCAACGACTTCCTCGACTACACCGAGTTCTTCCCGTCGGACGTGGTGCGCAGCCTGACGCTGATGGGCGACCTGGACGCGAGCTGCGCCGATGCGGTGCAGCAGATCCACGAGCTGGCCGCCCTGTACTGCTCGCTGCCGCAGCTGCCAGAGCGCGCGCGCCCGGACCCGGCCCAGCTGCGCCGCGACATGGCGCGCCAGCTGCAGCACGCCATCAGCCAGCGCGAGTACGCGACGAGGGAGGCCGACCGCCTGTACGAGGTCACCAAGCGCCACTGCCAGCGCGCCGCCATCATCCGCCGCCGCCTGCAGGCCCAGCCCGAGCCGCCGTCGCGCGACCCGACCCCGCCGCCCGTCTCGCCCACGGCCGTCCGCCGCACCTACGAGCGCACCTACGAGCGCGCCTACGAGCGCCCGCGCCTGCACCTCGGCTTCGACCCAGCCCGCCACAACTACCGCAAGTCGGCCGTGCCGCTGCCCGGCCGCCGCAGCGGCTCGTCATCGTCCGACTCGGACTCGGACTCGGACGCCGTCGGCACGCTCGACCGCGCCCGCGCCTACAAGGCCCGCGCCTACAAGGACCGCGCGCAGAAGCCGCGCTCGCGCGCCCCGGGCGTCGCCGGCACCAACGTGCACAGCTCCATTGCGGGCATCTCGACGAGCAATGCCCTCGCCAAGCTGACCCCTCCGCCCGCCGACGCGCGCCCGGGCAGCAAGTGGGCGCCGTGGCTGAAGCTGACCGAGTACGAAATGGCCGTGCTGCGCAAGCAGATGAAGAAGAACGCCGTGTGGACCCCGAGCCTGACCATGGTCAACCGCGAGCTCGAGCGCAAGCACCGCACCAAGCGCCACTACGACCGCGAAAAGGCCCGCTGCGAGGCTGCCGGCGAGCCGCTGCTGGACGAGGAGCCCGAGACGCTGCTGCAGATTGCCACCGCCCAGGGCCTCGACGACCCGGCGCTGACCGCCACCGCCAACGCCGCCGACGGCCTCGTTGCCCCCAGCGATGGGCCCGCGCCTGCGCGCGACGAGAGCGTCGACGTGCCCGACGTGCCCGACGGCCCCACCGACCGCGACTCCCGCCGGCAGAAGGCGCGCGGTGCGCTGCGGGCCCTCGAGGACGCGACCAAGACGATCCAAAACGCCGCCGACGGCCTCAAGGAGCTGACCTTTTCGGCCGTCGCGAGCCCGCCCGCGTCTGTGCAGCGGAGGAAGCCGACTGCGCGCCCGGCCACAGCCAAGCGGAAGCGCGACACAACGCCGCCGCCGCCGCCGCCGCCGCCCGCTGAGTCTTTTGCCGAGCCGGCCAAGGAGACCGACGCTGCAGACAAGGACTCGTCGACACAGCCGCCCGAGCCAAAGCGCCCGCGCCTGCAGCTCATCGCCCCAGCACCGCCGCCCGAACAGGCGCCCGCGACGGCAGCACCGCCTGCAGACGCACCAGCGCCCGGCGTCCTGGCCACACCAGCCGCACCCTCGCCCAGGCCCCACATGCCCGTCCCCCTGCCAGACACCTTGTCCAACACGGTACCAGTGCCGCTTGCACCTGCTGGCCCCAGCACACCCACAATCAACAAGGCTAAGCCAGCGCGGCCCGGTCGGCAGCCCACGCCTGCCGAGCCGTCGCCCGCAGAGCCTCCGAGGTCCTCGCCCAGGGTCGCCGTCCCAGCACCAGAGGAGGCATCCGCGCTGCCCTCGATCACGGCAGCCTCCACGGCAGCCTCCACGGCAGCCCCCACGGCAGCCCCCACGACAGCCCCCACGCGCGCAGGGCGCAAGTCCATCACGCCCAAGGACTCCAGCCCGCCTCCAGTCGAGCCATCCAAGCCAACACGCCCGGCCGCATCCGCACTCCAGCGCCCTGCATCGCCCGAGCCGTCCATTGCCCTCCGCCCCCGGCGCTCCCGCAGCCACGTGCCCACCCCGAAAGCGCAGAGCGAAGAGCCCAAGCCCAACAAAGGCCGCCCCGTGCGCGACACGCGCCGCCACAGCATCTTTGGCCAGTCGACCCTGGCCGACGCGCCGCCGACGCGCGTGAGCACCCGCCGCAAGCCGCCGCCCAAGGGCGAAGTCACGTCTGCCGCGAACGGCCAGAAGACGGTGACGCACGTCAAGCGCTCGCAAGGCAGCAAGAACCAGGAGAAGAAGCCCCCCGGCGTCGTCGGCGGCGAGGGCAAGCCGGGCCACTTTGAGGAAGAGGTCGACTCGGACGAGGAGCGCTACTGCATTTGTGACGATGTCAGCTACGGCCAGATGATCAGCTGTGACAACAACGTGAGTCTTGACTTGTTGCCCTGCACTCAGTCGAGACGTGCTGACGACGCCAGTGCGACAAGGAATGGTTCCACTTTGAGTGCGTCGGCATGACGCAGATGCCCGCCCGCCGCGCAAAGTGGTACTGTCCCGACTGCCGCAAGAAACTCGGCTCCGACGCCTTTGGCAACCCCCTCGTGCCGCCGGCTCTCCCGGGCAGAGGCAGGGGTAATAGGTATGTCGCCGGATTTCTTGAATTCGACTTGTGCTGACTCTCAAGGGGCTGGAGCACCTAGGAAGGCTGCAGTATCGAGGGCTGGACATGTAGGAAGCCCTGCAGTATCGAGGGCTGGACATGTAGAACGCCCTGCAGTACCGAGGGCTGGACATGTAGCAAGCCCTGCAGTACCGAGGGCTGGACATGTAGGAGGCCCTGCAGTATCGAGGGCTGGACATGTAGGAGGCCCTGCAGTATCGAGGAAGGCAGAGTACGTAGGCCTGGACATGTAGAAAGCCCTGCAGTGCGTAGGAAGGCAGAATACGTAGGCCTGGACACGTAGAAAGCCCTGCAGTGCGTAGGACCGGGCATCATGTGGCGAGGAGTATCCAGGGCGAATGGCGTTAGTTACCGAGGATATTGATACCCTTGCCTTGCACACGGCTGGGGCTCGACGAGATAGGGCAGTGCACGATATACCAGTCCAGTCTAGCAATCATAATACCATTTCATCATCCTAGCCCTCGCTCCCAAAACACGGACCGCTACACGGATTCACGCACCCTCGTCGCACACGCAGCGGCATGTAGAAGCCCGACCCAGATTCTCCAACCCTGTGCAAGCACGATCACAACACGACGAAGCCCGGCTGCACGAGCGCAGGACTGCAATAAAAACACCAGCACACCCGCCTCGCATCTCCAAACATGCCTGCGTTGTTTGTTCGTACGTTGTCTATTCGTGCGTTGTTTATTCGTGCGTTGGCGGGAGTGCTGCGGGTGGGATTCAGACGTGATTGGGATTGGTGCTTGGGGATGCGAGTCAGGGCTATGTGTTGGCTGCGTGAGAGACGCCTGACGCTATCAACAAAGACTCGCGGTGCGTGTACAATGCCATTGTGTTGAGCGAGCTGCTCCCCATCACTATTGAGAGAGCAGAGCATACGCGCCCTGACGGTACTGTATTGCTAACGATTGAGCGCGTGCACCGAGGACTCAGGATCTGGGTGCGATCGGAGGCAGTGGCCATGGTCGGGCTTGCATCGGCGACGGTGCGCAGCAGGTGTGTGGTGCGTTCAAGGCGGAAGAAGCGCAACATCCAGACGCACCGCGTTGACTCTGCTTGTACGCAGGCGGCAGGCTTTGGGACTGCTGCGGCTGCTGTGCTTGCGGCTGCTGTGCGTGCGGCGGCTGCGGCTGTGGTGCGGGCATGGGCGGCAATGGAGTCATGTGCTGCACAAACGCCGGCAGCTTGTCCGCCATCTTGGCGTAGTCTGCCCACGTGTGTTCTGGGAGGTTAGAAAAGGTCGTTCCGTTTGTCAGAACGAGCACGTAGGCATTGGCCTGGGTGGGCATGAGATGCACAGCCTGCCCTAATCAGCCGCGATTCGCCAACGCCGCGGTCAAACTCACAGCAATGCCAGTGAAATTCGAAGAGTCCTCGAGGAACTTGTTGGTCCCGCGGATCCCCTCCCACCCATCACCACCGGCCGTGCCAAGCCCACTTCTTGCATCCACCTTGGGCAGTTTGAAATCCCAGCATCCACCACCAGACACGGTGCGCATAAAGTACGCGCCGTCGCTACCCAAGCTGACGAAACACGGCGCTTCGTAGCCATCTGCTCGCCACAGAGTGCGCCACTCATCCTGGCTTTCCAGACGGCCCAGAAGCGCTTTCTCGAGCCTGGGCGGAACGTTGCTCCAGCTCGCACTCGTCCGATCCCAGGCATAGTAGCTCTCATACGGACCGATTGCGATGCTGAGCGTGGCCAAGTCCCGAATCACAGTTGGGTGGGACGCGTACAAGTACTCGACCAGTGGATTAGGGAGGTTGTAGTGCTTGCACGCGACGGCGCCGTCGTGGTCGCGGTAGCTCACAAAGTAGGTCTGGTTTGGGCCCAGAGCGAGCTCGATTACATCGCGGATGGGCGGCGTTTTGGTGAAGAGGGCTTCTACGTCTGCGGGGAGGTTGTGCCATGCCCAGTGTGTGGGGCTGTTGAAGAAGTACGACTCTTTCTGGCCCAGCACGAATGTCGTTGAGATTGCCATGCTTAGAGACGGAACGCTGGAGGGGTATCACGAAATATAGAGACCAAGTAGAAAATAGGAGCGCGAACGTGTAGATAGAGGGGGCATCATGATGCTGTCAGCAGTCGACGTTCAAAGTGGGGGCCTGGCGGCTGAGCCGCGCTCGCTTGAAATTGCCGAAAGCTGGGGAAGCGCTGCTAATCCCTGCAGGTAGGTCTTCCTTATCAGAAATGTGGACAACCAAGACTCGTTAGCTTCTCCTTACTACATCGCGTTATCCCGTACCTTGGCTGAAGTAAGCAACCCTGCCATAACATCGCATCACGTGCGATCAGGCCTACCCATCGAAAGCGGTCGAGAACAACCTGTCCTGAATTTGCACCGGCCTTCACATACTTTGTGAGTTCAGAAGGGTGTAAAACCAGACCAAAAGGTGCGATCTTTCGTCATCGTACCCCTCATTCGTGTCGTATCCAATCTTTCACGAGCATCTGCAGTGAACGCACAGGAACGGAAGCTTCAGTACGGGTTGCAATGAGGGGACACTGACAAGAAGATGGTGCTGGAGACTGGGATGGAGGTGGAAGATATACTAGAGGGCGGCGACATGATAGTCCTGGATTGTGGTAGATGGCTGACTGAAAGTTCTCACTGGAACGGAATGATTCTATTGCCTATGGCGACAATCTCTCAGCTGCTTATTTACAACTCTGTAAGCCCAAACTGTCTCATGAGCAATGACCAGGATCAGACTTCGAACAATCAAGCGTATGACCGGACCGGGGTACTGTTCGGGCACCTTTCAATACCGACTTCACCTTTTGACTCTTCGTTTCAAGGCCAACATACCTAGAGCGCACTGCAAACAGAGCTAGGACCCATTGCATTACTCCCACCATTGTCATTGGTCACCCGCTGGCAGTCTCCAGTTGCACTCACACCCACACAAGCAGTGACCTATCTGCATTAGCATCATCAGCCACACCTCTCGCCTTCCAGACCCTCTATTCACCTTATCGGCGCAGTAGTTCTTGCTGTAAGCACTCAGTTGCTGTCCACTTCCTCCAGACCCAGTGATGTGGAGGGACTGGAAGCCTCCGAGCGGCGCGCAGGAGTTGTCCCATACGTTTCGGCTCCCGGCCGTGATCTTGCGGTTGGTGTCGGAGAATAGGTCGACGATGACGGCGGAGCTGAAGGCGCTGAGAGAGAGCAGAGCGAGGATGCCGGTGGTAGTGTGCATTGTGGCGAGTTTTAGTATCTTGCTTTGTTAATGCTGGTCGTGTGAGTCTATGGTGTTGAGAATGTGTGAGATACTTGGTGGTGGATGGGAAAGCAGATGAGATAATGCTTTTTACACCGTGAAGCTACTTAAGGTAACTCAGCAGTGAACGCTAGGTTCGGTACCCGATGCTAAAGGTCTACAGACTTCAGACACCGCGAATCTGAATCTGAGTCGGGATTTCCACCCTTGTTCTCCGCGTACGCGTGGTTCTAGGCTTGGTTTGTTCGTAGGTCTGCCTAGTATCGGACATGTAGAGGAGGCCTGAGGCCTAAGATTGGACCTCGCTAAGTATACCTTCCCCTACCATCTCGCGTTATGCTGCTAAGAGAAGTGAAAGCAACTTGGTCAACTCAGAAGTAGCAAGCCCCTGACGGAACATCGCATGGGCCGGTGCCCGGTTCAATCATATACATAGAGTAGTGTGATCTAGTGGCTGCAAGGTATCGAACGTTGACAAGTATCAAGCGGTGATTAATTGTCAAACGAGGACAGTGATATACATTGCAACACTATCTCTCCAGTACTACAGAACATTTTCTTCCTGATGGATACGTAGAAGACTACCACAACGATGCCAGTGCGCGTAGAAAACTCGATTTGCATTCGTCCGATAAATTATCGACTCAGATCAGCTCCTCCATGCGGTGAACATCCGAGTGCCGCGTCCAGATCCTCAGCTTCTTGCCCATCCCAAAGTAGAGCGGGAATGCCAGCAGCGCAGGGCCGACAGCACAAGCAAAGATTATCATCGCCGGAGTCAACCACCCATCTTTGCTAGTATGAGCGACGTCGAAGACCCAATAGCTATACGAGAAGCCGATGAAATTTTTGCACACCGTCGCAACAACCATAATCTCACCCGAGATCGGCTTGTAGCAGTCAACCGCATAGGCAATGGCGATAGTAGGGACCGTGGTCACGCTCAAACCCGCGAGTCCGTAGCCCCAAACGACAATATGACCCCACGCCCATGTGTGCTGGTATGCGAGACCGCCGAGGATAGCTGAGAGCATAGTGACGATCATGTAAGGGAGGAGCGCCGGGAGCCGCATTTCGGCCTCTCTAAGTCCGCCATTTTTGCGTGTGGCGCGTGCAGCGACCCAATCAGAGAAAGGACCTGCAGTTGCGAGACCAAACAGAGCACCTACCGCGAAGGCGAAGTTTGTGTAGCCGACTTGGTCAGGCCGAAATAGGTATGGAGGTGCTGCGAGCACGGGAGACTCCGTGAGATTGAAGAACAAGAGCAGATCTGCAGGACCGGCAACCATCAGACCAGCCCATAGGATGATGGGATTGAAGAAGCATTTGACAGGCGTGAGCGTGTCACGGATGATGAAAGTCTTCCAACGCGGGTCTGGGGCTTGGAAAGGCGCGAACTGGCTGCGCGAGGGCCGACCGGTGGGGTGCGCCGTAGTCTTGAGGGTGTTGAGCTCAGCATCTCGGGTCTGGGTCGGTCGCTTTTCCAACTGAGTGTCTGAAGGTGCAACTCCAGGGGCAACGCTCTTACCTCGGAGCGAAGACTGGCTGGAAGATGCCGTGTTGTGGCTGCGGTGGTACTTAGTTTCAGGGAATGCGACGGCAACGAGGATGATCGAGACACCGGAAAGTGCAGTTTCAAGCCAGAAGAAGGCCTTCCATCCGTGATGCGCGGCGATGGATCCAGCCATGATAGGACCAAGGAAGGCACCCATGAAGTAGCTCGTGCTAGAACACGTTAGTAGTGATCCGAGGGTCAGTCTAGGATATTTACATGTAGACACCAGTCCACAGTCCACGCTCATGCAGGAAAAAGACGTCAGCGATCATCTGCACCGGTATAGTCTCGCTCGTAGCGCAGACAAGACCATTGATAGCTCGTGCAGCCAACAGACTTCGATGAGACGTAGCCAATGCCTGCCAGACACACGATAGCATGATGAGCACGGAGAAGACCAAACTGATGGCTCGTCGACCGAAGATATTGCTGAGAGGCACGATGAAGAAATTGGCGAACCCGAGCGTAATTACAGTAATGCCGGTGAGCATGGCCAGCTGGTTGTTGTTCAGGTGAAACTCCGCGCCTAGCAAAGGAAACATCGGTGCGATGGACAAGGCGCCAGTCACGGAAATCCAGGTGAACAGTCCCTGACTGGTCATCACAGCCACTGCATGTCTTGTCAGTTGGTTCCGAGAGGGTTCGCCGTCAAAACATACTCTTCCATGACATTGACCAATTCAGAGGATCGCGCGGATCAGACGAGGGTCTAGGGATGAGGACTTTCCCTACTTTTCCATCTGCAGCCATGATCTCCGTGCCTGGGATAAATTCGACATTGATCTGAGTCGCCATCTTGGTGTTCGATCGTCGTCGGTATTCTGGGAGTGGTAATCTGTATCTTCGTAAATGGGAGTCTCAACATGGAGCGACGCATGCACTTAAGTCTGCGTTTCCGATCAGAAATTCCACTTATTAGTGCGGGATGGGGCTCAGCTGCTGATCGCACACCATTATCGAAGATGGATACAGCGCCGGATATGTGTAGGAGTGCCGGTTGAGGTCTAACCACTCATATTCATATCTATTTATGGAGTCGGAGCATTGCATGCTGGCGACAGTGCTTCCGAGGCTTTTTATTGGCGGTAACTGGCGTTATGCCTTATGTTGAGGCTGGTGATGTGAGCTGAACTAAGCATGATGTGAGGTCGTGGAAAGCTTCCTCGTCAGATGCTTGCTTCGGGCAAGCAAGGAAATGGGGGGCGTTGCAGCGCAGTGGCCTGTACCTTGGTGATGTCTCGCCTGCTACATATGGGACAATAATCTGCATGTTTTCAGTATTGCTGAGGGATTGACGCATTCTCGCGCCTCTGCCCACGACGTGGAGAAGAACTAAGTCAATGTGAAGATTGCCTTTGCACAGCTTTCCGATTCCCGTCACGGGGAATCGACTCGAAGCGGTGTATCATTCATGATTTAGAAACCGGAACGAAGCTTGACCCCTTGCGGAGTATGGGCGGAGACCCACAACGGTGACATGTGGCTAACAACTACTTCGGAGTTGTAGGGTGGGGATGCGGGCCTCACGTCGATCATCCCGATGCCTGCGGGTTCAGATGTCTCTTGAGCCTATCAGCGACAATGAGCTGCAGATGCATGTAATTCGCGGACGATTGTTGGGCACACTTGGGGCTGGTGGACTCAATGCTCAAGAGAGTGCAGGAGCTTCGCCTTGGATTGCTCGACTGAGATAGGAAGATGACTAAGCCTCGCCTGCCGGGTTTCGCCCCCAATTGCACCGCCTTCAGAAGTCCGCCAACTAAATGAACGAGTAACGTCTGTGATGATCTACAGCTTCTCGAGTCTCTCCGTGGCAACATCCGATGTGCCCAAAAATATGCTCTTATCGACTCTGACCGCGTCCTTCCAGGGGAGCAGACGCTCAGACTCTGATGAGTTTGAGCTCTTTAACTGGACCCAACGCCTTGCGATATCTTGAGCCACGAAGCTCGGGTTGACCGTAGCATCGTACAACAGCACCGTTCCTGACACAACAACTTCGAGATGATCCAGTACCTCTCTTCCTCTGTACAGTAACTCGTGCTTGCTCTTACCATGAATGAGGTTCTTAAGTCCCTCCAATCGACCCCTGACCACCGAGATCTCGTCTTTGAGAACGCTGTTGCAGCTAGCAAGCACTCTCTGTAGCCACGGCGCGAGTATATTGCTTATCACGTCGCCATCACCCAGGCGCTTGTCTGTGAGCACGCGAACAACATCTTCCGCCATAACGCTGACCGTACCCTCCCAAATCGGATTGACGAGGTTATCCCGGTAGATCTTAGCGACGTTCAGCAGGCCGCCATCTTCGTTGTTCTCGCAGTACCCTACGCCACCAAGGCATTCCATGCATTGCCGCAGTCCACCCACGGAAGCTACGGATACTTGCGCCTTCATCACAGGAAGCAACAGCCTCAGAAGCAGCGCGATCTCGGTCTTGTCGCTGGGCACAAGGTCCGCTGCCTTTGTGTTCACCGCGACAGCACCATGCGACTGCTCGAGCGCGCCTTGTAACGCAACGCCGAAGAACGTGAAGTGAGCCGCAGCATGGTACTTCACCGTCTCTTCGGCCATCCAGCGTAAGTGCGCTGGGTTGTCCTGTAGGAGTCCACCACGAACCTTACGGACTTGACTGTACGCGCGACAAATTGCAAGGCCTCGCGACCAATTCCCTACACTTCCTGCCGCAGTGTAGAGACGTGTAATGTTCAGCACAGCTGCAATCTCGGCTACGCCGCGGCCTTCCGTGCCGATGAGCCAAGCTCGTGCTCCGCGGAGCTCAAGTTCGGCGGTGGGCAGTGACTTTGTGCCAAGCTTGTTCTTCAGACGCTGGATGCGAACACCGTTAAGTTCTGTTTCTGGCGGCGCTTCCAAGTTCACTATGTTCGCAGCGGCCAGACGATTACCCTTGCGCCGCCGCATGGGCATGTAGAAGGCGCTCAGTCCGTTTTCCGTTCGAGCGAGCAGAACGGCCATCTCTGAGTCTGTTGCACTGCTGAACCACTTGAACCCATCAATTTTCCAAGGTCCAAGCGGCATACCAACCGCGTCTTCGCCCCTACCCTCCTCTTCATCGCGCGCGATCTGTGCAGCAGTGAGTCGCGTGGCAAGCGTCTCGGTACCAGATACGTCGCTACCACCGCTACGCTCGGTCATCCATTGTCCGCTCGTCCATGCGTACTTTGGATCGCGGCTGGTTAGTCGGCGATATGCTTCTTCACACACGCGCACTCGTCCTGGCTGGTCCCCATCGGCATCTCTTAGATGCTTTGACAACAATGTGGCGGCGCCGTCGGTCATGCTCATCGGACAGCCAGTCATCGTACCCGTCACATACCAGAGGTGTCCGAGGCCAAACTCATAAACTCGTTTGTTGATGTGTGCCAGTTCGGGCGACTGGGAGTAGGCCACTGCTACTACGCCTTCAGCGTATCCTATCTCCTTTAGGCGCTGCCATCCTGATGTTGTCCAGAGCGGATCGTTACGATTCTCTTGGCCAAAGGTCGTCAAGGAACGGAGCACAGGGTGGTTCGTCTCCGCGTCCGTGGCATGCGCGAGGACGCGTGGGTCTAGTGCTACCCGCGCGACTCTATGAAGATGTGAAGTGACGGTTGCCTTTTTGGATGGCAGGTAAAGGTCCAGAATTCGGGCGAGCACTTTATCGTCTGCTGGAGAAGTATCACTCGTTTGATTCGTGGTCGAGTTGACATCAGAAGATGTGTACTGTGGTGGCAGTGCTGGCAGCGCTTGGAAAAACCCGGCGGTGGAGGAAGACGGTGTGGCTGACATGTTGAGCTCTGACTAAGCTTCTATCGTAGCTTTCAGGATTGCGAGAGGCATCCTCTGGGGTTGATTTTTATGTTGGTAAGAATATGGTCTGATGAAGGTACCCTGGCCTGAGCTTGACCCTAACCTCGGCTCTGACCCCGCAACGCTACAGTACGGTTAGCGATTCGAATGGGCGCCTCCAACCGGAGAAGGATCTTCCACACATGGACAATATCAGTAATCAACGATGGCCGTCAATATATCGCCCTAAAAGAATCTTCGAACATGACATCCGAAACCAGGGGGTGGCCATGTGGTTCGCAGAGCTTTTGCTAATCATTCCTCGCACATCGGCTTAGGTTCGCGATATGCTGCATCGTCGAAGGGAAATAGGACAATTTGCCCAAATCATACGAAGAGATCAAAGAGCATTTCTTGAGAGCGCCTTTATCATGACGCAATTGACCCCTTTTCTATTCCTAGGAAGTAACATTGTGACACTCGGTGTTGGCGAAACCTCCTACGAAATACTTCATGACATCCTCTACCCGGGTGTAAAGCGCAGACTTCTGATTTGGCCCAGTGTCAGGGATGAATATCGGTATTGACACAACGATACTCTGGCCCACGCAGATTATGCGCGGGATCAGTTTGCCCCGGATTGCGACGGTAAGCAGTCATCACAACTGATGAGCTTTGGTTTGGTCACAACCAGTTTACCAAAGTACATCTGAACAAGCTGATGGAATTGCAAGTGACCGTCTGTTTGTGACTTGTCAGAGGGGGCGCACTTGGGTGTAAAGATGCGATTTGATCCTGGTGGTGCTGCTGTAAAACCGGCTTAGTATACGTGTAGATTGCGGAATGAAATCAGTGATGGCGATCACCACATCAGTCGAGATCGGTATGCGTTAGAGGACGAAGAACACTCCTCCGGCTCGAGGTTTGACCGCAACGAAAGCTCGATAGGCTATCTCCGCATCTCGTGCTGGCTTCGAGCAGGTTAGCCAGGGAATTACAGGAGACATTGGTGCAGTAAACGGCATTGGCAAGTTCTTCAGCTAGAAGGTCACCGCGGGTGCTGTTCGTGGACGAACCACGGCTCTAGGGAGGCCAAACACAGCTTGGATGGACTTAGCTCGGTTATGTATATCTAAGCGTACCCCAAACCCGAACACCGCATATCAGGTCAATTACAGCTCCATGTTCTCTTCTCCCGCTTCGTGTTTCTCGTACACTCTAGTCAGATTCACACGGAAAGCACTCAGCTCCAGTGTCTTGAATCTGTTGTGCCTGTCTTGATCCCAGAAGACGAGATTGTTAATGGGAACGGCTGCATACAAAGGCCCTTCAATATCCGTTATGCAGAAATCATCCCAGATCTCGCGATCATGGTGGTTCCGATCCTCAACTGGCTGACCACGCCATTCTTCGCCCTTCTGATCCTGCGCGTTTCGGAAGAGGAGTGTCGGGACAAGCTGCGCGAAGCCGTTCTTCGGAATCCACTTGTTGACTTTGCCAAGCTCTAGAATGTCGGACGAGTTTGAGATGAACTCTTTTACCACAAGGCCACGTTCATCAGCGACTAGTCTTACTGTTGAGTTGAGCCTCGAATCCGAGCTCACGTATGTGCCCGCATAGCGGTCCTTCGTTTGCTGGACAGCATAGTGCTCGGCAGGGCGAACGAACTTGGTGACGATATTCTGAAGCTTCAGGAGCAGATCGCTGCTTCCAGCGACCAGGATCGTGAATCCTAGATCGTATTCGGGGGCCAGAATGATAATTGATGAGTACCCTGGCAGTCCACCTCCTTTGCTTATGAAGCGCACTGTGCGACGAGAGTCTAGCAGTACACGATCAGTATGGTAGATCTCCCAAGGTAGACCGTAGAACGAGTTGACGCCACGAGTTGGTGACACGGGATTGAACCAGTTCAAGGCGTGTGTAAGGCCATTGAACTTGCTCAGCGCGTGTCGCAGGTACTTGGACAGGTCAGTGGATGAGGCGTAGATGCCACCTGTAGGGCTTTGAATTCCTTCGTCAACGTCCCAGTAGTGATCACCAGCAGGTATGACACCGGCCTCGTCAGGTGGCTTGGACAAAGTACTTTTCTTCATATTCAGAGGCCTGAAGATGGCTTCTTCAATGTAGTTTTGATAGTCTTGGCCTGAGACTCGTTCAAGAACTATTCCCAGCAATTCAAATGCGATATTCGAGTAAGTCGATTGTTGGTTGGGTGCAAATATGGGTATCTGTGATTTGACGGCATCAAGGAGGTCTGCGCAGAAGTTTGTCAGTTGAGCCTCGATTGAAGTACTACTCATCATCCTCACCGCCCTCGTCGCAAACATTTCCGTAATTAGGCGAGTATTCATCACAGTCAATGAGACCTTCCCGCGACACTGGAGGCAGGCCCCAAGTTATGGGATTTGGGAGTCCTCCCTTGTCGAAGTTGAGCAAATCACCCTGAGCAACTACTGAAAGTCAACACTCATACCTTCAAGTGCCTGACACCCACTCCATTCAAGAGGGGGCCATGGCTTGCCGGGTTTCACACATTCTCGGGGTATGCCACTCAGCTGGCTGGCCAAACTTCGTAGCGTGATATCTTTCCATGGCAGGGTGCCTTTCTGATCTTCTTTGAGCTCCTTGATGTACTCATCCACAGGGTCATCAAGGCTCAGATTGCCCGCCTTCTCCTGATACAAGATACCGAGAACTGTGAATGTTTTCGTAATGCTTGCGATCCGATACAACGCATCACCATTGACTTCAGGGATATCGGGACGCGAGTCGTTTCGTTCGGTCGCCGTGTGGTACTTGGACCAAAGCGTTTCCTTCGAGGATGTTATCTCTACAGAGAAAGATGTCGCGGAGAACTCGGGCGCGGACGCGACGTTCACGATGGCATTACTGATCTCAGTGAAGGCATGTTTGAGAAGCTCGTCATCGGCGTCATAGTCAGGCAAAGGGTGAGCAATAGTAGGCTCGTGGCATTTCGCTCCGGCCACCGCAGCTAATGCAGCTACAAGAATGAGCTTCATGGCCCTGAGTGCACAGTGAAGATGAGGAGTGAGGCAAAGAGAGGGCAAGAGAGGGCAAGAGAGGGGAAGGGAAGCACGATGCGTTATCGATAAGCCCAGGACCGAAGGCACAGCACGAATCACCAGGCAACAACAACGGAAAAGGCTTGCGGATAATCCGCATACACACACACACACACAATTTATTTACGCCCGGCGGCCGAGCCGAAAGGGCTACTAATGATGATCTGCTACTACACTGCTTATGCTACATCGCGGCCTCACTAGCCCCTGTGTCTTCCCTGACTCGCTTCTCCATGCCACTTGTAATCCGCATACAGTGCCGGTCACAATTGGTTTCCGGTTTTGGTGTCAGCTTTGTTCTCATCGCACGGTCCATACGACAGGGGTTTTCTTTATCTGTGCTAGTGCATTGCATGGGTAACTGTGTAATGAATATCAAGTACTGTATACCTAATCACGGGCGGTAATCTTTCACCATCATCTACTAGCGTTAAGAAAAGAGGTTAAAATAGAGAGCTTGCGCAGACACGCTAATGGTTCTGTACGAATGGCTGCTTGCAAGGGAAGGCGCTCTCTGAATACGTTCGTCAAAACACTTCCAACTTTCATATAGCTACTTGGGCTCCTTTGTTGTAGACTTATCTAAGTAGGAAACAGCAATGTATACTGCTTCTAGTCGCACTTCTGAACAACAGAATCTGAAGAGCTAGCCATCGTAGGGCTTTCCGAAGACACGGTGGACCATGCTTCGTCTGAGTCGACAGCTAGCTCAGCATACATGTCAGTCAGAACTTCGACTGAAATCAGCCTCGAAGGATGACCTGCTCGCATAGTGCGAGATTTGATCTCCACCACGCGCTCCAGCAGCTCGACCGCCTTCTGCACCTGTCCGTCTGCTCGGTATGCTCTTGCGAGAAGCTTTGTGGTGAGGGACCCGTGCTGGTCTGCCCTTGAACGTCACTCCTCAACGTCAACTGTGAACCCACACGTACAGTACACGAGTTTGTCCTATAGTCTCGTTCACCACCTGCTTTTGCTACAACAGCATTAGACCCTTCTTCATCATGGCGCCCAATCTTGCCGAATCCCAGCATGTTATGATTCGTCACATTGCAACACACTGCTGATCACGTAGCCCATGTAGACTGACTGGCTGCAGCAAATCGGTGAATAATGTGGTCGGCCGTAGGAACAGACGAGGCTACGATCTCCGTTTCCGAAAAGTGATTGTTGATGCAGCAAGTGCAATGAGGATATCACTGCCAGTTGTCTCCTCCCCATACTTCCAGGGTGGCAGGCAACCTTTAGAACACTGATGTAGGCAAGGATGCAACCAGGGCAATGTACTGCTTTGGTCAGGTGCATGTATTAAAGCAGTAACCCTTACAGTCTCAGCCCCCACCTATAAGCTTGTAGTTCGCCGCTGTTCCAATAGACTGGGCGGCACGGCACTATCTTCACGCCTTCACTCGTCTCTGTCGCCAGTACCAGATGAGTAGTGTCAGGCACGTCAGCGGCACGGCACATACCCAGTACACCCAGAACTTGTCAGACACTGACCATCCACTACTGCCCTGCCCGGGCGTGTAGTCGAAAAAACTCATGCTGAAGATCGCCTGCTCAGCGTCAGTCAAGTGTCGTGCAAAAGCGGAAACTACACACCGACAAGAAGGTTGGAGGTAGGAAAGCCATCGTCACTACTGCAATCGTCCTCATGGCACCACTGTCACGCCTCGCTGCCTCTCCCAGCCCCGTCATGACCTGGCTGTCTCGCTGGGCGATCGTGTTGTACGCCTGACCAACTGTCAGCATCCATGTACCCAAAACCAAGTGAGTCGCCTACAAGAGCAATCTCGTTTTGCAGCCGCTCTTTGTTTGACAGCGATCGCAGGAGCAAGTTGCGAAGCATCCGCGCCTGGGCGTCCATGTGCATGCGTAATCGGTGTGACGCTTCCGGCCCGCCTCTGCTTGGCTGCTTGCTCTTGCCCGCAAGATACACGACATGTTGCTGCATAGCTTCTACCGTCTCGACAGATATGCTAAGCGTCTCAAAAGAATGGATGGCGTGACGTGCTGCCTCGTGCATCATGAGAAAGCCGTGGGATCCGCGGGCTGGAAGTGAGCGGTCCTAGTCCCTTGTTATCAAGATTGCGGATGTCTTCTCGCTTGGCCTTTACTTGCTTTCTCGACAGCCCGCACAACGTCGCGCACGGACCATACAGATGAGTCGTGCATAGAGACCACTGCCTCTAGGAGGGGTACATGCAGCGAGTACAGCTCCTCAGGCGACAGTGTTGTCTCTAGTCGATCAAGAGCATCTTGAAGCTGCGCCCCAAACAAAGAAGATGCACCAATGCACAGGATCGCGCAACGACCGGAAAACCACCGGGAACAGAAGGTCATCTCGTGCCAGGCGTAGCTTGAGCTGGCATCGTGAGCAGCCATTTTGACCAAGACGCGGAACCACGTGTCTGTGATGTAGAACGAGTGAGCACCTGCTTTTGATAGAGACTGCCAATATCTTACAGGAAGACTCAAGGTGTCCATCCTGATCAAAGGACTCTGCAGCGCTGAAGAATCCGTTTGAGCGCCGATACACTCCTGTGAGTAGTTGTCTAGGGATCTGGAAGAATCGTACGAGCTCTGGCGCAGGTTGTTTGCTTGCCGAGAACACGTCTTCTTCTATCAATCTACGAGGCGGTTACAGCGGAGTCTTGGCTTGTGGTCGAGTGAAGCCTACATGTACTGCTGGTCTGGGGCAGTAGCATCCTGCCTAGATGATTAGAAAACGAGCCGAGGAAATAAGATGGGCTGTATTGCACGTCTACGCATTGGTCGATACTCTTCTTCTCCGGCACCCACGCTCCCGATGCTGATGTTGCCTTAGTCTGTAGCCCATCTCAGGGTGGATAGCCGCTTACAGAAGTGCAAAACAGTGTGTAGCCACATAGGAGGGTGTTGAAGAAAGCTTGAAAACGTGTAATGTCCACGACAGCAGGCAGCTCTGAAAGGGTTGAGTGACCTGGTGCTTTTACTGGCAATATCCCCGCGATAGGTGATGTTTAAAGGTGCAATGAAATGACCCCCGGGCTGCTTCTGCTGCTACAGTAGGTCCTGCCGCCAGTGCGCGCTCCACAGCGGCGACCAATGAATGGGCCGCTCGTAGCGCCCCCACATATCACCCGCGTTTGGTGCGGCAGCTGCTGGGCGTCAACGCGACAGTCCACCTCAGCCTGCTGGCTGACCCAGCTGACAACATGCAGGGAGGTGGAGGCTGTGCAGGTCGCAAGGCTGAGGGTCGGAGGGGCTGCCCCCTCTCTTCACCTCCACGCTGTCCACGACATCCTGACAACATCCGTCTCTACAACCCCTCTTACAGTGATGACCGGCAAGAGGAAAAGAGGAAGACGACCCAAAAGAGCTGGTGAAGGACTACCTTAGCTCGAGCCGAGCGAGACGATGGCTGCTGGTGGTGGACAACGCAGACGACCCAGATATTCTGTTTGGGAGCGAACAGTCGCAGGGCATCGTTGACTACGTGCCGGAGAGCGAGCAGGGGGTAGTGGTCTATACGACGCGCACGCCGGAGGTGGCGCAGCTCACATGTGGTGATGTTATAGAGCTAGGAGCGATGAGCCGGCAAGACGCCACAGACTTCTTCACCAAGTCTCTGGTTAGGAGAGACCTTCTCCGCGACGACGCGGCAACGCCCAAGCTGCTGGACGAGCTGCTGGACGAGCTGACGGACTTGCCGCTAGCGATTGCGCAGGCAGCTGCCTACCTGAACAAGAATCGCATGTCTATCTCGAAGTACATGCAGCTGCTTCGCAGCACGGAGCAGGACCTTGTCTGCGTGATGAGCAGGGAGTTCCGCGACGACACACGGTACAAGGGCTCAGCGAACGCAGTGGCGACGACGTGGGTGGTGTCGTTCAGCCAGATCCGCAAGCACGATGCAGTCGCAGCAGACCTGCTGGGGTTCATGTCATGCGTGGAGTGGAAAGCCATACCACGGTCACTGCTGCCGAGCGCGCAGTCGGAAGGTCGGGTGGAGGAGGCGATTGGCACGCTGTGCGGATACTCGTTTCTGACCAGACGAGACAACAATACCCGTGAGGCAAAAGAGGAGGGTAACAGCAAGACACAGGTAGATGACGACGAGGAGTGGTTCGACATCCACCGACTCGTGCACATGGCGACGAGGATCTGGATCCATGAGTACGGCGACTTAGCAGAAGTGACGGATGATGCCATGCGGCATGTTGCGGGAGTCTTTCCATCTGACGATTACGCGAACCGACAAACATGGCGGGCGTACATGCCACACGCGCTGCGACTCCTCAAGACCAAGCAGGACTGCGACATCGGAGAGAGGTCGAGGCTCTGCTTGTGGGTTGGTCGGTGCCTGGACGTCGAAGGAAGAATCCGAGAGTCAGTGGCGTGGCTGGAAGAGTGTTGCAAACTAAGAAGCATGTCAGAGAAGGACAATGAGTATCTACTGTTCGCCCAACACGAGCTCGCAATCGCATACGAAGCAGACGGGCAGGTGAAGAAGGCGGTGGAGCTGCTGGAGGCCGTTGTCAAAGCCAGAGAGACGCTGGCGGCAGACCACCCGGATCGACTGGCGTCGCAGCACGCGCTCGCAATGGCATACCAAGCAGACGGGCAGGTGAAGAAGGCGGTGGAGCTGCTGGAAGCCGTGGTCAAAGCGGGAGGGATGCTGGCGGCAGACCACCCGGATCGACTGGCGTCGCAGCACGCGCTCGCAATGGCGTACGATGCAGACGGGCAGGTGAAGAAGGCTGTAGACTTGCTCGAGAGCGTGGTAGAGATCAAGACTCGCGTCCTTCGAGCGGATCATCCTTCGTTGTTGGTGTCAGTCGAAGTTCTGGCTGACATCTACGCCAATCTGGCTGTCGCCTCAGACGAAGCACCGTCCTCTTCGTCACTCGGGAGCCCTACTACGGCTGGCTCTGCTCAATCTGCTATGTAGCAGTATGACTAGAAGGAGCATGCACTAGTTCCCTCCACTTACAAGCGTTAACAATCTGAAGCAGCTGGAGACTTGCCAGACAACAGTTGTAATTATATTAAGAAAAATGCTATCTAAAGACTCTTTCACAGCAAGGATTCAACGTAAGTTGCACAGCACCTCAGCGTGTTTGCCCAAATTGCTTGTTTAGGTTACCTTTCTCATGCCGCAAGACCGCAATGAAAGATTACGACCTAGCGAGGGTAACAGGTCCGGTCTGTCATCATTCTGTACGGTGCATAAGATACATTACACGGTCACGCCTGGAGTGCGCTAGCACAGATGTGGAAAGATCCCTGTCGCATGGACCGTGCGGTGAGAACAAAGCTGACTGCAGAACCGGAAACCGATTGTGCTCGCGACTGTACACTGCGAGCCTGATGAGAGACAGTAGATAGAGAACAAGCGACCTAGATATAGAGCAAGGGCTTTAACTGGAACAACAAGTGGCATGGAGAAGCGAGTCAGGGAAGACACAGGGGCTAGTGAGGCCGCGATGTAGCATAAGCAGTGTAGTAGCAGATCATCGTTAGTAGCCCTTTCGGCTCGGCCGCCGGGCGTAAATAAATTGTGTGTGTGTGTGTACACTGCGAAGAGCCGGCTCTCACACACCATCTTTTGGCATTGTGTGAGGTCGCTGAAATCTGTTGCAGTCGGGCGATGATGTCACAGTGCCTCGCTTAGTCAGAAGCTTCAAGAAACCTCGACGCTTGTCCCGACGTGATCATCAGAAATACGACCATCCTCGGCTGCAAAGCCGTGGTGGGTACCTAACACGGCCGCTCGGTGAACATGCGGCCCATCACAGCATGAACCGCCGACCAAGACCGCCACCCCGCGCGGGGAAGGCTTAAAACATCCATTTACTTGCTTTGGCGGCTTCGGTCATCTCGGCAACGTTGCTCACGGACGTCGGGTGAATGTGACTCTCAGGTACACGATGATCGAGTTTCTCCGCTTGTCAGCATGATATTACCCCGAACCCATGTAACCTCACGCCGATCTGAGTATGCTTGAGGAAGCAACGCCGTTGGCAAGGATGGTGTATTTCGACGTCAAACGGCATACGTCCTGCGGTATGCTTGTTCAAAAGGCAGATGTCGACCGGATGTCCTGAGGTACGGCTCGACTTTCTCCCATAATGGCACTTTTTACCAAGTGCGCCACGGTCCTGGTAGGGCTCCTGACGCTGTCAGACATCACTATGTCCGAGTCACTTGCAACTATGCGACCACGCGCAGAAGCTGCGGGACGTGAGCGAGTCAGTCTTAATGACCGATGGCGCTTCCAACGCTTCGTCGACAACCCAGATGGTCTCTCTTACGATATACTGAAGCCCTGGATCCTTCCTGCAGCGAACGACTACCTGAGCGGAACGAGGTATGATCGACCATCAGAACCAGGACCAGGGAGCAACGTTACCTTTGTGCAGCCCGGCTTCGACGATGCTGCCTGGGAGGCAGTCAATCTCCCGCACGACTGGGCAGCCAGTGGAGAATTCGACTTCTCTGAGGATGTATCAGGCGGTACAGGGCGTCTGCCCTTCACCGGCATTGGCTGGTATCGCAAATCGCTATCGATCGATGCGAGAGTCGTAGACTCTGGCAAGTCGATTTTCTTGGACGTCGATGGAGCCATGGCGTATGCTACTGCGTGGCTGAACGGACAACTCGTAGGAGGCTGGCCTTATCCCTATAACTCATTCCGCCTTGATCTCACACCTTATGCAAAAGCCGGTGACAATGTTTTGGCGATCAGAGTCGACAATGCACCGGAGAGCGCAAGGTGGTATCCCGGAGCGGGTCTGTATAGGAGCTTAAATCTGGTCACCGCCGACCCTGTGCACGTTGGCTACCATGGCAGCTACATCACTACTCCTACTGTCTCTGCAGAGCAAGCTTCAGTCAGTTTGAGGATTGAAGTAGAGAACAAGGGCAACCTCACCCAGACTGTGCAAGTCACTTCTGAGATTTTCGAGCTTGACTCGAAATCGAGGAAAGCATCTGGCGATGCAGTAGCAAAGATTGCCGCATCGACAGCCACGGTATCTGGAGGATCAAAGTACTCTGTGAATGGCTCGACTACGATTACCAATCCCAAGCTGTGGGGACCAGCACCAAAGCAGACGCCAAACGAGTACATCGCAATGACGACGATTTCGAGCAACGGAACTGTTTTGGACACCTACGAGACTCCCTTCGGAATCCGTACTGTCGAATATGATCCGAATCAGGGGATCCTCATCAACGGCGAACACGTGCCCGTCTATGGGTCTTGCAATCACCACGACCTCGGATCTCTTGGGTCGGCTTTCAATTACCGGGCAGCGGAACGCCAAATTGAAATACTGCAAGAAATGGGCAACAACGCTCTCAGGACCTCCCACAACCCACCTGCGCCAGAGTGGCTGGAGATTGCCGATCGACTGGGACTCATGGTCATGGACGAGATCTTCGATACATGGAACTATGCTAAGGTTGAGAACGACTTCCACCTTCTCTTTCCAGAATGGTCAGAAGCTGATCTGCGCACGTTTATTCGCCGCGACCGCAATCATCCCTCCATCATCTCCTGGAGCATTGGCAATGAGCTTCCAGAGCAATCCAACTCCACCGGAACCGCTACCGCCAAGAGGCTGCAAGACATTGTGCACGAGGAAGATCTCACCAGGCATGTGACTGTCGGCATGAACAACGCTGGTCCTAACACCGGTCTTGCTGCCGAGATCGACATCATTGGCCTCAACTACCAGGGCGAGGGCAAGGGTAGCGCAAGCTCTGGCTCTTTCGCTGCCTTCCACAGCAAGTTCCCCAACAAGATGATCTGGAGCACGGAATCCGCGTCAACAGTCAGCTCACGCGGTGTCTATGTGTTCCCTGTCACATCGAACAAGAGCGCCATCGTCGGTGGAGGTCCTGGTGAGGGCGGTGACCCAATCAACAGCCATGTCAGCGCATACGAGCTTTATGCTCCATCCTGGGCTGCTTCCCCAGACAAGGTCTTCGAGCAGCAAGATCGCAACCCGTACGTCGCTGGCGAGTTCGTCTGGACCGGATGGGACTACATTGGGGAGCCTACGCCGTACGATAACTCTAGTCGCAGCTCCTACTTCGGCATCATTGGTACGTTGACGCTGACACTCCTGCTCATCGCTTTTGTACCGCATACTGACAACCTCAGACCTTGCCGGTTTCAAGAAAGACCGTTTCTATCTCTACCAGTCCCGCTGGCGCCCGGACTTTCCGCACGTCCACATCCTCCCGCATTGGACTTGGCCCGACCGCGAAGGCCAAGTGACGCCCGTCCACGTCTTCACCTCCGGAGATGAGGCCGAGCTCTTCATCAACGGCAAATCAGCCGGTCGTCAAAAGCGCGGACAGTACGATTACCGCCTGCGCTGGGACAACGTGACCTACACGCCCGGCGAGATCAGCGTCAAAGCGTGGAAGAATGGCGAAGAGTGGGCAACCTCTTCGCACCGAACTGTTGGCGCCGCGGCAGCGCTGAACGTGACTGCTGATCGCACGACCATCCACGGGGACGGGAAGGATCTCTCGTTCGTCTCGGTCGCTGTGGTTGACGAGAAAGGCGACACTGTTCCCCAGGCCGACAACGAGATAACGTTCTCGATCGCGTCTGGGCCCGGTGAAATTGTGACAACCGATAATGGCGATCCCACAGACCCCACGGCCTTTCCTTCCAAGACACGCAAGGCGTTCAATGGTCTCGCTCTCGCCATCATCAGAGCTGAGGCTGGCTCGACTGGCGAGATCGTAGTTGAGGCCAAAGCAGACGGCGTTAGTGCCGGGAAGGTGACTATCACGGCTTCATAAGCCTCACAATCGCATAGGCTGATGCGCATGCTCCGCAACTCATGTTCATTGTTTCTTTGCTGCCGGGACGTCATACAATTGTAGACCATAGTAGTGCCATGAGTCCGAAGCCATCCTATTCCACAACTTAGCTTCGCAAAGCATACATAACCCCTGCAGATCGTCTGTGCAGTGGTGTACACATTGTGCGCAGCGAATCGTGAGGTGAAAATCGAGAGATAGACGTCTCCCACAGGCTTCTGGAGTAGAAAGAGCAACACGTAGGATCGCAGTTTGGCAGGTTTAGAAGCGGAGCAGACAGATTTGTTTTCCGTGTCTTCAACAAGAGATGATCAAGAAAGAGAAAAGTTTCCCATCATGTGACATCCGGCAGAACCCGCACACACGTCTTCGCGATATGCTTGCTTCCGAGGCAGAAGGACCGGACATGCTCGGAACGTGTTCCTTCTGAGCCCAGGAGAGCAGCAGCAGCCATAAGCTGGTGACTAGGGGGGGGGGGGGGGCATGCTCTGCCAGCGAAGAAACCCAGGGAGGCACAGACGAGAAAAGAAGTAAACGGAGGCACCACATCACGACTCGGAGTCACAAGCAGCATGACCAGATACGATACGAGCATAGCGATACCTACAGCGGATTACCTGTCACTCCCCACTGCCCCCAGCAGTCCATTTCCCAACTATTAATAAGGCGCCCTCCCCAACCCCTCACCACCGAGACTCAAATCATCATCATCATCATCATCATCGCCATCCAACCCCACACTCCCCAGCAAACTATCCACATCCACAACACCCGCTTTTGTCGCCTCGCTACCCCTGTGCTGGCGATTCCCGCTGCGCCCCCGACTGACACCGCTCTTCACGCTCTTACTTGTGCCGCCATTACTCAGCGCGTACACACCCGCGTGACTCGCACCGTTCGCCGGCCCGTTCGCCGCAGACGCAAAGTCGATGTGTGACGAGTCCCGCGACGGCGCGCTGGTAGATGGAGTGTAGGGCCCTTGCGTCTGCGCGTGGAAATCTGCGGGGATGGCGGGCACGGGCGGAATGACGTCGCGCCCGAGAGTGGTGAAGTACTGACCTCCATCGGCCGTGGCCGTGGCCGGCAGAGGTCTGGGCGTGAGGGTTGCGGCGGGGGTGCCTGGGTCCTCGGCCGCTGCCGCGCTGGCCTGTCGTTCCCGGGCCAGCGCCTCGTGCGTGGTGGTGAAGCTCGCGTCGCTGAGCGAGTGGGCGCTGACGAGGGAGTCTGTTTCCTCGTCGTCATCGCGGTGGGTCGGGGGGCGCATGGAGTAGCTTGTGCGCGGTGCGGTGCCGGAGCCGCTGAGTGCGCGCTTGAGATCGTCGACGCGGACGGTGCTGCGGAGACTGGAGCGGCTGCGCGGCGAGTCGTGGCCGTTGGAGAATGCTCTCTGTTCGCTTGGACTTCTACGGCGCTGGGGCGACGAGAGGCGGCCTACGAGGCCGTATGCCAGGCTTGGGGGCCGTGAATGTGCGCGCCGCGGACTATGGGTGGGCGAGTTGCCGCTGCTGTCGAGGTCGCCGTTGGGAATACGGACGCCGAGGTAATTCGCGCGGTTGCGTGTGTAGCTGGTGCCGCTCCTGCTGCCAGATATAGAGGCGCTGGACGAGCCTTTGGTGTTGCCTGCGAGGCACTGCTCGCGCGTCCAGTCGGCGAGGAGGTCCTCGCGCACCTTGAAAGGAATGGTGGGTGCAGAGAGAATGTTGTTTGTTTCGATAGCTGGGGGCTGGTGGATTACAGGCAGGCCTGAGTAGGAGGACGCAGACATGGAGCGGTGGGGTGAGCCGGGTGGTGAGGACGGAGGCGAGTACAGCGAGGCAGAGTAGCCTTCCGAGATCTTATCAACAAGGGCGTCGCGGTTGTCGAAAGGTATCAGCGACTCGGATTGCACAACAGAAGCCGGCAGCTCTAAGCGACTGGGGTGCGGAGTGTCGATGCGGTCGACGGGCGTGGGTGGGACGCGGATGCTTCTGAGCCAAAGGCCGTGATTGTTGCGCCGAGAGACCTCGTTGTGTACTGCGCGGCCAATGGCCGATGTCTCGAAGTCGAATGTGATGCTCAGAGCCCACAGATACCCGTGCACGAGACTGCCTATCCGAACCTTCGCAGCTGGCTGTTCAACCGTAGCGATGTCTTCCTGCAGTCTGATAATCATCGGTAATCCACTTCGTGCAGCATTGGCTCCGAGGCGCTCAACCAACGTGGCCAGGAGTAGATGCAGAAGCAGGTAGTCGGCCTCTGAATCCACGAACTGCAGCGCATTTTCATACACAGCCAAGTGCAGGAGTGGCAGAAAGCTGTGTCTCCCCGGCCGAGGCGAATTCTCCCGCTGCGACGCACTCGATAGCGCCCGCCTAGCCCGTCCACCCTTGTCGTGGTCGCTGTCTTTCCTGCGGTAGTTGTCCACAATCCTCAGATCCTGCTTTGTCTTCTCCATATTGAGCCACGTGATCAGGGCGTCTACGTAGGCTTTCCTGACAGTCCCACTAGGATCCCGCAGAAGCCACTGCGTGCCCTCCCACACGCTCACGCCAATCCTACTGCGTGCTACAGATGCCGAGGATCCATCTGGTCGGCGTGCGTTTGCGGTCTTGATTATGGCTTTGACGGCCTCGAGCGCTGTTATGCGCGCGGTTTCGAATGAGAAGAATCGGTCGACGTGCGTCTTCTCCTGCAGACTGCCTGATGCCGCGACTGCATCGATAGCCTCCTCGGGGTTCGCGATAGCTTCTGCAGTCGTGGTAGACGCTGCGGAGGGTTTGAGTCGTTTGAGGAGGGCTTCCACCATGTCCGAGATCTGGTCAGTGTAGTAAACATGCGTAGCTAGGTCAGCCATGCACCTGCGTACAGTGTCAAGCAGTTGCACTCTCGACTGCGAAGGCTCTTTGACAACCTCCATGACCACGCCTACGTTGCTAGTCGAAGCCTGTCCGTCCAGGTTCTTCTCTGACAGAACCGACGTCGTCTGCTGGCGGTGCGGCACTATACTCGATCCAGGCCCGCCGAGCTGGAGGAGTAGCAATGTGTGGGATATGAGCCCTACCAGCACGTCCATGACGCTGAGTCCAATGAAGTTGATGGTGGAGCTGAGGAGATGGTCGACAATGGTGGCGAGCACCAACTGGCGATCGACATCTTCTTCCACGATGGGGCTATGGACGAGAGCCTCGACGACTGCGACCAGAATCGCGTAACGATCCTGTACCGGCGCCCACGCACAGACGACGGCCATCAGCTTTGTTGGCCAGCTCTCGCCCGGCGCGTGCGGCCTCTTGACGTGCACGCCGATGAACTTGAGGACGGCCGACGTCGCAAGCCGCATCTGTCCACGATTGCCGCCCTGGAAGATGTTGCGCAGCGCCTGCAACGCGAGCACACCGACCTTCTCTTCGGCCAGCTTGTCTGCGTCCTCAGTCGTCCCGCTCGCCGCGGCCGGATCACCGTCCTCCTCTTTCTCGTTCGTGCTCGTCCTCGCAGCGGTGGACACGCTCTTTCTCCGACTCAGCGCCAGCTCCTTGTCGTGCGCCTCACTGTCCTTTTCCCTCATCTCCAAGCGCGCAAGATACAGGCCGCTCTCCGCAAACAAGTTCCCCAGAATGACGGGAATAATAACGTCCAGCTGCCTCCCCGTCTCGCTCCCCAGGCTCTCACTCTGCGCCACGGCCTTGAGCGCCTGCAGGCCCAGTCTGCGAAAGCGGAGCTGCACCGGCCAGCTCTGGCTCTGGCCCACAGCACTCGTCTCGTCCTTGGCCGCAAACCGCGCGTACAGAGTCACAATCTCCCCGTAGAGAGAAGCATACTCGCGGTCGGCGGCTAAGCTCGCAGGCTCCTGGTGGCGACACAGCGCCTCCCAGACGGCAATCGTCTCCTCGCACATGTCCACATGGCCCTTTTCGAGGATCGTCTTGAGGATGCGCAGCACGGCGCGGCTGTACAAGCTCAGATCGCGCGGCGTCTTCTCGATCAGCGCCGTCACGATCTGCAGCGTGACCTGCACGTTGCCGGTGCGGCCCTTCCAGACATCGCTGGTGGCGCGCTTGTCGAGGAAGTCAGTAACTTTTGAGAGCTTAGAGCGCCGCGTGCTGGCGTAGTAGAGGAGGTAGGAGAGCTCAGAGCTGTTGGCGCGAACATCCGTCTGCGTCTTGTTGTATTTGGGGTAGCATTTCAGGACGAGGATCTGGTGCTTGGGCCGGCAGGCTTGGCGGGCTGCGTTCATTGGGAAGACTCGTGCGCGTGTGCGAGGGCGACGTTGGTCTGATTAGGCGTGCGTGGACTCGGGGGTGCGCGGGGCGAGGCGCGAACGAGCGGATGGTGCGCCGAGGACTGGGCTCGGTGGCGGCGAGGGTGGTGGGGGGTTAATGGATGGCCAGTAATTAATGCGAGTGAAGTGCGCGACATGCGGGCAGCCGGAGGCGCAGGAATCGGGGTGGGAGGTAACGAAGCACTACGTTAGTATGTATACGAGAGCGAGGACACGGGAGGGATCCATGTCAGACGCGGCGGACGAGCGTCTGCCGGAAATGGCTGCTAAGGCAAAGGTTGCTGCCCAAGCGATGACGAGCACAAGCCACACAGGAGACGGGCGGAAACAGCGTCAGGTCGTCTCAGCTCGTGGACAGGACGTGCAATTGACGCGCGAGTGTAAAGTTCAAATGTTGTTTATGCAATTGCGCATCTTGAAACCGTTTCATCGCGACTGGGGCTCAAGCCTTACGATCTAGCAGACCCACTTTCACATGGCACAGCACCACACAATCCCCACTACGATACAGTGTTGTACATGTTGGGTATGGGAGACCTATCTTCACTTGGTGCTTCCTCTCCCGCCCCATCTATGCTTGGGCTTGAGGTCGTTGAACCCCCGGGGCTTCTTGAGGGGTACACCCCCTTTGCCCAGCCTCAACGCAGAGGGGGCTGCTTCCTGCGCATCTTCATCTGGGTCCTCGTCATCTCTGCTTAGTCGCGCAGGGATGGTCAGACGTCCCAGGTTTTTCTCCTTGGCAGCTTCGAGAATCTGCTTCTGCCGTTCTTTCTCGTCTTCGGTCATCTCCCTCGGACGCGCTCCTCCACCTATCAAGCCGCCCTTCCTCTTCACCTTGTTGTGCATGTAGCGCTGCGCCATGGGGTTGTTTGGCAGTGACTTTTCCACCGCTCCCTGCACTCTGAACAGCCTCGTTGTGAGATTGAGCTTGGGCATCTCCTTGGCCCCCTTGCACACCACAAACTGTATGATGCGCCCGTCTGTGACCGGCTCGATGAGGTACACGGAGCCCTCGGGCATGGCCTTGAGTATAAAGTCTGGCCTCATGTGTGGAAAATGGTCTTGCAGCCACGGCACCATCTCGGGATCAAGAGTCCTGCCCCTGTTCTTCACCGCGACCGCTGAGCCGAACAGACGGATGCGGAACTCGACGGGCGAGCCGAGCTCGATGAACTGGTACGCTCTGTCCAGCACCAGTGGCTTGTACGAGACCGGGTTGGAGAGGAGCATGATGATGTTCTTGAGAGCGCCGAGCTGCTTGCCGTCGGTTTGTGCGTTCTTGGTTGAGACTTCTGCCTCTGAGCGTGCCGTGCCAATGGCGTAGTTGTTGAACTCAGCGGCGATGTTCTGGTCGCGGATCGCCTCGAATTTCCCTTCCAGCTTCCTCGGGATCTGGTCCACCTGGAAGAGGAAGTTGCCGGGCGAGACGTGCTCGTAGAGCTCCTGCAGAGAGAGGTTCTTCTTGAGCACTTCCGGCTCCCTGCCCTTCTGCCACTTTACAAGGTTTACTCTATGAGGCGACTCGCTGGGCGGTTTGGGTTTGTAGAGGTCGAAATCGAGGACTTTGTGCATGCCCAGTGCTGTCTTCGCTCGAGCTGTCTTGTAGAGGTGCAGCGAGCGGCGCTGGACAAGGCATGTCGCCGCCGGGGCTGCGCGGTGCAGTGCGATACGGGCGCATTGAGGATGGGTGAAGCTATGTAGCGTTCGCAACCGTACGCGGATAGGCGCGAGGAGCAGCGACCGAAACTCGGCGGTGGGTAGTCGTGCGGTGGGCGGCATGGCGATGGCAAACAGTTGAGCTCTAGATGATCTGCTTTCGGCGTGGACATAATGACTCGGCTAGCGTCTTCCAGCCTTGCAGCATTACACATGTTTCAAGACCAAACCAGTCCATGCATGTTCTGTCTAACATGTTAAAAGACTCTTGGATCACCGCCGTCCTGTACTCGTACTCACAAAGCCGTAGTCTCCGCCATCATAATCTTTACAAGCTCCCAAACTCCCAAACTCCCATCGTAAACGCCATCACACGCCCGGTCGCACTATCAGGCACTAACTTCCCCATCCTCAACTCTCCCCGCTCACTCAACCACCGCAGAACAAAAACCCACTCACTCACTTCGCGCTGCGAGAGCGAGCAAGAGGCCTCTGTGTTCTCGAAAGACGCCAGAGTGCACCTCCGAGGTTGTGACATGATCAGTTCCTCTGAGTCTTACCTTACAACGCCCCACGCATATGCAAGAAGACCTTCAAACATGCCGCCCAGGCGAAGCATGGGGTTGTCTGTGTGAGACGGAGTCTGGTATTTTCGTGTAGAGTGTACAAGTGTGGATCGATTGAGATATCGCCTGTCGTGTCGCATTATCGCCGTGCTATCGTGCCGTAAACTCTCTTCTACAGTACCCCCTCGTAAACTCTCGTCTACAGTACCCCCTTACCCACGGTACCCTCTCTGCAGTATAGTAGGTACCCGGCCAAAACCGTCCTCTAGCTAGATCTAACTTATCGTACCCGGGCTTTGTAAATGAGAAATTACGGTAGCAGTGGCGGAGGGCGAGGGCGCGGGTAGAGTACCCGCATGTCTCGGTCCATCACGGTGCTAAACATCTTCACCACACCTCGCACACACACGAGCGAACCCCTCGAAACGAACGCACAACACAACTCGAACCTCACACTCTTCTCCAGCGTAAGCCCCTCGGCCGCCCAGCTTCTCATCGCTGACACTCCTCCCTTCCAGCCAGACATCCACATCCACAATGTCCCACGAATCCGTGTGGTACAGCCGCCCACGCACCTACGGCAAGGGCTCGCGCAGCTGGTTTGTCCCTCTTTTCTTTTCCTTTCCTCTCCTTTCCTTTCCCCTCCCTTCCTTTCTTTTCTTTTCCTTTCCTTTCCTGCACCCCTCCCCTTTCCTTTTCCGCGAATACCGACTGCCCATCTACCTTCCAACGCCGATACCGACTAACGCCTCCAGCGTGGTAACCGGCTCGCGCAAGCACGCAGGTCTGATCCGAAAGTACGGGCTGAACATGAGCCGCCAAGCGTTCCGGGAGAAGGCGGCGGATATTGGGTTCGTCAAGGTTTGTTTCCCCGTGTGGCGAGCAGGCGCGATGCTGACGGTGTGTAGTACCGCTGATGCCGAGAGGATGGGTGGCGAGGAGCAAAGGGTGAAGATGGAGATGCCAGGAGAAAAGAAACAGATTGGAATAAAAAGTGCCTTTGTCTGCTTGGACTCGTGCTGGCTGATGCGAACGCCTTCTCGGGGTGAAAACTTGTGCTGTGATGCTCGCAGAGAGGCCGTGTGCTGTGCTACTCGCAGAGAGGCCGTGTGCTGTGCTGCCGACCACTTTCACCGCTCGTTCCGATATGATGCTCGACGGGCCGGACGACGGCTTGCCGCAGGCCACAGCAGGCCATTGTGTGAGCGGGATCTGATGAGGCAGACTAAAAGTATGCGACGTGGGCTTTCTCACGCTGCGTCTTCGGATCTGCGACGGTACGGAGACTGGTGGAGTCGGTCACGACGGGAGGGCCGTGATGGCGACTGTTGTAATGTCCACCGCTTGTCAGCGGCGCAAGAGCGTGAAGGTTTATCCCATACTCGCCAAAGACGTACGTGCAAACCGTCCATCTACAGCTAGCAGTAAAAGCCAAAAACGCCACGCTATGCAACCCAAACTCCTCCTCGATCACATCAACCCCATCCTCCCCCTCGATCACATCAACCCCATCCTCCCCCTCGATCACATCAACCCCTTCCTCCCCTGCCTCACCAGACTAAGACTCTCCTCACAATCCCCACAGTACCCGTTGACCCACGCCTGCACAGTCTGGTCGTGCTTCTTCGAGCCGTCCAGCATGGTGCCGACCCGGGCGCACTTGTGCGTCTCGTCCAGCAGCCAGTGCTCGTACTCGGCCTCGACGACCTCGCGCTCGATCCTGTTGACCACGCGCAGCGCGACGAGCAGGTCGTGGCGCTGGACGCCTAGGTTGCGCCGCGTGCGCTCGAGACGCCGCGTGCTGTGCGTGGTCGGGTCGTACAAGGACGACGGCGGGGACGACGAGGACGGGTGGTCGAGGAGGTGGCTGAAGGTCTGGTGGCTGGACCGGATTAGCAGGGCGAGCGCGCGGGCACAACAAACATACACGACTTACCATCTGTTGTCTGCGATGCTGCCAGTGGGCAGCGCAGGCTCGATGCCGGTGTCGTTGGGATTGGCAAAGGCTTCGGCAATGTCGCGCAGATAGACTGAGCGTGTCATGGTCGTCGACGGCCCCACACCCAGTCGTGACATGTAGCTTGCGGCGTTTCGCTCGTTCCACCATGCCCAGCTGCCCCTCGAGGTGTAGAAGAAGTTTGCGCCTCCGCTCACGAGCAGCAGCACGACGAGCAGCTTGTGTGCCGAGACAACACTGACGACGCCTGCAAACATGGCCAGGACCCAGCTCATGACAGTCGACAGGACGCTGATGATGACATTGCCGACGTACTGCGCAATAAAGGAGCCTGTCGTGGTGGGCCGCAGCTTGAACTTGCGCGGGCGGTTCGGCGGCGGTATGTCTCCTGCGTTCATCTGCACAGCCTGCGTGCTCAGGCCGATGTGCCCAAAGATGCTTGTGACCTTTGCGGTGCTTCTGTTGTGTCCAAGGCGAGCGACCTGATCGTTGACCACATCGACAAGATCCTGCGCCTCTAGCTCCAGGTCTTGCAGACCCTGGCGCTCAATGAGCTTCTTCGCAACGCGCGGGTTGCGCTTCCAGTCGATTTTGGTGTGAACAGCGAGCTTGCACCTCGCCTTGGACACGTGGGTGATGACGACCTTGCTGAGCAGCACAAAGCGCTCGTGTCCTGGAAGGTACCACGGTGTCTTCCTGTCCGACACGACGTAGCAAAGATGGTCGTTCATGACCTCGATGACCTGGCAGTCATTGATGACAAGGTTGGCGCCCTTGTTGCGCGGTTGCACAATCTCGTACTCAAAGTCACGGCGCTGGCGGGTCTTGTCGGTCGCGGTCCATGGGCCTTGCACCACGCGCTTTGCAAGTCGCTCCCTGTACAGCAGCTGGAAGACTGCGCTCTTGTCGCCAAACAGAATGTGGAAGAGACCCTTTGCGCTGATGTCGTACTCTTTCTCGACTGCCACGCACGTCATACCAGCCGGGGCGAAGACGACCGGCTGCGATGGCAGCTTGAACTTGGCCGTGCTCTTGCCGGCGCCGACGCCTGACGGCCCAAAGAGATTGCCGTCGATGCGAAGACTGGTCTTGATGTTCTTCCCGCCGTACCCCTGGTCGTGCGGCGTGTCGGGCGAGACCTCTTCCCAGCCTTCCTCGCCCGCCGACGACTGGTGGTTGTCGTCCGTCTCCATCCTGATGAGGGCTTTGATGACCTGCTCCAGGTCGTGCTCGCCTGTCGTGGCGTTGCGCACCAGGAAGTTGAGCCGCCGCTCCAAGAGCTTCAGGGGCTCGAGGAAGGTCTTGACGGTGATTCTGCTCGCGCCATCCTCTCGTGCGCCAGTCTTGAAGTGCAGGAAGAGGAAATCGCAGTCCTTGCCGGGCGCGGCAGTGACCTCATCGATCTGGCCCATTACGATTCCCGTGACAAGCACGAGACCGAGGTGGTTGCTGTAAAAGTAAATGTCGTCCGTCGTCACATATACACGGCCTGGGAACTCTTGCTGCTCAGTCGGGTTCCACACGGCGCGGAAGACGAGCACGAGCTTCTCGGCGCGAGGCACGGTGGGGAAGAGAATCCTAAACTGCGCATCCTGCATCCTCAGTGCAGCCGGGTAGTGGTTGGGGAATCCCTCTTCCGAGACGGTGGGCCGGCTCAGCGTACCGCCGAGGCTGATGGTCTTGCGATGTGCGCGGGGCGCAGGCGGCGCCGTCTGCGATGCCTCTTGGTTTTTGGCAGCACCGGACTTGCTCTCGAGGGGCTCGCCAGGCGACTTGGTGGGGCTCGGCGGCCCGGATACGCTGCGGTCGCGCGTCCCCGGCTCCTCGGGCTTGCCAATCTTGTTCACGTAGCCCCAGTTCACCGAGCCCCACAGGTTGGCCATCAGACCTCCAGGCATGTTGCCAGACCTGCCGATGCCGAGTCCCCGCTCTCCGCTGACGGCCACTGCCGCTTTGCTGAGGTTGGTCGGCGCAGGTGGGTTGGCGAGCGTGCTCGGCGAAAGACTGGTGTACGGGAGCGTCTGGCCCATGACGAGTCGTGTGTCTGGCAGGCCTGGCGCTGGAGCGGCAATCTGCCCGACCTGTACAATGTTGTGGCTCGCCGAAGCAAGACTGGCGGAGATGAGGCTGGCAATGCCGCCTGTGGCGGACGAGGGGTTGCTCCCGCTGAGCTGTGGCCCGGCTGTCGACTTGCGCGACAAGTCAAGCTTCTCCATGATTCGCGCAGCGTGGTCGCGCCGGCCCGTTTCGCCATCTCTGTCCAGCCCAGTGGCTCGCCGAGAGAGATCCACGCTCGCACCACGCGACGCCTCGCCTCCAGGTATGCCGAGGGACGTCTCTGCACGGTCGATGCCGCCCAGGTCGTCGCTCGGATGGCCGGCGTGCCCTTCTGACGTCTTGGCAGCAAACTCGGGCGCGACGGGCGGACTGATTGAGAAGGCAGCGTCGACGGCGCCCTGCGACGCCACGCTGTTTGACGTATCCTCCAGGGCCTTGCGCTTGGCGACCTCAAAGGACGCTATCCACTCGGTGATGTCGGACTGGGTCTCGGCCTGCAGCAGAATGGTCGTGTCCTTGGTCTTGACCTCGAAGCAGAACCGGCGCTCTTCTTGGAACGCAGGCCGGATGCCGCACAGGAGCACGCCAATCTTCTCCGACTCCTCGACGGCGCCTGAGCGGGTGCCCTGCGTGAGCCAGCCGAAGATGCCGTCCTTGACGAAGAACCACCTCCGCACCCAGTATGTGCGCGCGGGCTTGCCCGTAATGGTCCGCTGGAAGAGCCAGCCCTGCTTCTCGGCCCTCTCGCCGGCGGGGTCGGCGTTTGCCGGCGACGGCAGCCCGGCCGACGACGGGCCGGGGTTGCGCAGGTAGGCGACCGTCGAGGCCGCGTAGCCGTCGAGGTCGCGCGACGGCCGCGCCGCCAGCTCCGCGGCGTGCTCGACCTGCTGCCGCGCCAGATGCAGCTCGCGCTTGAAGACGCGCTCGCCGTTCTCCATCTCCCTGCGCCAGCCGCGCACGCGCTCGATGTCCGTGTTGCCCAGGGCAAAGGCCTTGGCGGGCGCGTCCTTGGCCGTCTTCATGTCGCGCCACTGCTCGTGCACGGCGTCGACGAGCACCTTGTCCAGCGTCAGACGCACCTGCGGCGCGAGCATGCAGAAGTTCATGCTCGCCTGCAGGTAGGCGCGCCGCGCTTCGTGCAGCTGGAACGCGTCCTCGCGCAGTGACGACGGCTCCTTGGACTTGACCTGGCCGGCATAGCGCGCCATGGCGCCGTCAAAGGCGCGCTGCGTGGCGTCGAGGTTCTTGCGGGCCTCCTTGAGGACCCGGAGGTCGTTGGCCAGGAACGCGCGGATCGGCTCGCAGACGGTCGTCTCGGCCTTCTTCAGGCTGCGACAGGTGCTGTTCCAGTACTCGCGCGCGCCCTCGCCGAACCGCTTGAGCGCGAGCACCGTGTAGTCGTGGTCGATGATGGCTTCCGACAGCTGCAGCGGCGGGTGCGAGGCCTGCACGTAGCTGTCGACGATGCTCTGGAGCGTGCCGAGCTCCGACGCGAGCCTCGAGGTCGCGCGCACGTACGAGTCGAGCCAGCGCTCGACGAGCTCCATCTGGTCGCCAAAGTGGACCGCCGTCGCGCGGAACGTCGGCGAGTCGAGCGCGGCCTCCTTGATCACGACGGGGCTGCCTCGGTGAGCCGACGGTCTTGCATTCATCGCGTCACGGGGCTTCGACCTACATCAGCGCCAGCGGCCGCGAGACGGGCTCGAGGGTGGCCTGTCGGGCTTCGTGCTCAGCCATCGCGCCGGCCTGTCGCGGGGAGAATCTGCCCAAGGGGAGTGGAAAGCGAGGTGCTCAAGACGTGCAGACAGCGGGGAGATGGTACATGGCAGCGAAGAAGCGCGCTTGCTGCTGCCGTTGCCGCTGCTGATGCCGTTGCCGCTGCTGATGCTGTTGCCGCTGCTAATGCCGTTGCCGCTGCTGTTGCTGATGCTGTTGCTGATGCTGTTGCTGATGCTGTTGCCGCTGCTAATGCGACTCGGGGGTGCGGTGCTCGTGATGGCGCGTAATGCCGACCGGCCACGACGCCCGGGCGGCACTGCAGACCCTGGACCCCCCTGGCACGGCGCGACCGACCTAATTGCGGTATTTCGCACCGGTCCCCACCGTAAAACGAACTCTTGGCGCGCCGCTTGCGCTGCGAAATTTCGAGCATCTCGCAGCGCCGTGCTCACAACACCAAAAATGCCCCGCAAGTCCTCGGCAAGCAAGCGCGGACGGAACGGCGACCCCCCCGTCGCCGACCGTCCGGAGAAGAAGGCCAGGCTGCTCGACAACACCGACGACGAGGACTCGGAGGGCGACGCGGCCGACGCAGCCGACGCAGCCTTGCAGGTCAACGAGGAGTACGCCCGCCGCTTTGAGCACAACAAGAAGCGCGCCGAGCAGCACCGACGTGAGCATACGTCTCCCTGCGCCACGCCCACCGGCTAACTCTGTGCAGTCGAGGAAAAGTACGGAAAAGGCAGGGCGTTGCAGAACGAAGATGAGGACGACGACGACTCGGAGGAGGGCGTCGAGGAGGACGACGACGCCGAACTGCTCACCGAAGCGCTCGACGAGAATCTCATGGCCACGCTGCAGGCCCTCCGATCAAAAGACCCCCGCATCTACGACAAGGACGCCACCTTCTACGACGCCGACGACGCCACCTTCTACAACGACGACGCGCCCAAGAAGGAGGCATCCATGACGCTGCGCCAATTCCACACCAAGAACCTGCTCGAGGGCAGACTCCCTGGGGACGACGAAGACGACGCGCCGCCCAGGACATATGCGCAGGAGCAAGAGGACATACGGAAGAGTCTTGTCGACGCTGCCGCCGACGACGAAGACGACGAGTTCCTGGTCGCCAAGCACCAGCCCGGGCCCGCGCCGTCGAACAAGAACCGCAAGAAGCTCACCCACGAGGACGTGATCAAAGCCGACCACGACCCGGAGCTCTTTTTGTCCAACTACATGGAGTCGCGCGCCTGGAAGCCCGCCGACAAGACGCAGTTCCAGCCCCTCGAGTCCGACGACGACGAGGTGGACGCCGCCATCGACGCGTACGAGCACGCATACAACACCTACTTTGAGGACACAACCGGCACCAACGAGAAGCTCACCACCTACGCCCGCGACGCCGTCGCCGCCACAACCGTCCGCCGCGACGACGGCAACAGCAGGAAGAAAGCCCGCGACATTGCGCGCGCCAAGCGCGAAGCCGAGCGCAAAGAACGCGAGGAGGACCTCGCCCGCCTGCGCAAGCTCAAGGTCGAGGAGATGGAGGCCAAGGTCCAGCAGATCCGCCAGATTGGCGGCCTGAGCGGGCGCGACTTCAACATGGACGACTGGAAGGACGTGCTCGAGGCAGACTGGTCAGACGACCAGTGGGACCGGGAGATGGAGAAGCGCTTCGGCGAGTCGTACTACAACGACGCCGACGCCGCGCTCGACAGCGACGCCGCGCTCGAGAGCGAGGAGAGCGAGAAGAGCGAGAAGAGCAAGAAGAGCGAGAAGAGCAAGAAGAGCGAGAAGAGCAAGAAGAGCGAGAAGAGCAAGAAGAGCGAGAAGAGCAAGAGCAAGAAGAGCAAGAAGCCCAAGAAGCCCAAGTTCGACGACGACATCGACATCAAAGACCTGATCCCCGACTTTACAGACGACGCCGCGGAGCCGCCCACGCTGTCCGACGACGAGGCCGCCGACGACGACGACACCGCAACAGCCACATCCAGCAAAGCGCGGAAGCAAGCACGAGCCGACGCCAAATCCGCCGCGCGCCGCGACCGCCGACTGATTGAGAACCTGGTCTCCGAGAACCTCAAGTACGAATCCGCACTGGCCGCAAAGCCCTCCAAAACACCCGCGCGCTTCCGCTACCGCGAAACCTCCCCAACCACCTTCGGCCTGACGGCGCGCGACATCCTTCTCGCCTCGGACGCGGCACTAAACGACTTTGCGGGACTGAAGAAACTAGCGCCCTTTCGCGAGCCCGAGAAGAAGAAAAAGGACAAGAAGCACCTCAGCAAGAAGGCGCGGCTGCGGCAGTGGCGCCAGGAGACGTTTGGCGACGCGGACGGGCCCAAGGGCGGGTTTGAGACGCTGCTCGGCGGCCAGCAGGAGGAGCCTGAGAGGCAGCACAAGAAGCGCAGGGTTGAGGAGACGGCGGATGGGGTGGTTGAGGCTGCGAGGAAGAAGCGCCGCTCACGGAAGAAGAAGAGCGCTGATGAGGAGATTTAGACGAGTGATTCATGTTCGGCGTTGCCAACGGCGGCGGGAGGGATACAGTCACAGTGGAGCTCCATTGCCGTTCTCTGCAGCAATGCTACGCAACCGCAGCGTCCTAGTAGTCTACGTAGCTGCGTCACGCCCGTCTAGTTTGCGCAATTCACTCTAACCTGCGGAGTGCTGTGTGTAGGGTTTAGTGATGTGTGTAGGGTTTAGTGATGTGTATAGGGTTTAGTGATGTGTGTAGGGTTTAGTGCTGTGTAGGATTTGGTGCCATGTAGGATTATTGCCTTTCTAGTATGACGCTGTTGGGAATAGTAAAAGTCGCATTCTACCCAGCACGCCGGGACGCCTTGCGTGTTGTTGGGCTTCCTAATCTCACCTGCAAGTGTGAAATATGTGGTCATGTATTATTTTCATACTTGCTCAAAGCTGACATACCATTGAACGTTATAGGTGATGTTGGGTGATGTTGGGTGATGTTGGGTGATGTTAGCTGATGTTGGGTGATGTTAGCTGATGTTGGGTGATGTTAGCTGATGTTGGGTGATGTTAGCTGATGTTGGGTGATGTTAGCTGATGCTGGCTGATGTTGATACTGAGCCTGCTACAGCTACACTTGCAGCCCACTACAATCACTGCTTACTGGCACTAAACCCACCACCGCCACCGCACCTCGACCTCAGTACTAATCCACTCAGCACACGTCCACGAACCGCGCCAGTCATGCTCCTCCACGACCACTACTCGCTCGTCCCAGTATCTTCCTGCCGCCTCACACCACGCCACAGCGCAGGGCCTCGGCGTCAGCTCAAAAGAAGTCCGCGTCCCAGCCGTCCCCGAAACGCGGCGACGGTGGGCGAAACACACTGTCCTGTCTCCGTCTCGCCGCGGAACAGGACGCGATCGAGCTCGTTGGGCTTGGTGGCTTATCGAACCGCCAGCCATACGTCTCTGACTTCCTGCCGCGCGCGAGACGCGTCGTGCATCCCCCGCCGGCAGTGGCATGATTCAAGGCAGCGACAGCGTGCGCCAGCGAGCGCTTGGCTGAGGTGAGACGGACGCTCAGCGAGCGGAGGTGCGAGGCGTGGAAGGCTCGGTCTTGGATGTACGCTGCGATGCGGGAGACTTTTTTTGCCGCGTGCGGCGGTGCGACCCACGGACAGTAGCGCACCAGGTCGTCGCGCAGCGTCACGTGGATGATCCCGTGGGGAAGCACCTCGTCCAGGTTGGCGGCGAAATCGGGATACCACCCTAGCAGCATTGTCATGGGCACTTCTACCTTTTTCAACCGCGGCATGAACTTCAGCATGGTTAGGGTGCCTTGCACGGCCGGAAACGGTATGCTGGCGAGAGGATACTCCGTGGTGGATATGGAGCCCGGACCGAGGCGCAGTATCAAGTGGCACTCTTCCAGACTGTCTCGTACTGGGAACAGCGCTGTGTTGAGTTCGTCGAGGCCGAGATACGGAGATAGCAAAGGAGCAGTAGACATAGCCGCGTTGAACACGAACTCGTGTTCAAAGTGGAGATACTTCAGTCTTGGAGTAGCGGAGAGCAGCTCGCCAAGCGTGGCTCTACTGATGTTGGTTCGAAACAAGGTCAGGCATGTCAACGTGTTGCTGCGCGGTGTCTTCGAGCCGGTCCATTGGAAGCGCCATGGCTGTGTCATGGAGCACTCCAACTCGGATATTGTCGACGAGTAGAAGACGGGTCGTATGAGATGCAGGTCCGTGTACGCAACGCTGGCCCTCAAATCGATCGCCTTGTCTCCGAGCACGATTCGACGTAGTTTCGGGAAGAGATAGTCCGTTCTCTTCAGAAGCTGCGGCAAGAACAGCGAGTGGCGCAGGAATCCCTCTCCGATATCCAGATACCGCAAGTCAGTGAGACGCGTCAAGACGAGCGTGGCGAGAGCGTCAGCGCATCGTCCGCGGAACTGTGGGTGTGATTGCTGCATGCCGTCGTCGACAAACTGGTACAGCATGTTCGTAACAAGAATGAGTTGCGCCTTGGAAAGCGTCGGGCAGTCGTCAAGACCCCATAACTTGACGTAGCGAGACCCTTTCCCCAGCCACGGATTGCATATGTTCCAGCATAGCTGTAAGCCCCGCAGTCGCATTGAGACAACATAGGACGCCAAGTTTGGCCTTTCCAAAAGGCTGCGAAGCAGCAGTGCAAGCTTTCGAGCGCATGATCCAGACCCAGTGGCTGCGAATCTCAGATCTCTATAGAGTCGAGGGGTCGCTTCTTTGCTGGTTGTTTGACACGTAAGTGCCAAGGAATGCTGCTCTCTCCTTGACAGAAAGTCGAGGATGTGGTTGAGAAGACACGGAGGAAGTCCGAGGAGGCGTGCCATGAGCTGGGATAGGAGTGGACGGCTGTGAAATATCAGGAAATATCGAGTGACTTCTTCCCAACTTTCGAGATTCGAGCCTGCAGCCGATGCTTTCTGTTACTTCGGAGGACGCAAGGTACGGATGGTGTGTGGTTCGCTCGATCTCACACCGGACCAGCACAATTGTAGCCATGATCCCGAACAGATAATGTCAGAGGAGAAGGGGCTTCGGGCTTCGAGATTAGCTCATTGTCATTGTCCGAGGTGGGCACAGTTCGCGGCTATCGCTAGGCGCTCAACACATGCGTTAGCCGCCGCTAAATACACTAAACCCGCAGCTGGGCTGTCGAGAAGGTCAATGTCGACTTGCTCCGTGTTCACATAACTTCTGCAGTAAGGTCGTCGTCAAAGTAACTTCTGAGCGTTCCCGTGTCGATTGGTTAGGCGTGACAAGTCACACACTAGACGGTTCAGCGACGTGGGGTATTACCGCGACCCGTCCCACCACGAATGAGGGGAGCTGCGCCACCAAAAACTAGTGTGCTCAGCAGGAACGATCTGAGTTCTGTTCTCGATGCCTAGGTATTCGGCTTCAACGATACCGAACCAGATGGGAGCGCAGTCCGCGAAGATGATACTGCGAGGCCAATCCCAAAGGTATCCCCGCACGCTCGCGTCGGCAAAGACGCTCCATTCGATCGCTGAAAGACTCGAGCCTGACCTCTTTGACCAGGTCTCGATGCTCTGGCTTTCTCCAGCGAAGCAACATCGGATATAACATGATACCGTAGACAGACTTGTTGTTACATGTTGTTGCAAAGTCGGCGATCTGCCCGTCAAACCAAGTTAGTGAAGGGTCCGCAGGCTGCCAAACAGAAATGCTTTCCAAGGCGGGCGCATGATCAAGCATTGCAATGGTCGCGTGGTAGAGATATGAGAGTTCCATCCGTGCGCTCGTTGCGCATCGCGCTTCAGCTTGGGACTGTTGCAATGTCAGTCCAGTGCGCAGAATCGACGTGTCTAGTTGGTAAGACAGTTGTGCAAGCGAGAGGTCCAGACGAAGCGATAGATGCCGCAGGTAAGGAGGCAGAAGTGGGCAGATATCGGCAGTGATTGAGAATTCCACATCTCCAGTCAGGAACGGTATGGGAGCTTCCAAACTACGCAACTGCTCGAAGCCAGTAAGATCAAGATAGCCGAATTGACGTGTCCCGATCCTCGGTTGCTCGAATGGGAATTTTCCAGAGTCAAAGTACTCGGCTGCAAATACCAAGATCTCAAGCGTCTTGCACACAGCTCCCAGTGATGTGTTCCAAGCTTCCAGGTCAATCCAACGTTCCGGTGCGTCCTTGCGGTCGTGGCAGTCGTAAGCAATGTCCCATGTGAAAGATAGAAGCTGCGGGGTGCAGGCCAAGAGAGGGCGCACAGCCAGTGCGCATGAACTTGAATGTCGAACTATCAATTTGGTGATGACAGTTGCTCGCACTTGGGTGATAAGCGGTCGAGTGGGCCCGTGTGTCAAGGCTCCTGTGTTGAATAATCTGCTAAGCCCTGCTTGCGTGTCGGTAATCGAGAACTCCAAGATCTCGAGTCCTGGGAGATTGAGAACTTGGTCGAGATATACATAACCTTTCTCATCCGGATATGGAATTCCGGCTGTTCTGTCAACATTGCAAGATACTGCTTTGATACGGGTGAGTCGTCCTAAGAGTGCTGGCGACGCATGACGCTGGTTCCATGCCCGCTCAGTATCGAGGTTACGCAGAATAGTGTGGAGACGATCCATAGTCGAGTATCTGAAGTCTGATATTTCCAGTTGCCGTAGTGCGCTGGCAGTCAGCACGATTAGTGTGGCATATGCAGAGTACTCTCGTTGAAGAATGGCGTCTCGAAGATAGTCTCCGCTGGTGATCAAGGGCTCATCGTCTAGGACTGTGAGAGCTTTCTGGTACATAGCTTCGTCGTCGAAGCATTTCTCCCGAGGTAACCAGCGCTGGCCCTCCTTCACCCCTTCCGCAGATGATGGGCCGAGGCGGAGGGTTTCGATACGAGCCGCGCGTCGAGGGTCGTTCAGGATGTTCAAGCAGAATCTGTCAATGCGCGGCATCCTCTCGCCCGCATGTATGACCAAGTCGACATGTTGATATAAATAGGGTGCAGCCAGTGTGTGCAGGCTCTTGTTCACCCTAGACACGGCGTACAGATCTTGTTGTGCGAGGTAGGACGCGATGAATTCGACAAGCTCAGTTGGCAGCCCAGCGAAAGGAGCCATGGCAAGCGGAATGATGAGATCAGTATGGTGCCAAATTGAGACCGCGAGAGAGCAGCATTGCGGGACTGTACATTTTTGCGATCATTATCCGACGTTGATGTGTCTGCCTAATTCGCATTATATGAAAGCGGGGCGCCGTACCACACCCTGCGGCTCTGGTAGCAGAAGAAACCAGCTACCTCAGCAGAATTATTGCAGCCTCTACAAACTCGATGAAACCCATTATCGACTCCCTCCCACAATTTGACAATTGATGGCTTCTTAAAAACGGAATATCGTTGCAGCTCTGCATTCACACTTGCCTGTAGTAACCCACTCAATTCTAATTCCTTGTAATTGCCGTGCGCGAGCGACTCCGAAGACGCGCACTGCTTGGATCGATACTCGCGCAGCACGCGATCGCGATGCATACCAGGCCAGCATGGAAAGATACCGCGCCAATGAGAGTGTGCTCGCACTCCTGCAACAGCAGAGCAAGGAGTTGTTGTAGGTGATGCGTGGTTGTCACGCTTGCGGCATGCTCAGGCGAAACATCAATGCTATGTGAACGAGGGATAACTACCCAGGAGCTCCAGACATGGTACGATGATGATGAAATACCTATACCACCTCTTCCGTGCAGCACACTGCCCCCCTGCCGTTTCATCTGTGTGTTTCTATCGTATTGTGAAGCTGCGCACTACGACAGTTGCAGCGCATTGCAAGCAGGTGGAAATTCGAATCGAACACTTGTATGATCAGGAAGGCAGCAAACAGCCCTCCGACGCAACATGCCAAGTGCGTGACCTATCACATCGACGCGCCCCAATAGTCTACCACATCGCCGGAAAGTGACAGCAACTGGCAGCTTCCGGAGCAGTGGGATTTTCGTCTACAGAATGCGATGCCGCGGCAACGTGGCGTTGCCGCGAAGAATCTCGACGGTGTTTGTGGTCCACGCGCAATGTCTCGATGGCAGTCTGGTCCCTCTATGATGTTTCGTTAGCTGAGACTTCACGCGAGAGCAGGGGCGGTTATTCAGTTGTGAGAGCACGTCGCTGAACTCCGAGGCTTGCGGACACGCTCGGTTTTAAATGCTTTCAAGCCGTGCTGCCTTGTCTTGTGGATTATTTTTCCACCGCAGTAGCTCGTACTAACAAGAGTACTTGCGGCAGCGTTTGGCTCACAAGACTTCATTCTTGGTTGACGTGTCGAAGCCTTGCAGGCTCGAGCAAGGGGCCATCTCGGCTCATCCCCTTCCAATCTTGCGCGCAGCCAAAGAAAGGGCAAAGTCCCTGAAGAGTAGTCAGACGCAACGTGCCAAGTCAGTCAACTAGGCATTTCGTTGCGTTGTACCGAAGCATGGCTTAAGTGCCCAGGAACGTGAGAGACCCAGTCACTTTTCAGCAACCGTGGCCTCCTTCCAACGAAGCTCTGGTGGGAGCAGTCGCAACTCTCTGTGATCTCAGACTATATTGCTTGGCTTCATCACTGGCAAGGAATCGAAGGACGAAGATGTCATCGGAAATGAAGATACACGAGACGTGAAGTTCAAAGCTTGTGCCTGCCAAGTTGCCCCGCTTCGAGTGCATGATCCTTGCCGCGATCACGAATGCTTGTTCTCTGATTGGTCGCGGCTTTTTTCTGACGCAATGCTCGCTAAACAACACCTCCCTTCATGTCGACAGTTGTCGAGGTTCAGATCTACCGACCTCCTCATCAGGTTACCATGATATGAGGACGGCGACTGCGTCTAAACGATGATGCTCACGCAGAGATCTTCATTGCAAGCCCATAGTATAGCGACCCAGGTACACCACGTGCTGCTGTCAAAAACCGCAAACGGACATCCACTACAACAACACTGTGTCGTCATCTCTGGAGAAATGCTTTGTGTAACCGCCACTGACGACCAACTACCGAGAGCCTTGCTCTCTCCTCTGCTCCACAGGGACCACGTATGTGTAAACTCAATCCGAGATGTCGAGGGTGCTGTAGCTCTGCTTTCCTCGGGCTGAAGGTGTACGAAGTAATGGCAGTTGCGTTTCACCGTTTAGTCATTTCGCTGTTCCGTGCGCATCGAGTAGCAGGCAGGTGCAACCGTACTCAATATTTCGCTTAAGCTTAGCTCGTTCTTCAGTAAACACCTGGACAACCACCTGCGTCCCTGCGTCTCTCCATCTTTGATCACCTACCTTCCTTACACCGCTGTCTTGACGACAACGACAACGTTCCTTTGATCAGCACAGCTGAACGAATTCACACTCTTTGCCACCTGCTGACCCACACTCTTTACCACCTGCTGACCCACACTCTTTACTACCTGCCGTCCCAACTGTGTACGCTCCTTTGTCGTCAGTCGCCGAAGTTGCGCTTGACCCGACTCGACATTCGCCGCTTTCGTCGAAGTAGTCAGTAAGCAACCTTCTCTCCACCACACCGTCGATAGCGGTAAGGCTGCGATGAGGTCTTCACCTCCATCCGGTTTCTGCGCTTCCGGCAGATCTCAACAGAATGGTGTTGACCTTCGTAGTATTTATATTGACCACAACGTCTCGATTGAGAGGAGCATCATCAGAACACAAACATCACTTTTCAGTTCTTCACTATCACCATAATGCGCCATTCTACACTTCTTGCCTCTACTCTTGCGGTTGGCAGTCTTGCCCTACCCCAGGGTCAGCTTGAGAAGCGCCAGCAAGTGACCGTGTACAGCACAGTCACGGTCACAGTCACTGTCTTCGCCAACCCAATCGCTACACCAGCATGGGCAGGACCCCCTAAGGCTCCCAACCCTCCCAACCCCAACCGGCCCTCATTCGCGCCGTCCTTGCCACTATGGACCCCGCCTCGTCCGGATGCTGGAAGGACCACCAGTAGCACACCACGAGCATCCTCTAGCACGGCGCCCGTTGTTAGTGTACCCGGCGCCACGCAGGGCCCGATTGGTGGTGGCCAGCCTACAGGTCCAGCCGTTCCTGGCAACACTCAAGGTGTTCCTGGTGTTGCTACTTCCGGTACTTCCATCGTCGGCAGCGCCATCAGCAATGCTCCGGTGCCTTCCAATGCAGCACCGACACCTGCTCCCGGCGGTGCTCCCCTCGACCCTGGACATACCCCAGGTGTAGGACAAGCTACACTTTCCGCTGGATTGGCCTACCAAAATGCGATTCTCTACCATCACAACGCCGCGCGTGCTAACCACAACGCCGCTCCGTTGGTCTGGAACCAGACTGTTGCCAACACTGCCGCCATTGCAGCCAACACTTGCAGATTTGAGCACCTTATCCCTGCGGGGGTGAACCAGGGCCAGAACCTGTTCACCGTCTCTGGCAATTACTTCAATGTTACTGCTGGTATTACCGAGAGTTGGTATAAGGGCGAGTTCCAGGCGATGTTGCCAGTATTCGGTCAGCCGAGCATTCCTGCTGAGATCTTCCACGACGTCGGCCACCTTACGCAGATTCTTTGGAAGGGAACTACCAGCGTTGGATGTGTATCCCTCGATTGTGGCAATAGGATGGTTGTTGGCGGCCAAGCCGGTTCTACCTTAAACAAGTATACCGTTTGCAACTATTATCCCGCAGGCAATGTCGGTACTCAATACGCAATCAACGTTGGCAGGCCCATCAGCAACACTAACCTCGGTAGCTGGAGCAATTAGGTATGCTTCGGTCTATTGTTGTCTTGCGATGATATACTTCCAGGTGTATGGTTTACTGTTGTATACCTTTTCACAGACGTCGCAGTGCCAAGCAGCAGTAGTGCCTGCATTGCTTCGCTGTTCCCCTTCTTGTCATGGATCCGCGGGATTTGTATTTCTGTTTCGGGATTGATCTGGAAGCAATCAGTCACGTCACATTCTTTCGAGCGTACCTTTAACTGTACATACTGGCGATCTACAGTCCTTACGACATGTAATATATATATCTTTGAATTACGATACGATCATCTACAACGCCAAAGCTCCATGCCAGAGTTTAACTTCCGTGATGCGCATTGGTTAATATTTCTGCCTAGGCGTTAGAACGTTGTCTGAGCCAAAAGATGTTATCAGGCCATAATCTCTTGGCGGAATTTGAGAACACGCATATCGGTTCCACGTGACGAAGGCTTCCAGTCCCATACGACTCTATCGTGTATGTAGCCGTAGATAGATTGGATCTGGTTGATCGTTAAGAATAGCTGCGCGTACTTGTCGATCGTCAACACAGATCGGTGAGAATTTCGTGCTCGCTGTCTGTGGCGTAGTCCTGAAGATACAGTAAACTCGCAGAACGTATCAAGTCGGCTCGGGAGGTTGGGAAAGCGCTGTTGCATAGGAGCTCCGCGCGCCCTGGTTTGAAATCCTAGTGTGCCTTGAGGTGATGTTGGTGAAGCTGATGGTGTCGACGCATTCTCTACGTGTAGAATACTGAAGTATTGTCCAGTGTTCTCCTAGTACGTGGCTGTCTGCCAGTCAGTCGTGACGTGACTTGACTTGACTGAATCACGGAATACCTGTAGCGCAACAGTGAAAACAGATCCAGTACGACCTACATCACCAAGAGGTTCCCAATAGCTCAAACAATCGGCGCGGTGGCACTTGTGTGGCGCGTTCGCAGTGCACTAAAAGGCGGACTGCCTCCTCATGCTCGACGATGTAGTCAATCCTCCAGCAGTCGCAGCTTTACTTGAACCATTTCATTACCAATGAGTCTTGTTCACCTCTAGGTAATGCAAGAATACCTCCCACGCCGCTAACGTACATATACCCAAACACCCATCCAGCCAGCCAAGCCGGATGCGCAGCCGAAGACGTAGCCAATCCCATTATCCATCTCAAATCTCGTCCAAATCCTCATCATCACGTTTCTTCCCGTTGGCGTTGAGGCGATCCATCCTGACCTCGTCCCTGTGCCTCGGGCTGTTATCCAGGCCACTCTGCGCCATCGCGCGGCGGCCCGACTCGCTCGTCTCGAGAAACTCGCGCAGCCTTTCTTTGCTAATGTCGAGAGCTTGCGCGGATGCGGCGTTGGCCATGCGTGCCATGGGACCCCAGAGGTTCAGGGTGTATGTGACGTATGCGCCAACGGCAGCGAGAATGAGGAAGATGAAGTATACGGGGTTGCGCAGAACTGTTCTTGTTAGTCGAGCTGAGAGACAAGGGATGTGAGGGAGACTTACCGGCTACTATTTCGTTCCACCCCAGTGCGAGAAGTAGTCCATAGAAGTACAGTGGCACCTGCGTCATGCCGCCGATGGCACTGCGCTTGGCTTCTACATAGACGCCGTCTGCTGTCTTCTTGAAGCGCACAAGAAGGTCTGCTTGCTTGGTGTCCGACAGCACTACTGTCTCATCTTCTAACGTCCTGCCCTCGTCGTCATCGAGACCTCCGATAGGTGCCAGATCCTCTTCATCGGCGGACGAAACAGACGCAGGCGCCTCACCGATCCACGCGCCAAGTGGTGGTGCTGATGATGTCTTCAAGAGTTTGAACCGAGCAAGCAGTGGGATGAGAGTAATGGTCGACTCGCGTGCCTTTGTGTAAACGCCCTCGATGTCGTCTGTGGGGCGCCATATTCTCGGTACGCCAGCCTCGTCGTAGCGGAACTTGTCCTCGAAGTTCTCTCGCAGCTTCAACAAGATGTTGCCCTCCATGACCTCCTCGTCGATCTTTGCGCGGAGTACACCCCACGACTTCCGTCGCAATCTCCATAAGCCAACCTCAACTTCTTCGGGGCTAGCGTCGAAGCTTTGTGCGCGGTCGGTGAAGCGCTTCTCGGCGCTCGAGACTGTGTCTGTGAAGATGGCCCAGACGCGGTCCCACAGGTCCTTTTCTGTCGCTGGCTTCTCACCATGCTCAGGGGCACCAGACCCACCACGCCCGGATCCAAGCTTGTTGAACTCAAGACCGACTGATTCGTCGAGGCGACCTCGTACCCAGCGCTCTATCCGTGTAGCCAACCGCCTCATCTCCTCCTTGCGCAGACGTCCAGATACTTCGTCCAGCTCTTTTTGGTACAGCGCAAGCTGATGTGTAGCGTCGCTCCACGATGCGCCCTGAATAGCAATTGACTTGGCGTCCTCCTCGAACTTTGCCAACGCTTTCTTCTTTTCCGAGTCCACGATTTGGGCGAAGTCATACGAGCCGCCTTTCTTCTGGCCATGCTTCACTGCTGTGCTGACGGCATTGCTGAAATCGTCGATGCCAGACTTATGTGCGGCGCCGATCTGCTTCTGGCTGAGTGCCTTGAGACGTGTATCGACCTTGCCTTCCAACTCTGCCAACTTCCTCTTGTAAACACCCTTGTGGTAGCGGCTCGCGTTCGTGTCGAAATTCTTGAAGACAAGCGCTCGTGCAGCATTCATAATCAGTCCGAGATCTGGAATGATTGAAGGTTGCCCTATCCTGGCATCCTCCGCCTGCCTGTCTTCCAATGGCGTGATCTTTTCGTCGAAGACCACAAGAACCTCCCGCGCGATCTCATCGCACCTGAACTGCGCAAGAAGTTCTTGCTGTGTTGGAAGATCGAGATCCTTGTTGTGTACAATCTGGTCCCAAACGCCCTCGGCGTATGCGGGGAACCCGTCGGCGGGAATTCGGCGATGGTACTGGGGAAGGAATATGGGAAGCTCAGCCTCGTCGAGAAGACCGCTCTTCTTCGGGTCATTGTAACCTTCTCTGAAGCGCAGGCTCAACTTGTTGACTGCCTCCTCAAACTTTTCCGGTTGCAGGATCTTGTGGGGTAGTGCGACGAAGGCGAAGTCGAAGTAGTCCTCGATGCGCGAGTTCTCGAGACCGGCAGGTTTCGATATGTTGGACCACAGTTTTGTGAGGTCTTGGATGATGGTATTCTGGAGGTTCTTGAGTGGTGTTGTGCCGAGGTGGTCACGGATGACAAAGAATAAGAGAGACTTGGGGATGGTCCTGTGTAGTGTCAGCAGCTCATCTTGCGTCAAACAAAGCTTGCACGTACTTGCTGTCCTTGACAAACAACTGCAAGTTGACTTCGAACACGGTCTTCAGCAGACCCATGTTTGCGCCCTGGTACAGACCAACTTGGTGCTCCCAGATGTTGACTATGAGAACCTCACTTGTCGCAAGCGCAAAGAGGGCACTCTTGCGCTCGAAGTCCTGGTCCTCTCCTCGCTCTCGTCCATCTGTGCCTTCCACATCCATAACCAGAATGTTCTCTGCCATGCCCGAGCCACCCGCTTCGCGCTTGTTCTTGCTCATCCATATTCCTTTTGTTGTCTGGCGGCGCTCCTGCTCTGACATGACACCGAATTGTGTGCCGAAGAGGTAGTTGAGGAGGGTCGACTTGCCCGTGGACTGCGATCCGAATACGGCAATGAGGTGGTAGTTGAAGCCTGCGGGGATGACCTGCTCGATGTTGAGGTATTTGGAGACATTTGAGCTGTGTTGCGCATGACTGTTAGCTGTCTGTCTGCCTAGGAGATGAAGTGTTAAAGAAGTACATACTTGAAAACCTTGTCCTCGTCGATGACTTGGACGCCATGCTCGTACCCGTCCTTGCCGCCGTCCTCGCCAACATTTGCGAAATGAGCGTTCATCATCATGCCCGGAGCAGTGGGGTGGCGAACATTGCCAGGACGGGTCCCATTATTGACCTTCAGGGTATCAGAGGCCATGCCTGAATGGTACAGCCGCGGGCAGCTGCACGTGTGCGGGAAGAATAACTTGGTGGAAAGGAGAAAGGTGGCCGTTGATGTCACAGGGCAAGGGGAGGTTAAGGGCGCACGCCGATGATTCGCTGCTGGGATGCTCGCTTAAGCGTTCAGGGCTACGCTCCCCGTTCATATGACGGTCTCGAGCATCATCTGCCTGTTTGTTTGCAGCATGCGAGTGGAAGCGGGGCCCAGCTGCCGAGTACGATTGTTGTGAGGAAGTCATTACGCCGGACCTACATCAGCAGGATGCATGGGCGCAGGATTGTGTGAGCGCGGTGTGGAAGCTGCGATCTATCTTCGATCTCGGTGCCGTTGCCAAGGAAACATACCCTTGCAAGCGCGCCATGTGAGCCTGTACCAGCTGTCAGTGAGACATTGTCTTGTCGGCTGCAAGAAGTGCGCTGTGCATCTCGCCATATGTACACGTTCATTCATCTATCATCTAATCATTTGTACTTCGCACTATTACTGTGCTCTACCGCTGCCACGTGTCTTCTTGCTTCGTGCCAGGCGGGAGCCCATAGCTGGGACCAGTAGGTGCTCTGCTGAAGCCTGTATCGTCGTCTCTCTTCTCGTCTCGTGCTGCTGGGTACGCGCCAATGCCAGCAGACATGGTGGCTGGGCTCGCTGTGAATGTTGGCCTCGACTTGAAATCCGTAGCTAGAGGAAGCAGTGTGCCCTGACCCTGTGATTGCAGCGCTCTGGCGCGTTTGTCCGCCTTGGCTGCGTCGGATGTCCTATCATACAGGTACAGGCCGATGAAGGTGAGGACAAATCCAAACGCCTGTGTTCGAGTCAAAGGCTTCTTGAACCAGACTACGGCAAAAACGATGACAAACACGCGCTTGATCAAGCTTGCAACGGAGTAGGTGACCGGTGAGACCATCGAGAGCAGGATGAAGGCCACAATATTCTGTCCAAAGTGGAACGTGCCGTTGAATAGAAACTCGAGCAGAAGTCGTCCGTGATCGTATGCGCCAGGCTTCTCAGACAATTCGATTGAGGCGTCGTGTAGAAAGTCGCCCATCAGAGTGAATCCTTCAGTCCACAACCAGAGTGGTAGCGTAATCAAAAATGCTAAGCCAGACGAGTAGCAGAGTAAATTGAGCTTGTCAGGTTTCGTGAACTTCGTCGGCGGTAGCCCTTCCTTCTCGGCGGAGGCCGCGTCGTTGAAAATCTGTTTCGAAACGATGTTCTGCGTAACGAAAACAATAGCGCTCGCAAAGGCCATGATCAGACCCATAAAGTTCGCATTGAAGTCTGCCGAGCATGCCAGAATGACACCGAGGGTAAGTGGTATTAGCGAGAGGTACGTGGGGATGGAGTACGAGATGCCAAAGAAGAAGCGATACGCAAAGACCGTCATGAGGGGTGACAATCCCTTGATGGTGTGCACCAGCGACACCGGTATCCTCGATGTCGCATCCGCGCTCAGAATATGACCGCCAATCATGAACGCGGTAAGGGGCAGCGTTGCGACAATGATCTCCTTGTGTGGCCTACGGATGCCATACTTCAAGAATGGCATCGTCTGCTTCATACGCGGATATCGTTTGGCCAACGCTGACAGTATTATGCACCATCCCGAGACGAAGGCGAATTGGGCGGTCGTGAGGGTAATCGGCTTCGGCAGCGCAGTGAGGATCGCCTTCGAGGACATGTTGGTGAAGATAGAAGTCAAATACCAGATACCACAGAGCGCCTGCATTCGTTAGCATCGCGTTGACAACCGTCAATCATTCAGACGTACGATGAGCTTTGGGGAGAGCGGCGCCTTGAGCGCATCTGCAATCTCGTGCGCATTCTGACTGACGCTGCCTTTCCGTGTTCTAATCGTCTGGAAAGCCTCACTCAGACTCTTCTGTCTACCGTGTCTATTCGAAGGCCCCGAAACCGAATGGCTCGCAAACCCCACCCTTGCTTCTTTCCTAGGTTGCCACCTGTCCGAAGGTATAGCATAGCCGTTCGTATGCGTCGCATGGCTGGGACTCGCATTGCGAGAAGAGGTGCGGCCCAACGGTTCTTCGGGAAGTAGATCTGGTTCAAAGGCGGGGAACCTGAATGTGGCATGCGGCCCGGCATCTCGTGCCTCTGTGGTGGACATTGATGCGGCAGTGCGTGAGTCGTGTAGGTCTCGGAAATTCTGTGATTAGGCCATAGATGCGGTGGTTTATTCGTATCTACTGGTGCGCTCCTGATAGGGTCTTGACGATGCCGGTCGCACCACGACGGCTGCCCGCAAGTGTCTAAGGGTTCGTCTGGTGTCGCGTAGCCTGCGCGAAAAGGCTTAAGGTGTTGAGTACAAGTTTCAACGGCGGATTGTTGCTGAACTTCCGACACCATCATCAACGCGTCCGGATGCAGTTCAGATCTGCTAGTTTAGCTGCAGCAGGGGTACGACGCCTATCATTATGCCGGATGCCAGCCACCGGCTTTATTAGCAACATCACGTCCTGCAGGCAAGAATCCTACGAAGTACTCAAGACTTGGCCGCGCGATGCACGCCCCCTCACACTGCCTGTCGTTGGCGATATTGCTGTTCCTGCAGCTCTGTCCACCGTGCCAATGCTCCATATCAGCCCCACTCGATCACAAGCCCCTGCTCTCCTTCAACAGCACATGGGAGATTCTTGGGCCGTTCCAGATAGGCACACGAGGTATGCAGAGCCTCAATGGACTGACAATGACGTTGCTGAGTTTTTCCAGAGGCCACTTGGGGTGCGGATCCTCTTGAATTTGAAGGTGGATTCAGGAACCTCGAGTATGACTCCCAGGCATCTTTCCGGAGTTCTCTTCCGACAACTGGCACCGCTCATTGGAACCTGACAACCGCGAAGACCCTCAGTGGCTCGGCTTCAGCCAATGCTTCTCTCAGTATAAGCTATTCCAATGTAGACTGGGATTTCCTTAAGACCATTTATGGATGGGCCTCGGTCCAGTATCAGACTTGGGCTCGAGGGGAGCTGATAGTCGGCGGCGAGGACACCCAACATATCATCCTTCATACCGATGCGATCCTGGAGTGTTGGATCAATGACACACACTACTTTGGCGGCGACTATTACAGCTATCGTAATGCTCCACCTGTACTGCACCTTGGCCCTGGAAATCACCGCATTGACCTACGACTGGCACGCGACGCTAGAGCTTTTGGAGGCATCCTTGAGCCCATCACCGGCGTTGTTGTGGCTGTTGAGCAGGTTACCGGCAACCTCAACCTAGCCAAGCCTGGGATCCTTATGTCAGATGTCATCGATGGCGAGCTCGCAACCCCTCATGGTTCGGTTACGTTGCGCAACAGCGGTACTCAGGATATTGAGATCACTGGAATCCATGCCGCAAATGTCAGCACCAGTGCTAGCACCTCCTATTCTCTATTGGGATTGGATACGGGCAGTCAAATGCCTATAGCACGAGGTGCTAACGATCTGGCGCCTGAACAGGTCACTGACGATAACGCTGAGAGTGCTCACGAGCCTAGTATAGTCATTGTCGCAGGACAGACTAGACCCGTGGCGTTCAACATCACGTTACCTTCTCACAACGCTTCGTCACTCGCATATAACATCACATACAGGACTGTTGGCAGCAACAAGCAGTCGAATCTCGAAGTCACTCAAGACCTCAACTATGTATCGGTTTACGATCCTCACAAAATCACGTTCTTACATCCAGGCGGCATGGTGTCTTATGCTATGCTTCGACCGCCAGCTAAGAACGCCAGCTGCCGACATGAGCAAAAAAGACTGCCTGTATTGCTGGCCATGCACGGAGCAGGTCTAGAGGCCGACAACCCTATGGTTCCTGGGGCTTTGAGACCCGTTTCTGACCTGTGTTCCTGGACCGTCTTCCCTACGGGCGTAACACCCTGGTCAGGCGACGACTGGCACAATTGGGGTTTCGCCGATGTAGAGGCCGCTATCGAAGCTATACCTGGCTGGATCCTGTACGGCAACTGGTCGGGGCCAGGTGTTGACACAAATCGCTGGATCGTTTCTGGACACTCAAACGGTGGTCAAGGCACTTGGTACGCGTTGACCCATCGTCCTGATAAAGTACTTGCTGCTGCCCCTGTCTCTGGTTATGCAAGCATCCAGAAGTACGTACCTTATGAGTTTTGGCAGCCTGCCGACCCTAGACGAACGTCAGTCGTTAGCGCATCTCTGAATAGCTATCGGCACGAGATGCTTATGGCCAATGCCCAGGGAATTCCTATTCGACAGCAGCACGGCGAAGTCGATGACAATGTGCCAGCGTACCACTCGCGATTCCTGTCCCAACAACTCCGGCTGGCAGGCGCTAACTCGAGCTACAACGAAGTGCCAGATCAGAACCACTACTGGGACGGCGTCATGACAACGCCACCCTTAGTCGATTTCTACTACAACTTTACTAGGAGTACAGAGGAGTTACCTCGTGAGCTAGATGAGTTCAACATCGTGGTCGGCGATCCTGGTGACATGGGTAGTAAGGGTGGAGTCAGGGTCACGCAGCTCGAAGATCCTGGGCAGTATGGCAGAGTGCACGTACGAGGTCGTAGGGTGAAGACATCGAACGTGTTGGGCATTGAATTTGGTCATCCATTCTGGACAGACACTGTCGTTGTTGACGGTCAAACACTGGACCTTGCGGGCGCCGCTGCAAACACTGGCTCTACTATCCAAGCGCGTCTGTCAGGTAACAGCTGGGTCATCAATACAGTCGGCACGACAGATGAGTCAACCGACAGACGAGGTCGCCAGCTGGGTTCGATGACGGCTATTCTACGCACCCACGGTCCCATCATCATCAAGCACCCTGGAACAGTCCATGCCTCACACCTCGCCCTTCAGGTATCGCGCAACCTGTATCAGTACTTCCACGCCGACACCGTTATCTTAAGCGACATTGCAGACACTGCATCTGCGAACGCCACTGGCAATGTCATTCACCTCTCTATCGGTGATGGGCTCACAAGCGCTGATCCAGACTTTCCCATCCAGGCGTCTACATCAGGTGCTTCACTTCGAGACAGCCGCGGGCGAGAGCAACTATACGACAATTCGCAAGGTGCTGCGTGGTTGCGACCATTGGATGGCGAAAGGCTGGAGCTAGTGCTCTGGGGAGCTGACGAAGAGGGGCTTAGGCAAGCTGCCAGGTTGGTGCCCATGCTCACGGGCGTAGGTCAGCCAGACTTCGTTATACTTGGTGAGGAGACGAAGTGGAAGGGCATCGAAGGTGCACTGGCGCTGGGCTTCTTCAACTCGCAGTGGCAGGTCACTGCATCTAGCTTCGTATCGTGAGCCGCTATCTACCAACAGCCACAATAGAGACAGCTGTTCATCTTCACCTTCACCGTCTTAACGGCCCTGCGATATCGGGGACGCTTACTATGCCTTCCCTGACTGGCTAACAGTCGACGCGAGCTCGGCGGTGACGGCGACTAATGGGCGCGCCTGCGCGACTTCCCCTTCCATAACGCTAAACGCGTCTTCGTCTTCGCTTCCTTCCCCACAACTTCGCCTTTCCTTTCCACATCAACCTCCAGTCGCGGTGCAACTTCTTCTCACCGTGCCCACACTCCCTTCGTCCTTTCCAGTGCGTCGCTGCTAACTGCAAGCTACCAATCTAGTTTGCATCTTCTGCGTTTCCACTCCGCTTCTTCATCTACTTGGCCATATACGTCGCCAACGGAGTATCGTCGAGCAGCTGTGTCTTGCATATTATCCTCGCATCTGCACAGTCACGTCACCATACGCACATCTCTCGGATCTCTTTCATCTACCAGCACCTCGCCGCCACTGAAAATGGCCTTCAATATGACTTCGGACGGCTCGCCCACTCCCCGCAAAGGTCCTGCCCGATTCAACATGCCTCATGGAGACCTGAGGGTCGACACTTCACCAGAGGTACTGGGCCAGCTCAACGGCAGTAGCCAGAACTGCTTCCCATACGGTCTTCACCCTTCTTTTGGCTCGTCATTGACATCCAACTCGCAGGGTCTGAAGCGGCCGCTCGGTACTTCCACCATGGGCAACATCGGCATGCCTTCAATGCAGCAGCAACAGCAGCAGCAGCACTTCGGCAGCTCCAAGGTCAGTCGACACCCTGTCAGATCTTTGCCATTATGACGAGTTCTCTCCTTCACTTCACATGCTTGAGGCTTACTGATGCACAGAACAAGGGTGACAACTACCAGGATAAGTCCGTCATGGACTCGCTCTTGCAGCGTCTGCATGAGCGGTCATCGCCTGATGATTCATACAAGTCCTCCTCCAGCAGCTCGGTTCCCATCACGCCAGCCACCGAGGATTACGCGAGCACGCCACCTACGATGGCCTCTGCGGACTCTTCCATTCTAGTCAATGCATCGGAGCTGCACAAGATTAGGGAAGAGCTACAAGCTGCCAAGGACAAGATCGCTCGTATGAATCAGGATGCCCACAGCCACCTCGTTGCCAGGTCCACGATGGAACATCTCAGCCAGTCGTCCGAAGCCGATTACGGATACAACATTGGTGAGGTTACGGAGCAGACGCTTGCACAGTTGCAGAACAACTTCAACGCTTCCACCCGTGCTAATGACGGCTGGGGCAACCAGTCGGCTCGTCCACCCTACAACACGAACAACAACTTTGGTTCTCAGTATCAGGCCCAAGCCCAGACCCAAGCTCGACCACCGATCCTTGTCGGCCAGTCCACAGCTCGACGAGGCAGCGGCTTCCTCAACGAACCTACTCACTTTCCTCTTGACCAGGGCTTCCGCGGCGGTGGCATGAACAACGGCATGGGCAGCTTCATGGGCAACGGTATGGCCGCAAGCTTCAACGCTGGCTACAGCAACGGAATGAGCAACCCACCGAGCCGCCCGGACTCTGCCTTCGACCCCGCTTACAACCAGTATGGCGGACTGCCCATGCAAGCTGCAAACTATTCTACTCCGATTGGAACTCTCGGTGGAAGCAGGCTTTCTCCTGTTGCAAACGAGTTCGACGTGTCCACTGGCATGGGTCCTTCACCATGGAACTCTCAGGTGATTGGCTCTTCGCATGACGATAACTTGAATATCTGCTGACACTTCTTCCAGGCTCCCAGTGAGACCGGTAGCTCGCAATATATGCCGCCTGTCGAACCCTTGAACTACCGCCGGCTGTTGGATCGCAACATGAGCTGCAACTGGAAGTACATTGTCGACAAGATCATCTGCAACAACGATCAGCAGGCTTCGATATTTCTCCAGCAGAAGCTCAAGGTCGGCACGCCAGACCAAAAATACGACATTGTCGAAGCCATCATCGCCCAGGCTTACTCCTTGATGATCAACCGCTTCGGAAACTTCCTGGTTCAGCGCTGTTTCGAGCACGGCACGCCAGACCAGATCATTGCCATTGCTCAAGCAATCCGTGGCAATACGCTTGCTCTCAGCATGGATGCTTTCGGCTGCCACGTCATTCAGAAGGCTTTCGACTGCGTTCCCGAAGAGTACAAGGCCACCATGGTTCACGAATTGCTTCGTCGCATCCCAGAGACTGTCATTCACCGCTACGCATGTCACGTTTGGCAGAAGCTGTTCGAGCTGCGCTGGAGCGACTCACCGCCACAGATCATGCGCTACGTCAACGAGGCCCTCCGTGGCATGTGGCACGAAGTCGCTTTGGGTGAGACTGGCAGTCTTGTCGTTCAGAATATCTTTGAGAACTGCCTGGAGGAGGACAAGGTGCGCCAAACATACCCCTGTTCCCCAGATGTTTCCTGCTCACCAGTCATAGCGTCCTTGCATCAACGAGGTACTTGCTAGCATCGACGTGATTGCTCATGGCCAATTCGGCAACTGGTGCATCCAACATATCTGTGAGCACGGTGCTCCTGCCGACCGCAGCCGTGCCATCGATCACATCCTCCGCTTTGCGACCGAGTACAGCATGGACCAGTACGCATCTAAGGTCATCGAGAAGTGTCTGAAGATCGGCAACACCGACTTCTTAGATCGCTACTTGGAGCGTGTCTGCGAAGGTCGCCCCGACCGCCCCCGTATGCCTCTGATCGATAGTGAGTGCTCGTTCCTTGGTTCCGGGTGATTCGATGCTGATATCGCTGTAGTCGCTGGAGATCAATTTGGCAACTACCTCATCCAGTACATTTTGACCAACAGCAGTGCACAACACCGCGAGATTGTCGGCAGCCACATCCGCAAGCACATGGTCTCCCTCCGCGGCTCGAAGTACGGCTCGCGCGTCGCCATGCTGTGCTGCAACCCCGCCGTCACCACACGCCCCGGCCCACCTGCTGGTATGGTGCCTCGCTACAACGCCCCCGTTGGTCGCACTACCGCCTTTCCCGGCACCTTCCGCTGAAGGTCATATCTGATAGACACATCTGGCTTCAACTTACACCGTTGGTTATCGTAACCACGAACGCGCTCGTTCCCGTTGTCGATCTCACCGAAGAGATATTCCCAAGTTACAGTTCATGTCGAAAAAGATTGTCGAACCGATTGGGAGAAGACGCAAAACCATTTCCTAGTGTTGGACGGATCAGCATCGCCACTCGAGACATGTCTACCCACGATATGCTCTTTCTTGTTTATCTCAGCATTTTCTTCCTGGGTTGACTAATTGGTGCATGAGCAGGATGGTCGACTGGAGACGATGTCAGATACTGGAGCTGGATCCTTGTACGTGGTTATCCTTCTTACAAAAGTACCGCAGGTTCTAAGGAGTATGGCTACAAGAAAGCATGGCAGGTTGTGAACATTCCTCCAAAATATAAGCAATCGTGCATTACATTACATGCTCCTGCATGAAGTTTGAGATTATATGTGGATAGCTTCCCTCGCAGCTTGTTCGTGTCATATAAGATACGTGCAATGTGCTTAGTGATTGCAATTGTATGGTGCTGGTGTTGAGGACCGACTCGGAAGCGAAGCTCGGGATTCGGCGGTAGCTCGGGCGCGTTCGGAACTTCATGTATGGACTTCCGGCAAGACGAGTATTTCCCGGAGGAAAGACCGACGGTGCATAACAACGATTCCAAAACACGGGAGTCTGAGGCCTGTGGTTCAATTTGGCCGTGGCGGACATGCCCGAATTATGTGAGTTGCTGGTGGAACGGCCAGCGGCAACGCTAGTGATGCCGCAGCGGCTTCACCGCGTGATCCGAATAATTTGCGATGCACGAGACGGACCGTTTCTGGAGCATCGCTGACTGTTCGGCCTCTTCGGCGGTAGGGCTGATCGGACAGAACTGCTTGCGCTTGTTTTCAGATGCTGGATCGCCCAGACCTATGAGATCACGACTCGTCATCTGATCTGAGCGGCAAGAAGAGCAATTACACGCAGTCTGAAGAGTAGAGGCGACTAGCACAAGCACATCTGGATGGACAAACCGGAGAAAGAAAGATGTGGCGCACAGCATGTCAGGGCGCGGTGGTTCGATGCTCTGTCTGACAGATGGTCGGGAACAAGGCCGTCGTGACAGGGTCTGCCGAAAGGCGTTGCCTCAGCACGCGCTAAGCTGCCGGGCAGTCGGCGACGTCACCATGGGGTAGTTTTGAGCGCTGCGTTATCCTTTCATAAGCATTGCGTGCGCCTGGCTCCACTGCTGGCCTTGAACATATCGCACTCTCCTCTTTGCGAGCTCTGTACTCTACGATTGTCCCCTCTGAAAACACGTTATACCCAGCACATACGACGAAAGTACATAGAACAAGCTATCACACAAGATGAAGGTCCTCACGCCCGAGCAGGAACAGGCGCATTACAAGTGAGTTGACTTACAGGAAGCTGCGCGAGAGGTCGCTGATGGATATGAAGTGCCTCAGTTAAAGGCGGAACAATTGCTGGTCTTGTCGGCACAGCAGTCGGCGCCGCCGCTGTAGTGGGCGCAAGCAGAAGATACCCATCCTTCAGGGCGCTGACCCTGCCCTTCCGGGCTTTCCTCGTCACATCCGCAGGAACATTCACTGGTACGTTTGTGCTATGAAATCTTCTCTTTCCGCCTCCATACTAATTCTCCCCAGCTGTCATTGCCGCCGACCGCGCCTCGGCACAATGGGATATCGAGAACAACCCCGAGAAGAAAGCCGAAATCGAGCGCGAGCGCAGTCGTGCGGCCCTCCTGGAGCAGAACAAGACGGCCTTCGAGCGCGCCAAGGGTTGGGCAACTGAGAACCGGTACCCGCTGCTCTTCGGCTTCTGGGTCGCCTCCATGGCTGGCTCCTGGACAATGGTCAACCGCAACCCCTACCTGAGCGGCTCCCAGAAGCTCGTTCAGGCCCGTATGTACGCCCAGGGAGGTACACTGGCAGCGCTACTTACGTCATTCGCGATCGAGGGCGCGGATGCGGCAAAGGGCAAGGGACGCTGGGAGACGATCAAGGTCCTGGATCCGAATGACCCGACACATCAGCATATCATTGAGAAGAAGATCCACCATGAGCGGTATGCTGGCGAGGACCAGTGGAGAGGTATGTTCGATCTCTGTGGTGCTGACGAACCGTGCTTTGTCACGATTACAGCTTTGTCATGATCACGGCATCTTGACATTTGAGGAACTATGCTGACGAACTCACAGAGATGGTTGAGGCTGAAGAGGAGCGCATTAAGGAGCGCAACGCGCAGATCGAGGCCAAGCGCGAACACCCCGAAAACAAAGAGAAGCAGGGCAAGGCGCAAAAGGAGAAGAAGGAGGAGAAGGACAAGTCTGGCGACAAAGCTTAGACGTCTGCACATTGATTCTCCTCCGGTCCAGCACCTTCGCTGACCTTTAACATTTGCTGTCTCATCGCCGATTCGAGCTTGTCTAGCTACCCCCGTCCGAGGCTTGACGATAGCTCTAGCACTCCGTTACCATTTCCTGGCGTTTGGCGGCTACATACGAGTATTCCACGCACCTACGACCTGTACGAGTAGTGTTCAGCCGATTGAATGCGAAGCGGCTATGTTTTGTAGAAAATATTGCTCTACCAGAGCTCTAGTGCAATTGACCTCATCTTGACCTCCTACCATAGAAAGTGTTTTGCGGCTATGTGTCTCGCCTACCACACCTTTTGAGAGTTGCCACGCTCACTGAGCACTTGTCCTGGATGTTCAGACTGCGTAAGCTGTCTAGAGGTACATAGACGTCACTCTTAGCGTACCCCGGATTAAGGGTCGTATAGACTAGGGTCTGTCATGACGTCGATGCATCTCAAAGAGTCGTGGGCGTCACATGTTTCCGCGCCTGAGCTACACCAGCTTTATGCATGACCTGTAGATCTTCATCCTAGACGCACTGAAGCACTGTCCCTATCCCCCTCTGTCTCCGTACCAAAACCAGAACAGCCCACAGACGACAAATCAACCACAGACCTACCTCCACCAGCCCAAGCACAAACCAAGACCCAACCCACGCCAGAGTCCCAAAGCCCCAATAATGCCACCCCCCTCATCCTTCAGCAACATCTCCCACCGCCTCCTCGACAATGCCCGCCTAGCCAGCGCCCCTACGAGGCCTGCAGACCCCTCCTTGACGGCGGCCATCGCAGACCTCGCTCTCCACCCCACGCTCGAAGCCACCTGCCACATTCTCAATCACGACCTGCCCTCTGCACACTTCCTCGTGCGGCACATGCAAGCCCCGCCCGCGCTGGAAGGGATGCTGCTGCACAGCATCCTTCACCGGAGCGAGGGCGACTTCGGCAACGCACGGCTGTGGCTCGGTGACGTCGGCGACGCGTGTGAGGGGTGGGTGCCGAAGAAACGTCGTGACGGCGAACGGCTGGATGTGGATGTAGCGGGGCGGTGCGCGTGTCCGAGCTTCGACGCGTCGCTTGTCGATTATGTGTATGGCGAGCAGGGGGTCGAGGGGGCGCAGATGTTGGTGGATGATGTGGAAGCGTTTCGCAAGCGGAAGGGTGGGGAGAGCGAAGAGGGGAGGTTGAATGAGAGGATTAGGGAGGAGATGACGAAGGGAATGGAGTGGTGTGTTGAGAAGTTTGGGACGCGGCGGTATGCCGATGCGAGCAAAGCGTGGGTCAAGAATAGCGAGGAGGTGCAGAAGATTAGCAATGATATGGTGAGCGGGGGGAAGGGGCATCGCGAGTTCTAAGGAGTGGTTGGTGCAGATGCTCACTATCTTGAACGGTGAAACCAGACATGAACCATATCGTGGCTGGGTGAGGCATAGACGTGATAGTGGACGCTGCATTGCATTCGTACAGCAGCATAGTGACATTACCATCTCCAACTAAAGAAAAGACCCACCAACATGCGGAAACCAAGACACAGACCTCTAAGCCGGCTCATCCAGCACAGCCAAGCACCTGCAATGGAAGCAGAAACAGGAAGCAGATGTTGAAAGAGGGTAGTCGACCAAAAGACATCCTGGACGCCGTGAAACTTGACATGACTCGTGGGCATTTGCACATGACAGGCGTATCTGGTCGTTCAGCGCAGCGCACTGCTATCGTCTGCCCCTACCGAACGTGCGTGAGACGCAGCGCAGTGCGTCGTGAGGCTCACGTGTGTTCGTCTAGCAGCATCCCTTCTTCTGCTCTGCATCGGCCGACTTGCTGATCTCGAGGACCTTGCGCTCGCCGCCGAGGACGTTCTGGCTGCCCTCGCCCTGGTCGAGTGCCTTGCTGGAGACGATGCGGTAGATTTCTGGTGGCTTGTCAGTCCAGTCCTTGGCTCATCGCAACGCTGCGTAGTATGAGGGGCATTGGCGACGGGGCGGCGGGAACGTACCTGTGAGGATGTTCTGGAAAGCAAGCTCGACGTTGCTGGCGTCCAGGGCGGACGTCTCGATGAAGGACAGATTGTTCTCGCCTGTAAGTGGTCGTTGTTAGCAGCCGTCTCTGCATCGACATACCCAACCGTATGCTGCGAATCCGTGTACGTACTCGCAAACTGCTTGGCCTCCTCGGTGGGCACTGCCCGCAGATGCCTCAAATCGCTCTTGTTTCCAACCAGCATGATGACGATGTTCGAGTCGGCATGGTCGCGCAGCTCCTTCAGCCACCTTGTAACATTCTCGTAAGTCTGGTGCTTGCTGATGTCGTAGACGAGCAGCGCTCCCACGGCGCCGCGGTAGTAGGCCGATGTGATGGCGCGGTACCGCTCCTGGCCAGCTGTGTCCCAGATCTGGGCCTTGATGGTCTTGGCGTCTACCTGGATCGAGCGGGTCGCGAACTCGACGCCAATGGTCGACTTGGAGTCGAGGTTGAACTCGTTGCGGGTGAATCTGCTCAACAGGTTGGATTTACCGACACCTGAGTCTCCGATGAGGACCACTGCTGGGCATTAGCGGGGGCAGGCGTGGCGGCGCAGAGGCAGTGGGTACCCTTGAAGAGGAACTGCAGCCAGTGTGTCAGTACAGGAAGCCATGAGCGCACAAGTCGCACAGGAGACTCACGTCATATTCGTCGTTCGCCATGGCTGCCGTGAGCGGGGGAGCGAGTGCGCAGTGGGGGAGGGCGCCCGTATGTTGGCGCGAGACTGGGCGGTGGTGGTGAAGGTAGTCGGCGTGGTGGTGTGCGGGCGGTGTAGGGCTATGGCAGTGCCTCTTCGTAGTTCGTGGGCGGAGATCTGGCTGCCTCCTGCCTCGACAAAGCCATGCGTGGAGCTGCGGGCGGCAGGCGCCAAGTCGCAAACGGCGCTAAGGGACCCTAGTGCCATACTATCTTACTTCCACTGAGCTGGAGCTCTCCAAGAGCGGCAGAGCGGCCATCTCCCTCTCGACTCGCCTGTTTCACGTCGCTCGAACGGTCAAACCTGAGAAGCGCAAACGGGTCGCAATCGCATTCGGCGGCTCCAGGCGAGTGCGGAACGCTGCAGGAACAACTGTCGACCAAATGTCACGGCTTCAATTAACTTACTACTAGCCAATCAACGTGTCGGCGCTTGAGCAGTTGCGCGAGGTCATGTCCGCACCACATGACCTCGTCGAAGACTACGACATGGATACAGTATCATTGATGTCTGCTGTGGAAGACGAGCAGGAGGGCCTGTACTTCAACGCTGAGTGTATTATTGCTGAGAACCTTGACGACGAAGAAGAGTACCTCGTCAAATGGGAAGACTATCCGTTACACCGGTATGTCGGTCGAAACATTCAGAAGTGTCATACTGATAGGTGACTTAGATGTAAGAAACACTTCGCGTTGCAACTGCTACACGTCATCCTAGAGTGGCAACTCGCTCTTCTAGCGAAACCCAGCACACTGACCAATTGACCACAGGCACCTGGGAGCCGCCAGAGCATTTGGACGGTACCAATCTGCTCTCCGAATGGAAACGGCTCAAGGAAGAGCTCGGTGAAGCTGCCCTCCAACGTGAGAACGAGAGGAACTGCAAGGCCTATGCAGAGGCGATAAAGAGAGTAGAAGCTGTCAAGAAGCGCAAGGATGCAAAGTGCGCGAAGAAGCGCAAGAAGCTGCAACGGCGGGATCGCAGAGTTATTTTTGACGATGACAGCAGCGAAGAAGAGCCTTTGGCTACATCACGGAGAGGTCGCAGCCTGTTTGTGGACGAGGGACAGCCAGTCTCAGGCTCACCGGACAAAAGCCCTACCGACGCACGCCTCTCTCCTGTTCCTCGCAAAGCGCCTTTGCAGCAGTCTTCTTCTCAAGAAGAATCGAGCTCAGAGGTACATGACTCAGGCGACTTTCTAATGGGCGAACTGCAAAGAGAGAATAGAATGACACGCAAAGCGGACCGACGTGCGGCGCGCAGCCCACTGCGCACCTCGTTGTTACATAACAAGAAGGCAGAGTCTACTACTTCGGTAAGAACATCAAAGACAGCAGCGGCAGCTGAGAGAGGTCCGCAGCGACTCAAGGTATCTGCCGTTACCACAAAGTCTGCTTTCCCGACTGTGTCAGAAAAAGACAAAACTGTCGTCACGACCGCAACCATATCAAACCCCACAGAAAGCACAGTCTCCAAAGGGGGTGGGAAAGCTATCCATACAGCCCCATCAAAGCAGACGAATCGAGCGATCAACTTTTCCGATCAGCCAAAAGAGCAACAAAGAACGGGCTGGTTGACTGACAACCATTATAACAAGCTGAAGTATAGAGGCCTTGCAGAAAAGCGATCTCGTACGGAAGGTACACCAGACTTCAATGCACTCACCTTTGTCAACGGCCCGCCACCCACGTTGTCCAAAGCAGCAACAAAATCAGGCGGCGATCCCTATAGTCGTCGCGATATTGCGAATCGTCGTATACAAGAAGAGGAGAATCCCGATGACCGATCCCAACTTGGACAGGACGCGGGGCCTCTTGCCGACTGGGAAAAGGATAAGTTACCGTTGATTTGCAGCGCCTGTAAACTCAGTTCGAATTGTGCATTCGGTGCACAGAAGTGCAGATTCATGCATCGAACTTATGATCCACAAGGTCAACCGTACCAGCTGGGCGACATCAACAATTGGATTCCCCCAAAGTATCGCAAGTCACCAATTACTTGTAAGTTCTGGTGCAATGGAAATAGGTGCAAGAAAACTCCGGAGGAGTGCACATATGCACACGAAGATACAGGCTGGACGGAGATCAACGGCAAGCCAATCGAGAGGGAGCATTTGCCTCCTACTATAGCAGAAGCTACAATTCGGGATGCACCGCCGCACTTCATTCCATTCAAGCTCCGGAATCCACCCATCACATGCAGCTTCTGGCTGCAGGCTCCACAAGGTTGCTCCAAGACTGAAGCCGCTTGCAAGTGCGCTCATTGGAACACGGGCTGGGCGCATCCCGAACACGACATCAAAGCACCTGCCGTTCCAATAGATCCAAATCTACGGCCTCGACGTGTGCCGTCCAAGTATGCCGATCCTCCCGTGACATGTCCATTTTGGCTGAGATCAGAGTCTGGCTGCACAAGAACAGACGAAGAGTGTGAGTACGCTCATTGGAATACCGGCTGGGCTCCATCGGGCTTAGAAAATGGACAGCCGTTGCCCATTGACTCGAGCATGCAGTCACGCAGTCAGTCTTACTTGAGTACTGGACAAGATCAATCCACAGATAGCGGAATGATTCTGCCCAGTTCACAGGGTCAAGCTAACAAAGATCTCACCTGTTCTGCCTGGTTGAGAGAGCTTCAGGGCTGTCCAAAGTCTGAAGACGCATGCGACTATCTCCACAGAAACACGGGACGGGCCATTTCCAAAAACAGACCATTCGATCGTACTATACCACTAGACCCTAATCAGATACCTCGCTTCCAGCGCAACCATAACGGATCAGTTCGCTCAAATGTCTTCGATGTTCCGGCACCAAAAAATGCAGACCCCTCAATAACATGCTTCTTTTGGTTGAACCATCCAGAGGGTTGCAGTTACAGTGCTGCCGACTGCAGCTTCGCACACAGAAATACAGGATGGACGCGGCCCCGGGGGTCGGGACAGAATCCAAAGCCTAAGCAGATCAACCCCAGAGAAATGCCTCGGTTCCGGAAATACGGTGAGTGTTATTTTCTTGGGCGAGACGTCTAGGTGCGTGGCGATGCTATCGTTAGCATAGGCATCGTGATACGCGTATTTGCATTGCTCTTTATTGCATCTCACTGAATCTGCAAGTAGATCCGACCGACGACAGTAGCATGCAAAATGGTCACACCGGGCCATCTTCACGAATAGGGTCGCTCAACTTTGCAAGCGAGCCTGGTTTCGACATCGCTGATCACATGCTTCCCACCTTTTCTCGAGAAGTTGTGCAAAGCCCTGTCGCTATTGATGATTTTTCCAGGAGCCAATTGCCAGCTACCATAACCTCTGTCCAGCTCAATGCAAAGATTGAGCAGCTCTACAATATGAACATTATGGACATGTTCAACTCGGGTGTTCCGGACGATGACACGATGCTCGAGCATCGAGCTATGCTACTGTATCATCCTCAAGAACACACAGAGGATATCGAGCTTGTTACACGATGGCTGTTGATGCACGATGTGCAAGTGTCGAACCTGTGGTATGACGGCGCTTGGACGCAGTTCCATCAGGACATGTCTGAGGGCAAATCTGGCATTATAATCGTACGTTCACTATCGCGACAAAAACACTCAAACTAACTAATTCAGGCGCATCCGGATTTTGAGCGATTCGTGGAGCTTCCCGGCTTTGGTGAGGTCCTCAAGCAGCGGACACGCGTGTGGTCTGTTGGTCTGCAACCACCCGCAGAATATGAGTTTGGCGTTAGTCCGGATCCGCCAGAGCTACAGCATGCTTGCATCGGCATCTTTCCACATGGCGGCTTTGTCTACATCACCGACGATGTTTTCGAGCAGAAGCCGCAGCTCGCGCTGAGTATCGTGAAGCTGTTTTTTGCCAAGATCGAGCAGCTGCGCAGCCTAGGTGGACCTGTCTCGCCGTGGTTGGAGATATCTGACGCATGTCTGCTCTGGCGACTCTGTGTTCGTCCCGAACTGACGGAGGCCCTGTACCGAAAGTGTGAGGATAATTCGGTGAAGCTTGCAGCGCAGAACTCTGATTATATGAGGTACCTTCTCGACAACCCTACAGATGTTTTATTGCTAACGACTCCAACAGCCGTGCCGAACTCTACCAGCTCCTGACATTAACAAATTACATCGAACAAGATCACCCGATCGAACCACGCAGCCTTGTTGAAGACAAGTACCCCATCATTTCCGAGCGCCGTGTCGTCGCTGAGCACCCGCCTCTTGACTACTTCAATCGCCTTGCCAATAGTCAGGAAGACGCCAATACTCACATGATTGGCTACTATGCAGCCATGCAATCAGCTGATATGCGACGCGCGTATCGTTACTTCTACGTTGTACATACAGATTCCGAAGCAGCTTGTGCGAAAGAGTGGAAGGCAAGCATTCACAACATTGCTGAGATTATCACGCCAGAGCAATGCATCGAAGAGCTCAGTAAACCAAGCAAAGAAAGTTTGTTCGACTTCCTCGACTGGGCCATGGGGCCGAAGGAGGGGGAAGCAGAACTCGAGTCTGAGGGAGAAGAAGAACTGAGGGACGCTGCTATGGAGATGTCTTCGCCTCGGGCAAAGATCTCCACCGTCCCTGCGGCATAGTAAGATGTGAACAGGACTCTCGGGGTCTCTCTCAAGCATTTTGTCGAGTTTACCGACAGGAAAAGGAGTAAGGCGCATAAATACCCAATCGTTCTGGCAAAGTCAACGGCGTTGATGTTGCTCAGTGCTCGCTCAGCAATTGCTCAGCACGAAGGAGCAACAGCAGCATAATTGCTACAGTCACAATCGATCAAAGATTTCACCCCATCAACAATGTCCTCTTTATCTATTGAACACTGACCACCCAAAGATAGCAGGAGATACGAAGTCTCCCCTTCCGACTATCGGTCGCACTGCGGGCATTTGCATGCGGCCCCAGATGACGCACTGGCGTGGCTTGACTCGGTGACATCTGCAATTTGACAACAGCGCCGTATCACGCCCAGCGCTCTCCAATCACCTCTCCACTCGTTCTCGCAAGCTTATCTTGGCTCCAGACATCAGAAATATGGCCGAGCTCAGCCCAGATAAGGCGTCGCGCGTTGACCAGGAGGCTCTGCAGACGCAGCATTAAATACACGCTGCAGTCGCGTGACGACCGCACCCGCGCCCTCGGTGACCAATCTTCGACATTGTCAGAATAGCCAGCCCTTCGCCATCTCTAGCTCCCTGCTTCAGCCGCATCCAGAACCCACACGGTAGTGGATTCCCCGCAACTACCTTAGGCCGGCGCATTTCGCGCTCGCTCGCGTTCGTCAAACCTGCCGTCCTAGCCCGTTCTTCTCGCCGCGCCGTACTTAGACCGCTTGTCCCCACGTGCGTTCGCAGCCAACGTCGCACAACTCCCGCGGACCTTGCAGCTTGCGCTCTGACGGTGCCCAACACGCCGCGCCACGAAAAGAGATAGACCGCCAAGTCGTACAGACGCAGTCGACATGGACGTGAGTAAACGGAGCATGAGCATTACCCAGACGGGCGCTGGGCGCAAGGCGTCGGTTGCGAGCAAAGATGCTAGCGCTGATGCGGCGCTCGCGAAGATGGGGTATGCGAGTGAGTTGCCAAGGAATCTAAGTATGTTGAGTGTGCTGGGGCTGTACGTATGCTCTCTTTATCTGGGTGCGATGCTTGGGGGGAGAGGAGCGCAATTGCGTTGGGTATCTCAGCACGTCGGTCATGAAATGAACAAGGGACTCGGTGCTGTTTGTTCGTGGCGGGATTGTATTGCTAACATAACGTAGTTCCTTCGCCATCATGGCCGTTCCCTTCGGTCTGTCGACGACTATGTACATCACCCTGACCGACGGCCAATCCGTAACCATCCTCTGGGGTTGGGTCCTCGTCTCACTCATCAGTCTGGCCATTGCCGCCTCGCTCGCGGAGATCTGCGCCGTCTACCCGACCGCCGGCGGCGTGTACTACTGGAGCGCGATGCTCAGCACGCGCGAGTGGGCGCCCATTACGTCGTGGGTGACTGGCTGGCTGACGCTGGTCGGCAACTGGACCGTCACGCTGAGTATCAATTTCTCGGGCGGCCAGCTGATCCTCAGTGCCATTACCCTGTGGAACGAGGATTTTGTGCCGAATCAGTGGCAGACTGTTCTCGCGTTCTGGGCGGTCATGCTGATTTGTATGGCGGTCAATGTGTTTGGCGCGAGGTATCTGGATCTGATCAACAAGGTCTGCATTTACTGGACGGCGAGCAGTGTGGTTATTATTATGATCACATTGCTGACAATGGCGGATGTCAAGCGCGATGCGGATTTCGTGTTCACGCATTACGATGCGAGTGCGAGTGGCTGGTGAGTAGACCTAAATGATTGTGCTAGAGAATATGGAGCTGATGATCACTAGGCCGAGTGGATGGGCGTTCTTTGTTGGTCTGCTGCAGGGCGCGTACGTGCTCACGGGATACGGAATGGTGGCTGCAATGTGCGAGGAAGTGCAGAACCCTGAGCGCGAGGTCCCCAAGGCTATTGTTCTTTCGGTTGCCGCAGCGGGTGTGACGGGTGTCATCTACCTCATCCCCATCCTCTTCGTCTTGCCGGACGTGCAGCTTCTGCTCCAAGTTGCCAACGGTCAGCCTATCGGTCTCCTGTTTAAGACAGTCACTGGCTCTGCCGCTGGCGGTTTCGGCCTTCTCTTCCTGATCCTAGGTATCCTGTTTTTCGCCGGAATCGGTGCGCTCACCGCTGCCTCTCGATGCACATACGCCTTTGCTCGCGACGACGCCATCCCCGGATCCGGGGTCTGGAAGAAGGTCTCGCAGAAATACGACATCCCGCTCGCAGCTCTGGCTCTGTCGACTGCAGTCGACTGCCTCCTCGGCCTCATCTACTTCGGCTCATCCGCTGCGTTCAATTCATTCACTGGTGTCGCCACGATCTGCCTGTCAGCCAGCTATGGCATGCCGATTCTGGTCTCGATCATCCGCGGTCGTCAGGCTGTGAAGAACTCGTCCTACTCGCTTGGCCGCTTTGGATACGCGATCAATGTCGCCATGGTAGCATGGATCTGTCTGGCTCTTGTGCTATTCTGCATGCCCGTCAGCTTGCCCGTTGAGCCAGCGACGATGAACTACGCTAGTGTGGTGTTTGCTGGGTTTGCGCTGATCAGTCTGATCTGGTACATCATCCATGGAAGGAAGCACTTTACCGGCCCTCCGGTGCCGCAGGACGTTGCGCCTGGTGAGGAGATTGCGGTTGCTGGGCTGGCGGTGACGGATAGTCGACATGAGAGGAATGGGGATGTGGAAGCTAAGGGTGAGAAGCTGTAGATTAGACTCTTTGAGGTTGTTGAATGGAGAAGTGACGATGAACATTTTCGATGCTGCTTTCTCGACTACTAGTGGCCGCTCTTGTTGTGAGATACCGAGGCGTTGCTGGTTCAATAATGGTGGATGCTCCCGACATAATCGCACAATCCGAGAGTTTCGGTCGTCTGGGCATGAGGAAGTTCCGGTCACAAAAGGTTCATGGCTACAGTGAATTCCTCCAGTCTGGTGCTTGACACGCTAGTGACGCCCCACATGGACCTGGTGACGCGAGCCGCTCCAACCACTTACGGTACGCGACGAACACGCCCGTCACTTGAATGGACGCGTCGTTTCCCAAATTCTGCCCTGGATGGCCCCAAGGTAAATTGCGCATGCTCTTTTCAGATGTTCGGTACATGGACAGCAGCAAACAGCTGCTATTCCGCCGTACTGGACCCTCTTGCGCAATTGCGACTGACAATCATAGCAACCAGAGGCAAGTGCCAGCGGTGGTGGACTTGACTCTAGACTCCGACTCTGAGGGCCACGATGGAGCAGAGATACCCTTTCAGACTGCTGCGGTAGTATCGAAAGCACATGCGGCACCTTTATCTGTTCCCGCCTCTCGAACTTCCCGTGTCTCGACCCCTGCGATGGTTCACTCAGTCTCGTTGCCAAGCAGCAAACTCACCATCGATTCTTCATCGCACACAGGCACGAGAACTCCAGGCATGCCAACTGAAGTCAGTATACCTTCGTCGAGCAGGCCAGCGACCGCGACAACGACTACGGGCATAGGGCCACGCGCTTCGGCGTCGATGGGCAACATGCAGGCGCAAACAACGACGACAGCCGCGTGGACTGGAACGACGGATGCAAGGCAGGGTACAAAAAGGAGGAAGATGTCAATGTCGAGCGGGAAGACAACTGCTCAAGGGCGTAGCCATACTCAAAGGACGAACCATGTTGGCGTGAAGCCGTCCAGCAGACACGGCGCCAGTGCTTCTACGCCCGCGCGAGCTTCCTCAACAGTGGTCCCGTCTCTCAGCTTGCGTTCGGGGCTCAACGGTACGAATGGCGCGCCCTCTGTCAGCTTCATGAACTTGGCACTGAAACCCTCTGTCTCATCGATACCAGCCCTCGACAGAATGCCTGTGCAAGCAGCCCGTCCGCTGTTCATCGGTCGCATGCCTCGTGAGAATACCGCAACAGGCCTGCCTATTCCAGGGCTGACAACCCCAGAAAGGGTATCAGCCATAGTAATCGATTCAGATCCGCTCGAGCCTAACGAGGCGGACGTCGTTCAGCCACCGCCTCCTGCTGCGTCCGCGTCGACGAAGCAAGGAGCTACAACGCAGACTGGCTCTGGAGGGGCAGCCGAGCCTGCAGCTACCTTTCTCGACACCGCGCCTTCGATCGCCGTTCGAGCACAATCCAAATCACGCCAACCCTCGCCCCGAGAACCGCCGCCTGGTAGCCACGGTGCCGCACATGAGGATGGAGACATTGCGGTTGAGGACCTACCTCTGAGACAGTCGACACCTCGCCGAACGCAGAAGAGCCACATACCGTCGAAGCCTCATGCCGTTGCATCGTCACCTGCCTCCTCGTCGACCATGCCATCGAAGAATCCCTGTTCTGGGAATGCTGCCGAGAGGGCGGATCACCTGCTCATCTTCTTAAAAGAGGTGAAGAGACTGAAGTGGTCAGAGATCACCAAAGAGTACTTGAAGCATGTCCCGGGTAGCAACTATGGTCGAATCCAGTCGCGCTATTCAACGGTTTTGAACAAGCGGGACCGGACGCAAGATCCTCCAAGATTGAACCTGCCGCCGAAATTCGCCGCAGAAGCTTCAATCGACTGGGCCACCGTGCACTCCAGCACTCGAACGCCTCATGTCGATAAATCACAAGTTATCTCACGAGCTTTGCAGCAGACCAGGGACGATGGCGACTCTTCTTCCAGCGGAGATTGGGAATCTCAGAGACAGAGATCTCGCCGCGCTGCTCCCGTCAACTATAGATGGCCGAAAGGTGGTCTTGAAGAGTCAGCCGACGCGGAAAAGCCGCTTGTTAGCCACTGGACAGCCTTTGGGGTGCATAGTCGCTCAGAGTTACCCCGCGATGAAATGACCGTGACCCCGAGCAGAAGCAGCATGGTCCGCTTAAAACCATTGGACCCGAACTTCAAACAGCAAGACGCCAAGCTGGGCGTGGCGCTGCAGAGAAACTTGCGGAATATCCAGCACGGCCATTTGCCTTACTTGTCCTCGTCACAGCGTCTCGCCATGCGCGAGAGTCCGGAGGATTGGATGTGGGATCAGAGTAGCATTAAAAGCTGGCAGGGTGCCATTCTGCATATAGACTTCAGCCCTGTGGAACTGCTGACGGTGGAGACCGTTGTCGCGATGTTCATACCTTCAGTTCTGCAGACGCGCCACAGCACGTACCGAAGACGTCTACGAGCAATTATGAAAGATATTGCCGAGCCGAAACTTCATAAGCTGGCTCACGAGATTGGTCGCCACCTTCGACCACGGAATACCCGAGGCATCATGTCTTTCCTTGAGGATGCCGCTGCAGGAAAGGTATCGGACGTACCTCATATACAGCGACTAGCATCAACTACGCCGTATCCAAGTTTGCGCAGTGCCCAGAACGTCTCGGTACCGTCCTGCGTCCTTCAACGGGAGCTTGGTCTTCAATCAAGGGGAGGACGACAGACAGCATCAAGGCCACTGACATACCAACTAAGGAACCAGCTTGTAGACACTCTGGGACTCAAGTCTACCTGGACAGGAGCGTCGAGTGATATACACACTGTGGCTTGGACTTCTGACGGACAGTTCTTCGCTGCAGGAGCTGTAGCGGTGACTGATACGGATTCCATGCAGTACAATCGACCAAATGTACTTCTGTACGGTGACACTACCAGCGGTAAAATCCATGAGCTAGGTGAGCATTGCGTCGATCGCCCGAAGGCCGAGGTTGGGGCCAACTCAACGCATGCTATGTTTGTGTCTCAAGACTCAAAGCTATACACGACTGTGACTTCGGTGGCCTTCTCGCCTTCAGGGAGATTCATGTATTCTGCTGGCTACGACCACTGTGTCTGTATCTGGAACGTGTCGGTCGGTTCTGAACAGCCGTATATGATCAGAGAGCTACAACACAAGGCACCGGTGGATGTTCTAGCAGTAAACCCGAAAGTCGATGGAATTATTGCAACTGCCACGAAATGCACGACCGATAGGTCAATCAAGCTCGTCAAGTTCCAAGAAGATGACATAAATGATGAGCCATGGCAGTACACGAAAGCAAATTTCGCCTCTGCTAAAGCCATGAGTCGTCCAGACCTCAAGATGTCAGCCAATGCGCTGAAGTTCGACCCAACTGGACAAGTGCTACTTGCCGGCTTCGGGGCCAATATGCGAGAGGACAGTGGCCTGGACACATCAGGCGATATATGCTTGTGGGATGTAGAGGCGGAGACCGCTCTGCAGGTATATGGTTCTAGTCGCAATGTCTTCGATGTAACATTCAACGCCATACCGAGACATCGAGGCCTTTTCGCAGTAGGATGCGTGGCCAACGGCAAAGTCAACAGAGGCACCCGCTCAGTCGTTCGATTCTACACTCCCAATGAGGACTACAGGTTCGTGTGCCCGCTTGAACTCGAGTGTCAAGCGTTTGATATGAACGACATCGTCTGGTGGTGAGTCTAATGGATTGCTTAATGACATAAACATGCAAGCTGACATACCACAGCCCTTACGATGAGCACCTATTCGCTGCTGGATGTACGGATGGTCGGTCCTACCTTTGGGACCTTCGCCGGGGCGACAGGCCACTCTCCATTCTCAGCCATGGCAGCTCTCTGATGCCCTTGCAAGACGGTATACCTCATGAAAGGACGGATACCGGAGTTCGCTTTCTTTCGTGGGGTCAGAACGCGAGACGACTTTACTCGGGATCATCTGATGGTGTAGTGAAGGTCTGGGACATCATCCAGTCTCCGGAGGACATGTTTGTCAGGAACTTATTTACGGCCAACTCTGGCATCATGGCTGGAGCTTTCACCTCTGATTACACCAAGCTCGTTTTGGGCGAGGTCAACGGCACGGCCAACGTTCTCGAAGTCGGCAGAGATGACATTACTCTGAAGGACGCTGATACGCTCACTTATCATCCTTATGTCGGTGAAGACGACGATGACACAGCGAGCGATATGATCATCGATACGCCTTTTCAAGAGTCGAACGATACTGCAGCTGCGGAAGCACGCAAGTGGCTCAGAACAGGCCAGCTACGACTGGCACCCATGGGAGGTTTTCCCAAGCAGCAAGTCGTCCAGGGCCCCAGCTATGAAGGACCTTTCGATCGAAGCGAAGACGCCTACACCCAGTCTTTGCACAAGGACGCCTTGCAATTCCAGCGGACCATGGCGATACCGAAAGGGCCACAATGCGACCTGCCCGGCTGCGCTGACAATATCAACACAACGACTTACGAAGATATTGGTGACTCAGGTCGGAGTGCTGATCGTATACCTGACGAGCTTCGACGCCAGTGGCTCGACGAATCCCGCCACGTCGTCCCGGGCAAAGCGAAATGCACATACTGCACTCGCCCGGCTATTCCATCTCCCAGCGGAGACGACGCCTTCTGCGAGCGTCATTCGTTCGCCTGCTTCCGTTGCGGCGGCCCCAGCAACATCACAGGCGCTACTTCAACACTTGAATGTAGATCTTGCGGAGGGACTTGGGACGTCGGCGCTTTGGGCTACGAGTGCAGTCAGCAGCCGGAGGCCCGCGGTGGCGGTCTCGATGTGCCTGCTCTCAATCGATTTGGGAAAGAGACAGACTTGGAGATGTTGGAGGATGTGGACACATCATTTGGTGACAAGGTGAATGCTCTGACGGACTTCTACTTTGGGCTGGCTATTGATCGGCCGGAGAGTCCGTCGCTGTAGAGAGTATATTGTAGCGAAGCACGATGGAGGCAGAGGGCTGACGGGTGGACATGCCCAAAGCATTGGAAGTCTGCGTTGGCTGGCACTATGATACCCAAATCCAAGATACGAAAATGCACTCACCCACCGCGCCTCCAGCCGTCTCTGCCATCGTATACTTCCATCCCCGAACATCCCACCTCCTTGTTCTAGCCTCCTCACCGCCCGCTGGCGACTACCTGCCTATGTCTCAGACACTGCATCCGCTCTTGACACCTGCCACCCGCCGAGACAGAGTGACTAGCCGCGCAAAGCGGGGATGTGTGACAGACGCCCTTGCTGCGTGGATGCAGTACGGCACGAGTGACAGCAACAGCCCGTAGATGATAGAATCGCATCGCATCTTACAGACAACTCCCATTCCATTCTACTGTGTCATTGTCGTTGTTGTTGTTATTGTTGTTATTGTTGTTGTTGTTGTTGTTGTTGTTGTCATCATGACAGACCCACCTCCTCAAACGCCGCCCGTCTCAGACGAGCATGTCTCCAATCGCTCTTCGTCTCCGCGCCTGCGGCTCTCTATGCCGGTGGCGGTGAACGATGGGTGAAACGTTGCGATGGCTGCGGGGTGGCTAGTAGCGCATTCCGCGAGTTGGAGCAGAGCGGAGTTGTGCGCAGATGGCATGTGGTGCGGGAGGGAGGGAGGGGCATGTGAGGGTGGTGTGGGATTAGAACAACAGGCCATGACGTTGTGCGTGGAATGTAAATCTCAGGGACGTCGAGAAGTACTTGTGGGTGCATGTTGTTTTGTGCTATCGTGTCCTGTCTCGGGCTGAGGCTGTGTGGCCTTGCTTTGCCTACAATCTACTACCTAGCTGAGAGCTGAAGTCGGGAGTCTTCTGTCTCGTCGAAATACCTAGTCTACAAGAGAGCGGGCAGATCTGTCAAGCTCGTGATCACGGGATACGTCGCCCTGCTCTCCTCCGACAACGGCGCATTCCCAGGCCGATCAACAACGACCACGTAAATACCCGCCGCAGTCGCAGCCGCAGCTTCTACATGTCAGGTCAGCAAGCTTATCTTTGAGTTTGATGGTAGGATGAAGTGCGGGGTCGAGCAATCAAATGTTGATGGTAGACAAGGGCGAGGCTTGGCCGGTGTTTCGGACTAGAATTGTGCTGGGGAAGGGATGCTGGTGGAGATGCGGTGGCTGAGGGACGCGTGGGCTGTAGGGCTTGGCGGATCGACCGGATGGTAGCGGTTTCGGATACATCGGAGTGCTGGGGTTGGACATCCTGGGGTAATGCAACGTACCTTTGGCGTTGTCGGTCAGGAAAGTGACTTTCTTCACGTCCACGCCCATCTCGCGGCAGATCTTCTCGTATGAGACTGCCTCCAGCTTTGGTCCGGCATTCACTGTGTCGTAGTGCGCTGAAAAGAGTGGCTTCACGTCTTTGGTTGTCGCGCCATCCTCTATGTATGTGAAAAACTGGAGCTGAGCCTGAACGCTACCGGAGGAGAAGATCGCAAGCGTACGCCCCGAGGCCTTCCATGATGTGAGCGTGGGGACGACGTCGGTGAAGAGTGGGGTCTTCAGGTCTCCCTCCGTAAACCCGGTCTTCCAAAGGTGTCCTGCACATCGTTAGTTTACTCGGTGGGTTTGCGTGGTTTGCTGAGTCTCATTGTGATCTCATAGCGGAGACTGATCAGGCCATTCAACGCAAGATGTGTCAACATAGACCCAGACGTAGCGATCGCTGCCATACACGGCCAGAGTCTCCTGGCGATACCGCGACAGTGAGCACCGCCAGCCGACGAAGATAGGCGAGCACCCTCATGGGTCGCTGCGACTGCTAAGTTTGTCGCAGCGATGATGTAGTCAGTGCTAATACCGGACCGAATCACCTGTCCTCGATTTGGACCACCACTTTAGGGCAGTGCGATTCTGCGCTGGCTGATTACTGGAGGAATCCAGTCTGTGTATGACAGCGACCAAGACGGACACGCCGAAAGGTTGTACAGGACTCAACGGTGTTCGTCACCCACCTTGAAGCTGCTTCAGGTACACGGCCTTGACATCTCGTCGCGTCAAATCCTCCACATGAGCAAGGAGAGAATCAGCGTCCTGTCTAGTCTCTGCCGGAAACCCCGCAACAAGGTCTTGAAAGTCCGAACCGGACCATGAGTCGCGTGCTAGTCTCCTGAGGCGATCAAGGGCATATGGGTACTGCGGCTAATGTGAGCTACGAGTGGCAGAAAGGGGCGCTCCACCCCAACAACGTGCGTCGCGTGACAAGCGACGGAAACGTTCAAGATCGCTCGGGGTGGCAGGTTCAGGATAGGGAAAGCAGCCAGACCACGCGAAGGGAAATCGAGTGGCTTGGGAAAATGCCGAATGCGACCAATGGAGTGGAAGCGCGGGCCGCTATGATCTCGACTGGTCTTGGTGTTGATGATCTTGACCAAATATCCCAAACGCGGGGTTGGCGCGCCCTCGAGACGACGAAAAAGGGCGTGGAATCTGACAACTGAATAAAGGGAAGCTTACCATGACATCCTTGACAAAGGAAATGCTTGAGATGGTTCCCTCTACGGTGAGAAAATAGTATGATTAGCTTGGTTCTGAGTAATGCAGCGAACTGGACGCAGGCGAGACTCGTGGGTCGTGGATGGCTGGGTGAACCGTGGCGTGAGCAAAGTCCGGGGTAACAGTCAGGCCACAGCAGCGAAACAGCGTGAGCGACAGTTGGGCGCATCCTGGGGTTCTGCAGTGACCCGAGTTCGCTGGCCAGAACGGCGCAGCGAGGCTACGTGCATAGCGGGGGCTGGGAAGGTTGGTTGCAGTGGTTCTCGCCCCGGCATGAAGTACTTGATAGCTGCGATTACTCACCAATGTCAAGCAGCACGACCTTAGACGCCGTCCAGCGTGCAGTATCGAGGGACGCGGCAGGCATATTGTTGGTTGTGTTGTTGAGCGTAGAGCGGTGAAAGGCGGTGAGGTGACAATGCTGTGAGAGGGTGAAGCCTCGCTGGTGTTGTGTGTCTGGCAAGAGCGCTGATAGGGCACTTGCCTGAGACACGATATGTAAACAGAGTGGTGTACGCGACGATATTGGCGGTGTATAGCAATTCAATAGATAGAGGACGAATCAGGTGTAGTTCCCTATACATGTGTTGCTGATGTGTAGGAAAATTTTCACGAACGGGAGTCAGATGCACGCTACAGACGTGACATGAACTGTTGTGAGAACAGGTACCTACCTTGCAAGATCTTCCCGTCCGCTGTCTTCCTTGCTGCGATCACACGGTAATATGAATACGATGATGCCAGGCGCTCACCGACTGTATGATGGCACAATGGTGAGGCTGGCATCATGTGTTGTCACAACAGAGTGATGTGTCTACCGAAATACCCTGTATCCCCAGATGATAATGCCCAGTTTCTGCACATCACGGATGGTAGCCGTAGACACATGGGTGAATATCCACATCCCGTGGGAACAGGGCCCGCTTCGAAACAAATGCACGTATTTCCATAGGTGCAGGAGCTGGAATTAGGAAGATTTTGCTGTGTTGTCTGCGGAGGATGTTGCTGGCGGTCCACACCGCTGCGAGTGACTTCAGGAACAGGTACAGGCAGGTGGGTCACGGCAATTGCTGGGACCATGCAACCTGCAGTAGCGGTGCTGCACGCTATGCAGCACGCCTACGAGGTGGCAAATCGTATGCTCCGGTTGTGGTCTGCTGCAGTCTACTGCAAGCCAGCGAGTAGAGTGCAGCGCAAGCTGACGTCCCGGGGCTGGGCAGACGAAGAGAGCCACGGTACTGGTCAGCAAGTCCGTCCTCGGACATCAAACAGCAGAATGCGGCAGGTGAGGTGTGAATGTATGCGATGTGTTCCGCGAGGCTACGTACACCGACTCTCGTTTCATCTCCGTTGAGGTTCACAGGCGCAGCCACTGTACGGACGACACGATGCTGAGGGCGCGCGCCGGGCGAGGTCCAGTCGAAGCATGAGCTTCCCCAGACTGACGCCCGTAGCCGCTTTACCGCCGACAGGCCACGGCGGAAGTCAAGGAAATAGGTACGCAAGCGTACCGAAGCACCCCCAGAGCGCCAACACTGCAGCAGCAGCTGTGGTTGAAACACTTGTCATGCTCGATCGGGGCGAGGATCTCGAGAAGTCCCCTGAGTCGTGCGTGCATCACATAGAGGGACGGCTGCATGCAGCGCGTCCTGATAGCAATTCTTTAATGAGCAGCCTCGCTTGGGTGGCAAGCATCGTGATAGCGCACTGATAACGGTGTCCAAGGTTGGAGGAGCAGCAGACGCTCGTGGTGGTGTCTCGGGGGCTGATCAGGGCCGATCAAGTCCAATGAAAGGACAGCTGGCATGTCGTGCGAGCAGCGCCTAGGTGAGGCCGTCAGCCGGCGCCTGCGCTCGCAATTCGCCAGCAGGCACCAGGCTGCGCCCGGGATGCAGGCGGCTAGACTCGTCGTGACTGTTGGCACACGCACAACAGCACACAGAGGTGGCCGTGTGAAGCAGGGAGGCTGTTTCAGCAGCAGCGGCGGTCCTCGTCCGGCAGCGTCATAATGCTCGCAGCCTCGTCATGAGGGAGCGGGGCGCGCTCGAAACAAGGGCATGTGGGCAATTGACTGAATGCACGCCAGGTCCGAGGCAGCCGGTGGGCCTTGGAGCTGTCATTGTCCCGTCGACCCAGAGGGTGACGAAAGTCGTCGACGAGCTCGCACGGAATCACATCGAAGGCCCGCGAAGTCACCGTGCAGCCAGTGAGGGCGCGGCCAGCATGCAGCTAGAAAGTTGGCAGTGCCCCAGCCAGCCTGCCCTGGATCCCTGATGGCGAGAGATGGCGAATGGGCCAGTGCCGATCCGGCCTGGCGCCGCTGCTGTGCATCACGCGCGCCATGCCCGTCGCGCCTAGCGGCGAGCTACACCAGGCCTGGCTCGCAGGCCATGCCGTTATGGGTGACACCGCCATCCTGAGTCTGTGGTCAGCCCATATATCGGCAGGTACCCTGCCTCGATCCAGCTCTCCTTTACCCATCACCACCATGTTAATCGTACCTATGCCGTCCTGAGAGACTCCCACACACACCTCTATCGTCGTTGCTCGCACGCTACAGCTCTACCACCTCCTCACCCGCACCTTCCGCCCTCTCCGCTGCTGCCTGTCCGAACGCCGCATTCCACTCTCGTTCCTTCCGCAACTGTTGCTCAGCCGCACGACAACAACACCGAGCACCCTCCCTCCCCTGCGCCAGGCGGACCAGTCCACCACCGCTCCGCTCCACGCCAATCTAGCCGACCATCTACCTGCCGCCGCCGGTCATTGATTTGATGTGATCGAGAGAGCTTCCTGTCTGCGATCTCCCGATACGTACCGGACAGCCTCGCCCTCGACTTCCGTCGTCGCCCTCACATCCTCTCAACGCCGCGCCGCACCCCCTCTCCGTGCAGCAGACGTTTGACACCTGTCAAGACCAAACATCTCGCCCAGGGAAAGCCGCCAGCCCAGCACCTCACACCACGCGATACCGCTGCTGCTAGCTCCCGAGTCCGTGCGCCTGACTCACCACTGCCAATCGCGTCACCAGACGGCTACCTACTGTCTGCCTTCGACCGACTTCCACGTATAACGACTCTCCTCCTCTCCTCATCACGTAGCGACCTCGTCCTCCTTCCGTTCGCGCTCCCGGACTATCCTCGTCCGCCCAGCTCTATTCCGCCCGCCAGCCTGTTGAACCAGGCCATCCATACCGAAAATTAATACCGCCAGATGCGCACCACAATCTCTTAGCACTTTCCTTGCTTGTTACCGTCGAAGGACTCTCTGTGCATACCATCGACACATCGTCTTGTTCTCATTTCCTTTGAGCGAATACTACAGCCTCTACATTACGACATCTCCGGCGGACCCATCCCGCACTGGACCGAGCGAACTGCAACACATCTTATTGCTATCTCTTACGAAGCTTCGCTCACAAAAGTTCGATAGAGCATCGTCTTTGGGTTAACGGTTGTTGATCCGTTGATCCCCCAAAACTTCCTTTATTTGGTTGTTTCATCTGTCCTCGTGGCGGCTTTCACCGTCACCCTCGCCTGCTGCGACTAGCTACGAGTAGACTCTTCCGGGTTTCTCCTGCTTCGCTACCTGTGACTTATCACATCCTTCTCGATGGAGTGCATGCGTGATCAGCTTCAGGCAGGTGTTGTACTCAATGGCCGATACGAAACTGTCTCTGCCCTCAACCATGGCTCCTTCGGCATGGTCTTCCAAGCCAAGGACCTTACCACTGACGAACTCGTTGCCATCAAGGTTGTGACTAAGCCCTCTGCCGCCGTCAACTGCCCGACTGCTTTTGCCGTTGACGAACGCTCCGAGGAACTGGGTGTTCACCTTCGCCTTGGTAACCACCCTAACGTTGTCAACCTCATCCAGTCCTGGGAAACCGACAGCCACATCTACCTCGTGCTGGAGTACTGCTCCAATGGCGACCTTTATGAGGCCATCCGCTTCGACAAAGGCCCCCTGGAAACCGAGCACGTCCGCGACTTCATGATGCAGCTGGTTAATGCCGTTGAGTTCATCCATTCAAAGGGCATTTACCACCGCGACATCAAGCCTGAGAACATCTTCCTCACCCAAGATGGCTCGATGAAGCTTGGCGACTTTGGTCTTGCTACCTCTGACGCCTGGTCCTGGGAGATCGCCGTTGGCAGCGACCGCTACATGGCTCCTGAGCAATACGACCCTACCAACGCCGGCTACTCCACCGCCAAGGCCGACATTTGGGCTATCGGCATTTGCATGCTCAATGTGCTCTTCCAGCGCAACCCCTTCGCCGTCCCAGCGTCTTCGGATCCTCTCTACGCCGACTTCGCTCTCGACCGCCAGAGCCTCTTCGATGTCTTCCCCAACATGTCTCAGGATGCCTTCGAGGTTATCAGGCACTGCTTGGCGGTCGACCCCGAGAAGCGCAGCCTCAGTGCCGTGAAAGACGCCCTCAATCGCGCCATCACCTTCACCACTGACGACGAGGCCCTTGACGAGTTCTGCACTGAGGAGCGCGAGCCCTTTGCTGTTGGCGCCAACCGCGAACCACTTCGCACTCCTTCCATCAGCACTCCTTCTATCGATAAGGGCGGTTCGTTCCCATGGGCCAAGGCACTCGCCATGTCGCCGCCGCAGCAGTTCCGTCAGCTCTCGGTCATTCCAGACACTGAGATCTACTCTGACGACCTGTTCCCGGCTCACGATTACGCTGTGAAGCCCGAGCACGCGTCCGCCGTATCTTTTGTGGACTCTGGTTTGGGCTTATCTTTCCAATCGACTGACGTCAGTGAACGGTCTGAACGCGAGCCAATCAGCTTCGCGCGCTCCAAGCCTATGCCTATCTCTGGCTCCCTTCCAGCCAAGCCTTTCAACAGCATGTCGTCCGTCTTCGGTAAGAAGCGCGATGTCTTCTCCAAGAGCTGGAGTGACTTGTGGGAGGAAGAGGACGACGACGCGCAGTTCATGGCTGAGCTGGAGAACAACTTCCACAGCTTCAAGGCTGAGAAGCCAGCGAAGCAGGTTGTTTCCGAGGCTGGCTCTGGTGTCTCCACTCCCCGCGGCGGCTTGTCGGAGGTGAAGAACCCTGCCACTATTCACAACAGCAGGGGTCGTTCACCGATGAAGCGCCGCGAGGTTGACCACGTCAGCGAGACCACTGGCTTCATATTCGAAGAGCACCAGACACCTGCGCGTCATTCTCCTACCAAGAAGACCTCGGGCATGGACAAGTGGGCTGCTCTTGGTGATCGTCGCCGTGGTCAGCCTTCGCCAACCAAAGAGTCCGCCCCTCCGACTCCCTCCAAACCCATTAAGTCACCCAAGCAAGCTCTGCCTAGCCCGAACTCTGCCCGGAAGCGGAGCCGGACTGGCACTTGGAGACGACCTATCAACTGGGGTCCAAGCCAACACGAGAACATTCCCAAAGTTCCTGTTGTGGACAACAAGTACAAGAGCGTGGAATGGCGCCATTACAACAGTCCACCTCTTATCCTGGACGACGACATTGGCGACCTTGAGTGGGTGTGGTAGGCAATTGCCGCCACTTGTAGTCTTGACACTTCATCATCCCTTTTTCCTTTTTGCTTTAAAATACGTTGGAAAACAAGATTATCATCCTAGGACTTTCAACTCCACCTGAGCCAACAACACATCAACAACAATACCCCGGCCAGTTTGTAACTCTGTAGATACCATTTCCCTCCTCTCCACTCATGTACTCTTCCCTTCGACGCCACTCACCATCCTATCCTCCCGACCCTATCTCGTCGCTTGGTATCTCTCCTTTGTTACTCGGGTGTTTTGTTTGCATTGGCATCAGCAGGTGGATGGCGCAGACTGTACCGAATGGCGATTCGTCAGACTGTATGACACGGAGCGATTAGCATGGCATTGGAAAGGCGTTTTGTTTCTTATCACTTCACTTCTGTAGGGATGATTAGCTAGTCAAGACTCGTATCCGTCGGAGATCGCGCATCCCCCTGGGCATGCAACGATCCGGGATTTACCCACTCAAAACTTATTTCCTGCTTCAATGTGATATTCGCCCCCTACTTGCTGATATGGAAGGAAGGTGCGACCAAGCCTTACGATCGGCGCAAGTCTCACGCTTGCTAGCCGTTTCACTGGTCACAGTAGACTACAGCAGCAAGACGTTATCAGATAGCCGCTGCATGCGACACATTGGGAAGGTGTCGTAGGCCGCCTTAAGATGACGACTTCACAATTGCACTCGTGCCGACTGCCGATCGGACTGGATTGTCAGCAGCACCAACAACAAGCTGACCGGCATAAGTAGATGTGTATGTATATGGCGTGGTAATTCAATCACACTGTCCGAGATCCAGCACCCGTAAGGTGTTTCCTCCAAACCTTTAGGCTCACTTCTTATCTTCCAAACTTCCAGCGACAACAGCGGCTGCAGATCATCGCCAGCACATCATGACCACGACATACACTAGCACGCGATAGCAACCCACTCTGCTCTCGAGATACGCAACACGCAACATGACTCGCCAAATCCTGCCCGTCCCCAACCCAGTCCCGTCCTACTGGCTCTCTGAAGAGTCTCCGCTCGCTGATCTGCGCTCGTCAACCCGCTTGCCGGGGAAGTGTGGCGTGGCAGTCATTGGCGCGGGTTTGGCGGGCGTGTTGACTGCTTACCGTATACTCCAGAACAGTGGGACGGAGAGCGGTGGCGAGCACCGCGACCCTGAGGCTGGACAGAAGAGCCCGAGCAGTAATGCAGATGGGGAACTAACGGAGTAGGGTCCACTGCAGGATGGTGTGCGCGCGCCGGGGCGCGGGGTATTGCCTCTCGACGCGAGAAAGCTGTCTGAGTGCGCGACGAGCAGGAATGGCGGTCATGTCAAGGAGCAGGTCACTACGCTTTTGAACCTGCCTTGCGGCGCGGAGCAGACGGGGAGGAAGAGAGTAGAGCTCCAAGACTACGTCGAGCGCGCCATGTCTGATGTAAAACGGGTCGTTGAGGAGGAAGATCTAGACTGCGAGTTTGAGCTCCGCCGCAGTTATGACGTGTTTACTGATGCTGGGGATGCCGGGAGTGTGTTTCAGCGGTATGAGGATGCGAGGAAGAGGGGCGAGGCATGGACGCAGAACGTGTCTTGGGTTGGAGAAGAGAGAGTGGAGCAAATCACCAGTATCAAAAGCGCGAAAGGCGCGTTCAGTGTCCGTGCTGCGTCGTTCTGGCCGTATAAGTTTGTAGCTGGGTTGTTGGAGCGCATGGTCAAGAGATGGCCAGACAGACTGAATGTGCAAATGTGCACGCCCGTTACCTTATTGACGATGAGTTCGTCTGGCGCCAATGTGCTGGTAACAGACAGGGGTACACTCACGGTGAAAAAAGTTGTGATGGCAACAAACGCATACACCGCGGGTCTGCTTCCAGCCTTCAGTGGTAGAATCATCCCCGTCAGAGGCACGGCGAGCCACCATGCACCGCAGAAACCGGTGAATCCGCATCTTAACAATATGTATAACATCAACTTCGGCCCCGGAAAGGGCGTCGACTATCTCAACCCGCGGCCTGACGGCGGTATCGTAGTCGGCGGCGGCGCGTGGCTCTTCGCCCACAACGTGTCGAGCTGGAGAGACAACTTCGACGACGCGCACCTGTTCCCTCCACACGTCATGGCGTACTGGAGGGAGTAAATACAGGAGATATTTCTTGGCTGGAAAGACAGCGGAAGTGTGAACGATCATGTGTGGACGGGGATTATGGGCAGGACGGGTGACGGACAGCCGTTCGTGGGGAGGGTGCCGGGGAAAAGCAATATGTGGGTGCTGGCGCGGTTCAATGGAGGTGGGATGTCGCTTATTGCGGTGGCTGCAAGGACGGTAGGAAAGATGGTCTCAGAAGAAAAGGGCTTTGAAGAAGGAAAGAGGAAGGGCTGTTGAGAAACTTTGAGTGTAGCGGGGAAAGATTGAAGGCCCTATGATACTACTGGGACATGTGGACACGGCAATGTAATCTAAAGAGAGCTGCTAAGGGAGACGGGGTCTCGAGGATATTCGGCATTTATCGTTGCGTTATGCTATATCGGCTTTGGGTATTTACCGTATTCTGTCGAGATCTGACTCCCTGAAACGGACTTGGTATAGAAAGCAGGTGCTCCTTTATCCCAGGTACCAATGACGCGCAGCTTGTACTCATGTCTCACGAAGACTCTTCGAACTGCAACTCCAGCTTTGCGCTCTTCAAGACTGAGAGGTGGTTGCCCAAATATACGCATGCCGCAGCCCAAAGGTGCGCGAAATTCATGACGAGCACATTCAAATGCGGCGATATACCCTCAGTTTTCAGTGCAGCCACGGCTCTGACAAGCACGCCAGCCGACGGTCTGTGGGGCACTGAACAAACGGTTAAGCGTGAGCTTTTTGAGTGAACTGGGAAGACGCTCCTTCAATTGGTCTTCGATGATGCCCCGCCTCTCTTCGCGTTCAACCAAGAAAATATGCCTGGAAAAGATACGTTGAGATGTTCTAGGTTAGTGTACTCGCGCGCGTCTAGTGAGTGTTGTCAATCATGAAGAACGAGTCGAGCTGCAAAAACCTACCGATATGCTCATTGTCAGTCACAGGGTACAAGCCCGGTGTTTTGAGCGAAGGGTCGTCAAGGTGTTTGCTTTCGCCGTGATTTCGGGGTGAGAAAAGAGTGAGTTGTTGTCGCGCTGTCGCTGTTCCGTGTGGGTGGGGATACTTGCCAATACAAGAAGGGAAGCTGCAGGTGAAGGTAAGCCAACGCAGTTGTCAACAAACGTCACTGGAGCAATCGATAGCTTACGAGCTACTAGGCATGGGTCGCGCAAAAGTTTAACACGTAGAATCTACATGCTAAGTATGTTCTCGTTTCTACTGTCCCACACTCTCTAGCCAAACAACGCTGCTTGTGCCCAAACTCATGTCACCAATACCAACAGTACTACTACTATGGAAGGCTGGCACAACCATGATACTTTCCCCGTAACTCAAGTAATCTGTCTCACAATTGAGAATCTCTTCGTCACCAGCCTTGCCGTCATCCTTCTCCTTTGGCTTGACCCTCGGCCTGATATCCACACTAGGCAGCAGCGCGTTGCCTGCTTTCAGTGGAATGAGCATGATCGTGAAGTTTTTGGTTTCGTCTTTCGTGGCTGTGAAAAGGGCACGGCGTTGACCGGCGATAAGCCATTGATCCGGTGATGCGTCGAGGGTATACACAAACTCGATAGGGTCCTCCGCGGTGTCAAGGTTTGCTGCAGCAACAAGCGATGCAGATGAAGCCCATCGGCGGGTGTGCGAGATATGCAGGGTTGCTTGGAGGGGTTGGCCAACGACAGCGATCTTCGATTGATGGGACAAAGACGTGAGGTCCAATGAAGTGGTATTTAAGATGTGGACCTGAGGGATAGAAACCGTAATGACCATACGCCGAGGTGGATGGGGAGATGGTGGCGCGGACGTGGCTGCAGGAGCTGATGTGTTGGTCTTTAGTAAGTGCACTGTCTTGTTGTCCTGTGTTATCAGATTAGTTGGTTCGCCTGGAGTCACTTCCAGGCTAGCTTACCTTCAGCCAGCCTTGCATCCATGATCGCGTCTCTTCACGCGCAGATTGCGGTAGGCTTTCCAGACATTCTGCCCAATCCATCTCTTCGAACACACCCATATCTACCTTCTCGAGCAGTGCGATATTATCGTACTGGTAGGGTATGATTTTTCGCTCGGCACGCTCGACAAAGGCTGCTAACAGGAGCCGGCTGAGATGAGTAACAGGACTGCCCCTGAGAGAAGCGGCAAAGTGTGCTTTCAAGCGGTCGAGAATGTCTTCGCTCAAGCAACGGTACTCTACCGCAAGGGCTAGACTTCCAGTCGGCTTAGTCTGCATTTGCTCTTCGGCGCTGGCGGCCTTTCTGATGATCTTGTATGTCACCGCTGCTGGCTGATTCACAAAGACGTGCATATGTTTCTTTGACCTCTTTGGCGCGTGGACTTCGAACTCTTCTGACCCCTGAAGCTCAGTATCGAGTAGCTCTAGTGGGGCTTGATTTGCCGTTTTAATATTGAACTTTGAAAACAACGACTTGCCCTTGAAGTGATCGTGTACATTGACGTCCAGTGGTAGTTCGACCGGAATGGTGAATGATGAAAAGTACTGAAACTGACCAACTGCGGTGTGGTAGTCAATTTCAGCTCTAACAGCGAGGTCCTGGAGGATTGTCTCCATATCGTAAGGAATCTTCAGGGTGATGCTGGAATTTGCCGACATTGCTCCAACTGTGATCACACCAGGCTTCTGACTGTCTTCTATGACGCCATCTTCTGACTCCAGACTTGCCTCCGCGGTCCGCAGCCGCAGCCCAGCTGAAGCAGACTTCAGGCGGATTTCTGCCCGCTCGACCTCATTTGCGCCTATGGAACAAGAGATCTCGATATGCCGTGGTTTGTCGATGTGTATGAAGTGGGACAGGTAGACACGGGCGTCAAGTGCTTCAGCGCGGGGAAAACACTGGACACGGGCCTTTTTCGCAGCTTTCAAAGACGTAACGGATGCCGAGGCAATGATGCCGAGGGGAGTTGGAGCCTCCGTTTTGCTGACGGGCTCATGCACGAAGGCAATGCGTTTGGCTTCGAGAACGATCTTGTCAACTGTATATGGCCCGGTTGTATTGACCTGCCGCTTGTCAGTATTGTACACATATGTTCAGCGGCGCGGCTTACATTGCATCCAACCCACACCTGGGTCAGTCCCTTCTTGATGGGAATTGCCTCAGGTGTCTCCAGCCAGATGTCTTTAGCGGTAGTCGAATTGGCACTGACCAACCTGACTTTGGCTGCGCGAACCTCGATTTCATCTTCTAGGATATGTCTGAACTGGAGGCGGAGTTGGAAGCCATCTTGATCTTCGTAGTGTTGTAGGTAAGGCTCCACAACGATGTCGGTAAAGTAGTCGGCCATCTGAACAGACACATCGTACGGCAGCTGCTGCGAGTAGTTGACAAGCTCATTGAACACACCACCAGTGTCAACTCTGTCGTCATTCAGCCAGTCGTTTGGCACGTTGGAGATGCCGTCGTCGTTCGCTCGCTTGGATGAGCTGCTCAACGAGATCCTACTGGCGGATGATCTGGCAAGTAGATCGAGAAGCGTTCGAATGTACTCATCCTTGCGATGGAGCTTCTTGAGACAACGAGCGTACATCTTCAGCATGGTCGCCACAACGGTGTTCCATCTGCTCTTAGCAAAGAGTGACAGACTTGCGTCTGGTGAGCCCTTGTTTGTAATGCCAGCCATGCTACCGAAATACGTTGCTGCCGCTCGAAAATCACCAAGCTCGTAACGTAGGGCTGCCAGATCACCAGTGATGCTTTCTGCGGACTTGATCTGTCCAGCCGCACGATAGTGCTGGAAGATCTGGTCGCTGAGCGTCTCGTAAAACTGGCGGAAGTGATCGAGAGACGTGGCAGCGTTGACGAGAGCTGTCGAGGATATTCCAGAGGTGGCATGAACAGGTCGCGCGACATTTCTAGCATTCGTGGCGCCCTCTGCTTCTTCCTCGTCTTCTTCATCCTCGCCAAGATTGACTTCAGCGAAGTCTTCGCTTTGGCTGAGAGTAGGAAGGATTGCTGCCCAGCCCACAGCCCATCCCAGTGACTTTCCAACGTGCTCGAGAAGCCTGCGTTGGATACCGATCAGCTGTGCTCTTTGACCAGCCAGATCCATCAAACCGTTTTTTGATTGATTGACCATGCCTGGTTGTGCAAGAGCTACTCGATCTTGGTACTGCCCATTTTCGTACACTACCTGGCCAGTCGTCGAAGGCTGTAGGTAGGCAGCCTCTGTCGAGCCTGAGCGGGACGATGAACGAGATGGGTGTATCATAGTCTTGGGTTCTGGCCCCAGCTTTTCTTTGCCACGACCACTGAAAGAACGGCTTTTACCGGGCGAACTTGTGTTGGCTTCTTTCGCAAGCTTTGTGAACGGAAGGGACGATGTTGAGGTTTCGCGCAGCACTTGATCCAGCGCTGAAAATGTCCACGATCGCACCAAATTTTCGACTAGCTGCTCTGGAAAGGTGGTTTCGTGAAATTTGGCACTAATTGAAATGTCAGAATTCATATTCGAAAGGCAGATAGGGTGACTTACCCGTTGATCAGGTCTTCCCGCAACAGCCGACCGGCGAAGGTTACGAAGTTGAGCGCTCGTGTACAAAGTTCAGCTAGCGAAAGCAGATCTTCAGAGTCAAGGACGCTTCTATCCGAGCTGGTACCAAGATGGCTATCATCGATCGACCTCTGATTTACACTGGCATTTGGCCGCGGCTGGAGCTTATTTGCCAGATCTGCCCGTGCTGACTGCGAATTACCCATTCTAAGAAGAATCGACATCTGACGAGCGAAGATGTACACCCTGAACTCAAAGATTGAGATGTTGTTAGCTAAAATGAGCCCTCGATAGTCTTTCTTCTTGGCGTCGATAGGCTTGTCGTCGTGAAATTGCACACGATCCTGCTTATTGCCATCAGCGGTTTGGCCCTGTTCTAGGACCTTGGCCGCTTGCTGATACAAATCCTCGGAGTGGTTGAGCATTTGTAGGGCGCTACCATCGTCTGCCTGGTCACGAATAACGGTATCGAGTCCGATTGAAAGCTCGTCATAACCGAGAAGCGCGTCGTCGATAAGACCTGCACTTTCGAAGCCCCGCGCCAGTCCTTCTTTCAAGACAAAGAAAGTGTTGAAGTTCCAGCCTGGGAGCGAGCGCTGCGAATCGTTCTTGCGAATATCCTCCTCGTATTGACTGACCCGCAGATCGAAAGAAGACAAGATCAGTGTCTTGAATCTGGTAATTACATCTGCCCAAGCACCATCATACTCCTGTTGGGTCTCAAGAGTAGCTGGTGATGCGACTAAGCCTGCGGCAGGCAGCATCTGCGGAGGCACACGTTCTTTCTTTAGCCGTACTTGTGCGACTCGATCGGGCGCCGACTTTGAAGCAATGTTGAAGTCTGCACGAATCTTCTCGAGAATGGTAGTCGATGTCCTCTTGAAGACAGAAGTCGCGCCGGTCTTTTCCTTGTCCCCGGTTGCGGCGCTTCCAGACCCACGTGGCTGACTTGCTGCAGCTGTATCGGGCAAGACAACGTGGATGATCATCCATTCGTAGGCGTCGTGGTTCTCTTGCGAGCTCGTTGAGCTGCTCTGAGCTGGCGGTGTGTGATCCTTAATCCACTCACGCAGCTGTTTACGTGCTGTGCCCTTGTAGGCTTCCGAATCATCGCATCTCAAGAGATACACCTTCAGATAAGGTGTTCGACGTAGGCCCGGAATTTGATGGCGCCTTTCTTTCTCGGCGCTTGCATCCTGGGTCGACTCGCTGGTAGGCACAAGGTCCACATGGAGAGAGTCAATGGATCTGAGGGGCCTTGTTGGTGCTTTCCAGTGCAGGTTCCGAAGCGGTAGTCGCGCCGTCAAGTCCTCTTGAATCAATGGGAACACGCCCGACGGATCGTGGTACTCGACTATGCTTGTCAGCACAGAGCGCAATTGCTCTACAGATCGAGGGTCCATACCCGTGACCTTAGAGCTAGACAACCCATCCATCACCGCTAGTTCGTATTGCTGTGGCCGAGGGGCATCTTCTGGGGCACCTAAGGCTGGCGCAACATCTTCAGCCACGCTCATGAAACACGTGCAATATGATGATGATTTGTAGGGTCGTTGTATGAAGAGCGATGCTGTCTCAGCCTCACGTGTCTGCTCCCAGGGTGAGTGAACGTTGCCGGTTGGCTCGACTTGCTGATCCGTCTTAGGGCCTCGCTTCGTTTATCGATAACACACCCCTGCTTCACAGCCTCGACTCTCTGACCGGCTGACTACAGCCTTTCCAATTGCAATGACCGACCAAATGCCGTCTCGCTTGTGTTGACCTTGTTCAGGACCGGTCAGTAATAATACAGGTCCACTCAGGATGAGACTCGATGAATGCGGCGGCCGGCGTGCCATGCAACGTCGTCTCGCGGCACGACATGTCACATCATTTCCAAGTCTGAGGGCGCCTCGCATTCGTCGCATTCGTCAATAAGGCATTTCTGGCAGTCTCAGGCCAATTATGTCTTTCCTTCGCGTCCTTTCGCATTGCTCAAAAGGAGTCAGCCTGACTTCGCGACCATCTTCGCATCGCCCTTCAGGAAACTTCTACACTGCCTCCACAAGGCTTCGTGATAGGGAAGCCTTGATAGTATTTGAACTTACGTATGAATACCTTCTCCGCCGTCTACTCACTCAACCAGACAGCTCACGTATGCGCCCGATCCCTTGACATATCGATCGTCTGCCCCGTTTCTTCCTTGTCTTCAAGTCACATCTCTAAGCCTGACTCTACTCCCACTCTACTATGGGTATGGGCGACTACTCGCCGGGCAGCGTATGGTACTACGCACCCAACAAGGCCGCCCCAATCATGTTCATCGTCCTATTCCTTGTCTCAGGAGTCCTTCACGCCTACCAGACAATGTACGAATCTCCCTTCTCCGCATATAATCCACCACTGACCAAGCGTAGGAAACACAAATCCTGGCGCACGACCCTTCTTCTCCCCTGGGCCTCCCTCCTAATGATTGCAGGCTTCAGTATGCGCCTAGCGGGCGCCTACCACACCTCCTCCCTTGGAATTCTCATCGCATCCACAGTCCTGATCATGTCTGGGCCGCCCGTGTACGCACTGATAAACTATTTCGTGCTCTCGCGCCTGCTGTACTACATGCCGTACCTGGCGCCCCTGCACCCGGGGCGTGTGGCAACAACCTTCATCGGTCTGGACGGGGTGTGCGAGATCCTTATCGGCAACGGGGCGTGGCGCATGGCGAACAGCAGCATGACTGCATCTCAGCGGCAGGCGGGTGCGAATATGGTCATGGCGAGTCTGAGTCTGCAAGCCGCGCTGTTCGCGGGGTTTGGGGTGCTGGCTGCGCTGTTCCATCGTAAGGCGCTGCGGGCGGGCGTGCTGACGAGGGGGACGAAGACGGTACTGTGTGTTATGTATGTCTCTGCTGCAATTGTCACGGTGAGGTGTATATACCGCTTGGTCGAGTATGTTATGGGGTGGGACAGCGAGATCTATAAGAACGAGGTGTATTTTTGGGTCTTCGAGGCGGGTATCATGTGGATCAACACCGCGCTGCTCAACGTATTTCACCCTGGCAAACGACTCCCGCGCTCGAACGGGACTTTTCTTACGAAAGATGGCGTTACAGAGCGTCGAGGGCCCGGTTGGGACGATGATCGTCCGTGGCCCGTCACCATCTTCGATCCACTGGATATCTGGGGGTTGATTCGGGGCAAGGATAGGGAGACGAAGTTCTGGGATATGAGTGACGAAGAGCTGGAGCGTGTGCGGCTTGAGAAGAAAGCCAACAAGCGGAGCGTAGTGGGTGCGCTGTTGGATCCGTTCAGACTTTGGGGCGAGAGAGGGTATGTTGAGAGGCACTTTTTGAAAAAGAATAAAGTGGCCGGTAGGCGGGAGTGGGACAGGGCGGCCAGAAATTGTGAGGATACGAATGTCTCGGAGGCTAGAGGCTAGAGGTCTTATGTAGGAGATCGCTGTGGCTTTTTGCTTTCAACAATTAACGTTGTTATGCTCGCATGGCAGCTCGAGGTTGGAATCCACTGTTTCTTCAAGAACGGCACCTCTTCGCTCGCTGTGGTCAGTCAGACTTGGGAGTGCTGGAAAGTGCAAAAACATACAACAGCGGGTATTCGCTAGTGGTCACCCACCTAACTACTAATCCACCGGTACGTTGCTTAAATAGGGCTGAGCGAACGGGAAGCCTTGTTTTCAACGTCCTATGGTCGTATGTGAAAACTTTCATAGTTTTGCATATCTTATAGTCGGCACCTTGCTTGACATCACAAGCTGCTCTGCTAGTCTCTAAGTTGATGATGAGCACAGCGAGATTCTGGTTGGTACATGTCTCTTACATCTGGTATCTGCCCCGGTCTGAGCATCTTAACATGCTTCCTTTGCCGTAACTCCATTGCTAAATATGCAAAATGATGGCTCCACCTCCTGTTGTCCTGTTGTTCTTTTGCCTTGCACCTACAGCGCCATTCTTTTGTGTTAATGAGCGGAAGACTAGTCCTTGGGAATCATCTGGTCCTCGCTGCCGTCCCTGGGTACGTAGTTGATGCCCGCTGCCTCAATGGCCGATATCATCTCATCAGGCAGGATGCCCTCGACCTGCGTAGCGTAGACACCAGCGACGTAGCCCTCCAGCCGCTGGTACCTGGCAACCCAGCTCTTCGAAGTATCTGCAACAGTGATCAGGCCTTCGAAGACCTGCGAAGTGCAGTCGTTGACGTTCTCGGAGTTCCCAGCGAGTTCGAGAATCTCTTCGCAGTTGGGGCAGCCGCCGCTCATGAACTGTGTGTACGTACGCACGATCGAGCAAACCATGCAGGCGCGTAGGTTACGCTGCTGGTTGGGTGGGACGAAGGCACCGCCGGGGATCATGGTGGTCATTTTCGCGGATGGCTTATAGATGGGAGGGTCCGATGAGACGTGTGGATGCTGGGAGGATTCTGAGGCGGTCGAGTCCAAGCGCTTTGTGCGGGACTTGAGGCGGCGAGTCTTGGGAGGGGGTGCTGGTTGTTGTTCGGCGGGCGCGTTGTGGTTGTGTAAAGGGTTCGGGTTGGGGGTGTCTTGGAGGGGCGTGTCCGATCGTTGCAGTCGGCGCAAGGGTCTTAGAGGAATATTTGAGCCAACTGTCTCGAACCGTGGTAGGGCGTGCTCTTGGTTTTTGGGCGGAAAAAGGTTGTTGGCAAGGGTGCTCTGTTGTAGCCCGACTGAATGGGAGCTCTCAGTGGCTTGGCAGGGCTCGATGGAATTAGAGCGCTTTGGGACCCCGCGGAAGTCGTTAGGGTCAATGTTCTCCTCGTCACAGTTGGCCAACAATGAACAGCTTCTGCTGTGTTGTTTCGCTGGAGTGCTCCTGTCTTCCAGAGGATTCCTTGCTTTGGCAACGTGAACACTCTTCACTGTTGCTGCGGGAGGGCCGGCGTCTTCGTCAATGTAGATGTACCTGTCTACCTTCCTTGTGGTAGCGAGGCCCTTTTTCGGAGGCATTGTTGCGGATAGCTACGTCGTCGCTGGGACCGCTAGCTGGCCGATGCGTTAGTGGCAAGGCGAGGCGGGGATCTTGTGTGCTTGACGCTTCGTTAGGTGCGGGAAAAGGCGTTGGCCGTTCACGACATTTTTTGCCGTGCGCTATCTTCCAACACTTGGAAAGAACGTCTCTCGAAGCGCACCTTCCATCGTTATATTCCAGTCGCCCGCCTTCGTGCCTACCTATTCCTCGTGTGCCTCTTATACCCCGCCGATCCGCACAAAACTTAGATACATCATGGGCGCCAAGGAAGAGGCCATCGAGCTCAAGGATAAGGGCAATGCCGCCTTCAAGGCCCACGACTGGCCTGCTGCGCTGGATTTCTACACCAAGGCCATCGAGAAGTACGACCAGGAGCCGTCATTCTACACCAATCGTGCGCAGGTACGTAGCCTGGCCGCTGCACCCGGCCACATACTGACTTGGTTCGGCAGGCCAACCTAAAGGTCGAAGCATATGGCTTTGCAGTCGCAGACGCAGATAAGGCGATCGCGCTCGACCCGAACAATGTCAAGGCCTACTACCGTCGCGCCTCAGCCAACACGCTCATCCTGAAGCATCGCGATGCGCTCAGGGACTGGAAGCTCGTCGTCAAGAAGGCACCCAACGATGCGACCGCGAAGCTGCGCATGGTAGAATGCGAGAAGATCATCAAGCGCGACGCCTTCTTGAAGGCCATTGAAGTTGAGGATGCGCCGTCAGTTGCAGAGGGTCTGGATGTCGAGAACATGATCCTGGAAAGTGGCTACGATGGTGCACATCTGGGCGACAAAATGACTCTCGAGTTCGTCGAGGACATGATCAAGAGATTCAAGAATGGCAAGAAGATTGCCAAGAAGTATGCCTACAAGATCATCCTCGCAGTCATGGACATCTCCAGGAAGGAACCCACAATGATCGAGCACGACGTCGAGGACGGACACGAGATCACCGTTTGCGGTGATACACACGGTAAGCATACTAGGACTTCATACATTGCACAGGTGCTGACTACTACTAGGCCAGTTCTTTGATCTTATGAACATCTTCAAACTCGCCGGCAAGCCTTCAGAGAAGCACTCCTTCCTGTTCAACGGTGACTTCGTCGACCGCGGGTCTTGGTCTACCGAGATCGCCCTTCTTCTGTATGCCTACAAGTGGCTGTACCCCGATAGGTTCTTCCTGAACCGCGGAAACCATGAGACCGATGACATGAACCGAATGTACGGCTTCGAGGGCGAGTGCAGAGCCAAGTACACTGAGCGCATCTTCAAGCTGTTCTCCGAGTCCTTCTCTCTGCTGCCTCTGGCTACGCTCATTGGCAAAAAGTTCTTCGTTCTTCACGGTGGCCTCTTCTCGGACGACAAGGTCACACTCGACGATGTCAGGAAGCTCGACCGGTTTAAGCAGAGGCAACCTGGCCAGTCTGGTCTCATGATGGAGATGCTCTGGACTGATCCTCAAACTGCCCCTGGCCGGGGACCCAGCAAGCGTGGTGTCGGTCTCCAATTCGGACCCGACATTACCAAGCGCTTCTGTGAGAACAACGGACTCGAAGCTATCATTCGATCGCACGAGGTTCGCATGGAAGGCTATGAGGTCGAGCACGACGGACGCTGTATCACCGTTTTCTCAGCGCCCAACTACTGCGACAGCACTAGCAACAAGGGTGCTTTCATCAAGATTGGCCCCGACTACAAGCTCAGATACACAAAGTTTGACGCCGTACCGCACCCCAACATCAAGCCAATGGCTTACGCCTCGAATGGTATGCAGGGTCTGATGTAAACATCATTGCATTGGTTTGGGTCAGGATTCGGTTCAGTCGTTCTTCGCAACATTGCAGCGATGCATGGTTTGGTGTTCTTTGGCGCATCATCATACCCTGGGTCGATTGGGGCTCAGCATGGGCAGACGGTGTACGGAGAGTGATAACACTGTATGTATACATCTCTGGATAAACAGGTCAGAATCTACTCAGCTACACATAGAATCAAGAAGGGTCTATTCATCTCAAGCCCAGCTGCACAGTGACGTTTTGGTGCTGCCAGCGCACGACCTCGGCCCCACGTGTTGTTGACAGATAGGCTAGAGGTAAACAAGGGTGGAAGATCACGCACGGCTCACCACAGCTCCACCTCAGCGCTCAAGCCTCACCAACTTGCTTTCGACACCGAGTCAATTTGCGCAACGCGTCGAAGCTATACCGCCATACCCTGCGATGTGAAGAGTACTTGGCTGCACGCGTCAACATGCCTGCACAACAAATATTCTCCGCCAAAGCCCTTGTTGGTAAGCAGACTCCAGAGCTATTCCCGAGAGAATGCTGATGCGTTGCAACAGGCGTTTGGAAGAACCTCCGAAATACGCGCGACAAGAACGACTTCTACCTTACTCTCCAATACCACCAAGACGAGGCGCGCGGAGGGAAGAAACGTGGGAAGACAAGCATTGTCGAGACCTCTTCCGAGCTCGAAGATGGGAAGGCCGTGGATGCTGGCGGGAAAAGCATTAGCTTCGTCGTGCCATGGCGGAGCATGCAGGCGCAGAGACGAGAGCTGAGGATCAAGGAAAAAGAGCTTGCTGAAGCTTTGGTCATGCTTGCCGGCGAGGTCTCGTTTACAGGTATGCATCTTCTCCTCCTACGCCTCATGCAGTGTCCTTAGCACAGAATCATGGACACTGACATGACACAGAACTTTCCCCAACGCTACAAGCATCCCTTACACAGAACCCTCTCGTCCAGATCCGCCACCTGGCTGCCGGCATCAGCCGTCAAATGTCGAAAGTCGAAATGCAGATGGCAGACAACGCACCATTCTCATATGGAAAGAATCTCTACACTGGCGGGGAGGTAGCGCGCAAATTTCTCCCAGCCATACAATCACTCTTCGACCAGCGTCCGGTGCCCCAACGTATGATCTTCGAGTTGCTAATGGAGCTCAAAGACCTCGTCTACATGGCCATGGCAGACTGCACCAAGGAGGTACTTGAGTGGGAAATTGATGGTCCAGCTATTGGTGCGCTCGAAGAAATGGACGACGCCTTTGCTAAAGCCATTACACCGGTTGCTGCAGCTGTCGAAGACGGACATTTCCAACCTAAAGAGCTAGAGCCAGGGCAGAAGAGGGTGCTGCGACGAAAAGCATCCTCGCTGTCAACTATTACACTGTCAAAGCCGCAGCAACCATTCCTCGCTGCCTCAACTACTGAGTTCCTCTACACCCTCGAGTCGCTAGAGACCACAGCCATGGCCCTGACTCATCTGCCAATTCCAATCCCTGACTTCTGCGCGCACTCGATCATCACTCTGCGGCGGTTATCACCACGACAAACACTCACTGAGTTCTCCGCAAGCAAGAAGCGAAGAACAGTGCGTTGTGCCGAGTATGCTCGATGCATGAAGTGGGCGAGCACCAGCTGGCGACAGGGTGGAGGTTGCAGACGTGGGTGCAAGAATGAAGATGAGGATCCAGAGAATCTTCCAAGCTGGCATCGAAGCAGTCGCTGGTTCAATGGAGACGGAGATGGGACACACATGGTTGGTGGTGGTAGACCAGAGGAGCTCGAAGCCATCAAGGACATCTGAAATGGCTATCGACACAGTCACTTCCGAGCACCTCACACGACCCCATTGTATGACAGCCACGATGCAAGCTACCCGCACTCGGCACAACGCTCCGTTCACTACGGTCAGCTCCGCCGGATAGACTAGAGCACGGACCGCTTCCCGGACCTCCAGAGATTAGTCAGTGATTTCTCCGCCCTCCACGCAGCCACGTCTTGGCAGATATGAGACAGTGGAACAAGCTTCGACGAACGAGGCTATTGGTGGGTTGTCTTCATGATGACGCACTCATGGATGGTCGAGCTCAATGACAGGAGCCTGAGCAGCGCTAGACCATGTCCAGGAAATAAGCAGAGGGCGTGCGACATTGATGCAGCCCAACGACTGCTCAGAGTGCACAGCTATTAGCCTGCGGGTCTTACAGCTGTTCTCTAACAAAAGATTACTCAGACGGCTTCTCAATATACCATAGCCGGAACAAAGAATAGCCACCTACGCCACGGCTCACTTGCTGTCCAAGTTCCCGCCCTCTATCCTACGACTACCTCGAATCTCGACCTCAGCCCATCCGAATCGGAACAGTTCCTGCTGCATAAGCGGAGGCCAAAGCACGAAACCTGGAAGACGTAGATCCCGTATCTCAGGAACACTCAGAATACCATCTCGAGGCGCGTTTGACTTTGCGCGGATGCTCTTTACCGCCTGCGTTGTGGCTTGATCGCCAGCCTTTGAGACATGGTTCGCCAAATCGAATTCTCCGCTTCGACCCCGGAATTCTTGGCTCTCTCCAGCCTTGCTGCCGATAAACCCTTTTCGATAGACTAGTCTGGATGTGGTATTAGATATCAAGTTGTGGAAATGATGAATGTTCAACACCGCAGCCTCACCGTCGCACGCAGTCCCCTAGCTATAAATACAAGCAATGTCTTCTCATCGGCGAACATAGCGACGACAAGAATCACACGGTCTTTACTCACCATCACATTCTTTTCAAGATGTACACCACACACTCTTTGCTCATTGCGGGCCATCTTGCGCCTTTAACCCTTGGCGCATCCATTCCCGTGGATCTTGTCCGTCGTCAAGCTCTGACACCAGCCATCGATCTTCCCTACGAGTGGACGTACAAATGATGCTACGTCGATCGCGTTGGGAAGCGCGCTTTGAAAAGGGCTCTCACCAGCAATGCTGAGATGTCTGGGGGATTCTGTGCACGCTGGTGCTCCGAGCAGGGCTACAGCTTTGCGGGCAAAGAATGGAGCCGCGAAGCGAGTCTCCTCCCGCGCAGGATTAGCGGAGTGGAGGCTGACCTCAACAGTGCTTTTGCGGATACGACATCTTTGATCCTGTTCCCACTGAAGACATTGACTGCTCTTGGCCATGCAGTGATCCACTGGTTGCCGGAGAGGCCTGCGGTTTGAGCTGCGATGAGTTAAGAAGGTACTTCTCTTGACCTTTAGGCGTGCAGTCCTCTCCTTCGAGGGGATATGGTGGGCGAAATCGTAGGCGAGGTGGTGGGCGAGATCGTGAATGAGCGAGGTCGTGGGTGGTGGTGGTGGTGCTGGAAAACATTGGAAGGGCGGGTTGGTGCGAGTTTAAGTATCAGCAGCTTATACCAGAGGCTGGTCCGATGGGTCCAGCTGTTGTGCATTACGCGTTTGCTCCGTGCCTTTGACGCCCAAATGAAGATGAAAGTGGAAAGCAAACCATAGTCCGCTGGAGTCTCGTTACCCGTGCGACCCACAGGATTCTCAATGTGTGGTTTTGATTTACGCCAAGTTAGCAAGTTGGAATTGTGCCTTGGTTCTTTATGTTTGGCGCGAAATGCTAAGCAGGTGACGCTGCAGCATGTCTGAACATGCAGGTGACGGGGGGTTAGAAAACACCACAAGAGAACTTGTTCTGTACCATCATGTGCATAGGAAATCTTATCTGCATGAACACGTGAACATTCAGAGTGACCGTTGCAGATGACGACGAGATCCAGGGTTTGCTTTTTACACAAACCGAACCATACGAAGACCCCGAAAGCCAAATTTACTGAAACTTTGTTCAGAGATACACGGTACACCACATGAATAATATCTTCGCGCGCTTCGTTGGGGATCATCGTGGACCTAGCTCCTCGTGGTGATCTCGAATTCTACATTGTGCGGCGTGAGGCCAGGATTGCTACACGTGTACTTATTAAGTGAGAGCAGGACATAGTCACAAAGATCCGCACATAATGTTTTGGATTACCAACAAGTATCAGGAAATCTCTTGTCATCAAATTATGCCTCTCGCAGAAATGGTGTTGATCCCGTGGATCACTCGAACCATGTGGTGAAGTTCTAAGAGATTTCTGGGGTGCTTTACGACTAGCTTTAGCATTACGCTATGTGTGGTATGATGACCTGTCAATCTGGTCATTATTCTTGTTCCGATCCTGTGTATCTTGTACTGTCTACCCATTCAAACCCACCATGTACTCAATCTTGCTGGCTTCTTGATAAGCTAAGCCTCCGAAGAATTCTCAAGCCAGAGAACAGAGTTGCGCAACGCGAGCGACGCTCACCGATCCTTCATCTCGACGTCATGATCGTCAAATTTGCCAGGTGCGCCAGTCTTCGCTGCCTCTCCACCTTTCGATGCCGATGCTCCCATATTGGATGGCTCTCCGAACTCGATTTTTGGAATTGGAGACGACTCGTACATCTTGAATGTCTTGGCTTTCCTCGATGCTGAAACTGCAGTTGAAGTCGAGGGTGTGCGGCGATACTTCCTTCCCTCTGGCCATGAGTAGTCCGTATTGACTGAATCTTCCATGCCCCTTGGCTAGACGAACTTGGGAATTGCAGGAATCGGCGAGCTGACAAAGGCGAGCGGCTTTGAGATTACGGACGCCTCGCTCTTGAAGCTCTTTTCTGTCCGTGGGCTGGCTTACTTCCTCATGATTTTAATCAATTTAAACAGACGAGACTCCAGCGCGAGTTTTGCAGCGGTGATTGCAGCCTCGCCTGCCTCTCTCAGAATGAAAGGAGGCAGAGCAACTTGAGACTACGCAGCGTGAGAGCCAGCATATAGCATCTCCGGCTCGTAGCCTGCACCCTTGACGATTTACAGCACCAGTGTATGACAGGTAGGGCAACAGCGCTTTGTGACCGACGGAATTTTGAGAGGGTCATCCAATTTATCAGTAAGCTCCTGGGGTGGCAGCAGCAGATGAAACGCGTTCGATTGGGCATTGGTCTCGCAGGTGTCCGGATTGATAAGGTCTTCGCGCAACTTGCTGATAAGATATAGGGAGATAAGCAAAGTCTCGCAATGTTATGTGCCCTTGAAGACCGTTCTTGCTGCAGTGTCAAGCAAAAGCTTCTTGGCAAATTCACGTCCATGGTTTCCGAGCCAGTCGATAGGTAATGAGCTTGCTCTCTTCCTCGTCGAACTTCACTGTTCTTCTGCCACGTCGGAAAGTGAAGTTGTCAAGCAACTCTCTGATATACAGCTGGGTGCCCGCATAATCTGATGTAGACCCGATGACGTTAAGCGCAATCCTTTGAAGGATCTTATTTGTGACGCTGCTCGAATCCGACCCCACGCTGCGCTCCAGGGCCAGATAGGCAATGGTATGTAAACAGATCAATTCGAGCCAAGTGAACGCAGCGATAGCCCATGGCTTGCTGTCAAGGGCTTTGATCTCTGAATAGTGCTTGTATTTATCAGGTTTTCGGTCAGGAGACTTCGTGCCGCCTTCATGATCAGCATCGCCGCCACCCACCTCTGAGCAAGGTCCCCTAGGACTGGAAGTGGGAATGGGTGCTTGTGTCCTCCTATCAGATGCTTGATTAGTATCCTTGTGCTTGGCGTTGGCCAGGCGATACTTGAACGCAATGACCGTGATATTAGCCTTCACGAAGGGACCTAGCTGGCCTATCAATTCGCTCAAGCAGCGGAGCCAACCATCAGAGGCGGTGACAGCATCGTCAGTGCTGCAAAATTTTCGGAGAAACTAGCTCGATCTCCTGGCTGGCCATTAGGCTACTCTACATGATAGCGCTGCCTTTGAATCTGTGCCTTTCGCTTGAATCCGACGAGGTCGAGCATGGATGTATCTACATAGGTCACAACGACAGATAGCAGAGTTTGTAGCAACGGCATGGTCTCAAGGTCGTATTTGACTGTGAGAGATTCATCTTGGAGAAGAGTTTTGAATCTCGTCAGTGCAGCGGCATCTTGATCGAATCTCTGAGCATCTCCTGTCCTATTATCGTTCGCTGGCTCGGCCCGTTGGTTCTCGATTGTGTTGCGGTGCAATTCGGTCCTATAGGCCTTGATCGTCACTTCTGTTGACTACCTTGGACTAGCACGTCTCAGGGCATGTATATATGGTCGCCTCATAGCTAGCAAGCAACTCAGCGCAGTTTCCATCGACTATACTGCGGCTACTTCTGCCGCAATAAATTGCGAACTGACACAAGTTCAAAGCTGATTTGCGTTCTTCTTGGGTGAAGGGTCGTAGCTGACCATCCATCTGATGATTGAACAAGATATCCATTAGATTGTCGCTTGACACCACCACCTCAGTAATAGTAGACCCGGACACTGATATGTTCGAAGAAATTGCGGGCTTCTTTGCCACGGATAAGTCTGCCATAGATCCTAGCAATTGAGCTCAGAAGGGTATAGTTCTGTAGCTTCTCTCGGGCTAGAATGGTGGCACCTGGATTAGTTACAGTGTGCGTGTCCCTGATTAGCTTCAAGATGTTGGCGCTGTGTTCTGCAAACGAAACATTGGTCGTTGGAAATTTCCTGCGTTTGGCGGTCGCATTGGGGCTTCTGATGGCATAGTTGAGGGCGCGGAATCTGTCTTGCTGGAATCTATGTACCGGTTCCATGTCCTCCGTTGGTTAAGAATTGGCCTTTGTTATTTCGTTTCAAGGGTGAAGTGGTGGGGCACTGCCTATGCATGGCATGATATGACCAAGGGTGGCGGTGATGGAAGATGCTAGTGGCACGTGTTTTCGAGAGCGAGATTCCGTTTGCTTGAGATGTAGTGTGTCGGACATGATGCACAAAGCTGTTTAGATATTATAGGAGGCAGCTTAAAACTGCAGATGCAACCATGGTTCACATCCGTCTAAACCACTGATCGTGGCCACTCGTCTGCGAGACCCACAAGTTCTCCCTTTTGTTACAATGTCTGGACCCACCACCCTACATCGGTAAATTCCAAATAAAATCCAGAGTCCCATCATCAAAGCTCTGGAAATTTTGCTGGTTATCGAGCCCAAACGGAGCCATAGCGGGATCAAAAGGCAGCGCCAACCAATCATCATCAGGCATCATACCTGTAACATCGCCTGCCAGGCCAGCAAGCGCAGACTGTCCAGCGTGGCTGTTAAGGAAGTCCATGGTCCCTGTTGTGCCATTACGCTCGGCGGATGTGGCGCGTGAGGGAATGCGAGGAGGGCGGGAGGACACGACGAAGGAGTCGCGGAGGCGAGCAACATGCAGTTCCAGGAGAGTTGCGTAGCGGGACGCGAGATGCATGTCGTCGAGTACGCCTGGATGTGTATTAGTGAGTGACAGGTGATGATTGCGAGAGGTGCTTACTCGCACGCAGAGCGCGGATCGCTGCATCCAAGATGTCAAGTGATGATTGCAGTTTCTGATTCCTTGATCCCAAGCTCAGACCCTTGATGAGATATATCGAGGATGTTGTTATGCGCAAGAATATCCGCACCGGCGAGTAGCGCAGGGCACCTGATTCTGACAGCTGCACCACCTTCTGCAGAATCTGACAGCTTCCGTCGACAACTTCTTGGATGAAGTCGTAGTCTCTGGGCTCGAGATTCATAGGCAAGATCTCGTCTTGAGGCACATCGTTGTCTGTCTCGGCGAGAGTGCGTTCGACAACAGCTTGCATGCCGACCGAGTTGGTGTATATGCGGACGTATTGGTATTCGATAGTAAGCATGTCGTGGAGACCCACCTTGAGCTCTGCACGGCGGTAAGTCACAAAATGATAAGTAACGATAGACAACACTTACTGCAGGGGTCTAGATACTTCTTCCTCCATGATGTCAGCAGTGGCTGGAAGTGCTCCAGCAAGCCAATGTATCTCCCTGTACGCAGCAAGCTCTTCGTAGTCGCTGCCGAAGGATAGATGGTGTCAGAAACAGAGCGCGCCAGTTTGGTAAGCTCCACCCATGCGCTCATGAACGACTGCCACTGCTCGACAGCACCTGTGGCGGAGTCGACGGGTATCTTCTCCATCAGAGCATGGTTCAAACTCTGCGGTATCATCGAAGTGCAACCAAGTCGCCACGACAGCTGCTCGAGCAGGACGTAAAGCAGCTTGCGGGCCCGAATGCGCCGTAATACTAGGAACTCTGTACCTGAGTTCGGATACGATCTTTGGTCTTTGTCAATGCTCGCGTTGTCTTCAAACAAGCCCAGCTCTTGGGCCAGCGACAGAGCGGAGCCCATCAGCATCCACGACATGCGGTCCGATCGTTTCGCAGGCTCTATGACATCCTCTAGCCATCGACTCGATGTTGTGTCCCCTTCTAGCAGCTTCGCACCTTCTGCGGTTGTGTTATTGGCGCCAATCATGAGCTCGCAGTCCCACCCATCCGCTGCAGTGGGAAAGTGCAAGGCGCGTGGGTGCCATTCTGAGAGCAGTAACAACGCCTCAATTGATCCAATTGTCCGGCTCTGTGCTTTTGACGGCTTTACCTGGCCGAGCATGATCTTCATGATGAAGCGCTGACATTGTTCCCATAATCGATCGTGAACGAAATAGCCTCTTGATGCGCCCCCCACTCCTGGCAGGATATTATAACGAGATGAAATCATGAGAATGGTGACACATAAGAATGGGTCCAGCGCTATCAGCGCGTAGTGATTATCATGGTGTGAGTAGAAGTCGCCAAGGATAGGCGACAGAGGTGAACAATTCTTGAAGAAGAGGTCGACATACGTGACGGCTTCGTGCGCGGAGAACCAGCCCATCTGCACGAATCGACACGATGTCCATATTTTCAGTGTCTCTGGCGATGGTGTTGACATCTGCACTGGCTGTGCTCGGAACGTGTGGTACGGCGATGCAGCGTCGAACCCACCAGATGGTCCTGATCTTGGCGTCTCATACGCTTGCGAGCCGTTCGCTTCTTGGTTGTCGATAGCATCGCGGTGGTTGGCGGCTTCAAAAAGCAAATTCAGTGCATCGCTGCCGCTGGAGACAACGGTCCTCATTACTGAATGGGCAAGATCGGGCTGAGACGAAACCCGCCGAAGATGAGACGGTGGCGATAAGATGTCAGAGCGATGTGAGTGCCCATTGAGATAAGGGCTTTGCACAGGAGTGAAACCATGGCCTGAGATAGATGAACGCTGAGCTGGCGACGGCTGGGCGGGTGCAGGCACAGATGAGGAAGGCACAGGACCAGGAGGATGAGTCTGAGGTCTCGAGTCACCAAAGCTGATCTCCTCTTCCTCATCTCTCGACTCCCCAGGCTTCCGCCTTTTCACCCATGATCGCTCAGACCTAAAGATACATTCTCGCATCTCTCGCTTGCATCTTTGACATGGTGGCTTGAGCTCACCACCATCCGGGCCAGTACCGAGGATGCATTTTGCCTTACGCTGCCGGCAATTTATGCATGCCTTGTAGGCGCGCTTAAAGTCCTCGGGGTGTGTCCGCTTCTTAGTGGTCGAATTCGCGTCCTGTGTACCCAGGGCGGCATTTAGGTCGTGTGTTGTGGCCATTTCACAGGCTGGTGGAGTGCTGCGCGGATGGCGCAGGAACAAGACTGTTGAATGGCGGCGGCAATGACTGGATTCTGCTGTGGGAAGGGTCTTTTGGGCCGAGCGCATGGGCCGAAGCGTGAATTGCCGGTCAGTGAAATTCCTACTTTACACAGCGTGCAATTGTGCCAGATGCAGTTGCTGAAATTTTGATTGCCCTGCTACAATTGAGAATCACAATCAATTCGGTCTCAGCGATTTGCAGTGCCCAGCACCGAGTGAAAAGTGCACCTCGCGCCGTTCTCCGACGGCTGACGAGCCGCTTGCACGCCGGCTAACGCGGGGCAGGGTCGGATCGGCTTTGGCCATTATCAGTCATCGTCCATCACGACGGAACGAGTCACCATGAGGGATTGTGCCAGAACTATGTGTGTAAACGCCATGTATTGGGCATTGATACGATTTGGGATGAACACACCGGGCTTGTACCGAGAGCTAACGAGCACCTATTTCGTGGCACTGCTTTTCGCCATTTTCCTCGCCTTTCTCTTCAGTCTTTGTGTCTTACCGGCTTGTTCGGTCTCCTGCAGGATGTTAGTTACGTTACTGCATTGAGGGATCTCACTCACCTCAATTCTGTCAACCACTCGGCCTCTATCCTCGTCGTTGTCTGCTTCTGTGCCCCTCAATCGCTTCATGAGCAAGTCCACGTGTCTGTCGTTACTCCAATCGAGCGTGCCCTTCTGTAAAGCAGAGTCGAGTTCACGATGTTGATCATCCTCCTTGCGGTCCAAGATGAGGATGGTAGGTCGTGACTCTTCGGTCTGCGCTTCTTGCTTCTTCACGGGCTCCAATTTCCTCGCTGTAGGTGGTGGTGACGGCATGATCGACCGGCGGCTCTTGTTCCTGTGCATCGCAGATCGTCGCTGGTTAGCCGACCTGCTGATCACGAGAGAGCTTTCTTTCGCTGTCTTGCTCTTAGCAATAAGCGCCGCGCGCTTGGACGAAGAGTCGTCTTTGGAAGTGGCGTCGCTAGCGGTCGACATCTTGAGCTTCGGTATTCCAGCCGGCTTGGTCGAATAAAGAGGCTTGGGGCTCTTTTTCTGCGCGCGCTCGAGTACTGCTTTGGCTACGGCCTTGCTATTAGCACTCTCCACGTTAGCACTCTCATTCCCTGTAATCCAGAACTCTCGGTCGACCTTAACAAGGCTCTCGTGGGTGTCGGGTGGAGCTTGCGCCATGGCAAAAGGGACCGCGGTGGTGCCTTCGCTGAGATCGTGGGACCACTTGGAAAACTGCGTGTCCATATTTTGCAGCACATTGTCCGGATACAAAGCGTAATGGTCAGGGAACGACACCCAGCCGTGGACCTGGTTCATGTGGGTGCGCTTCGGCCTGTCCAATGTTAGTTGACATCCAGGTTGGTCTCAAGACAGAGCTTACACATGCGCCATGTCATCATCTGACCAATCGCTGGAGGCAGTTTCCCTCACGCTCAGACTAGGAGTAGTGATACGAACTGTCCGCGGCGACCGCTCGTCTGAGCTCGGTGTACGGCTCCTGGTCTTCCACTCGGAAGCTGACTCTTCGGAGGTATTGTCATGATGCACGAACTTGTCGCGATGTACAGTCTCGCGGGCGATGATGAATCCGGATGCGTTGGATACAAGCTCTTCGACAGACCGAATGACTGGTTTGGGGCGGAATAGCGGTTGGTTGATATCGTTGCGCGGGCGCGAGGATATTGTCAGAGTACCATCGAGGAGGCCGGCAAGTTTCTGCGCATCGTCGCTGCTGAAGCACGGTGCGTCAGTTTGCCGAAGGCAGAGTCGAGGAAAGCTCTTCACTGCTTCCGCTTCCGTAGCAGAGTAGAAGCGTGCGTATTTGGGCATTGCAGGACGAAGTACTGACAAGATGAGTACAATCTAGGCGTAGAAAAGGAAGGAGCGTGATTGCGCGCGCAGGCAGGGCGGAAAACAACGTAAGATGACACGGAGTCACTGAGGACGTAAAAGCAGTTTGTCGCGCAGCAAGCGTGGACAGTCATAGAAGGAAATGCGAATATTTGTGTGCAGCAGGCCTTTGCAAGAGCTATGTGGGGCGCATCTTGTCACTAGGTGTGCGGAATTGCAGTGAAGTGAAGGGTGCGGTGTTTGAATCTGTTTCACTTCAGCATCCAAGCATGGAAGACTACAGCGCGCTCGCGACCGCGTTCTTGGAGGTTATCTTCCTGAGCAACCCTTTGACAATTTGAAGGAAGGTCCACAGTAGAAAGCGACCAACAGGGCTGCTGACCGGACATCTTCCTGGCTCCAGGCTGAGAAAATGGCGGATAGATATGTAGGATTGACAGACTAAGCTCGGGTTGCATACAAGACTGACTTCCTCCAGCAACTTCCAGTATCGACCTCGACGAGTGCACAGCATTCAGCCGCCACTTCCCCATAGGTAGCCTCGAGCTTGTGCCTGCGAGCATCAGTATCCCTACCAACAGCAATTTTGGCGAGCCAACCTGTCTTTCCGAAGCTATACCAGCAGTACTTGAACGACCGTCTGACAGAGCCCCGAGCCATGGGAAGCCATGTCGCCCTCTTCAACCCATCAAGCGCTCGGTATCCAGTGAGCTACTCAAGATCGACGACCTCACAATATACATGGCAGCCTGTACGGAGTACAGACGAGGAGTCGCGGCGGAATGGACGGGAGACCGCTTGCTTGCCATCGTCGCTAAGTGGAGTGCATTGGACAGGGAAGAGGGGAGTAGGATAAGAAACCGAGAAAGCAACAACAACGAGTCGACCGTTTCGCCACCCGTAACCAATAACCTGCGAAGTGTTGGAACTGGATGATTATGTCACACTATGAGTGCACAGCAGCGCCTGTGTGTCCAGATCTAGCGGTGTGTACGTCGATCGACCGCAACGCACCGAGAGGCAGTGCATGGCCCAAGAACACACATTACAAAGGAGATGACTTTGCGAGAGAGCAAGGAACTGCGAGATCTGACGAAGGCAGATCGATGGATGGATGGTGTTGAAGTCTGGATGTGACGTGTTTTGGGTACTGGTACCGGTATGGTAACGCGTCTCTAGCGCGATTTGAATCGGCGCGCTTTCCGTCATCAGCCTCAGCGGTCGTTCCATCCTTGCCTGTACAGCAAGATTATGACCATGCTTCACCAGGTAGATACGTCTAGTAATTATCGCGTACATGCTCGACATCAGCCGCTTTACTCGAAAACTACGTCCCTTTAGGCAGTTGACAAGAGATTCCGCCGTGCGCTCGGCAACGACAAGAACGCCGAGCTCAACCCCGAATTACTTCACACTGCTCATTGGTGCTTTCATTTTGTGCCTGATCTTGGTACTGTCAAATTCGCTTCCATATGGTAAGATATACTATTAGGTTACGCGATGGATCCGCTGACTGCCTGACTGCGTTGCCTTCCGCGACTGGCCTCAGGCTGGTATTTATATCAGAGCTTCGCTGCGTGCACGATCTCTTGTGAACCTCTCGACGTAGGCATATTAGAGACAGGGAAACAGTTGCACACTCAGCATGAAGGCCATTGCTATCTTCGCCGCCGCATGTGCGACTTCTGTCATTGCGGAGCCAGGGAAGGTCAAACCTCGAGCTCTGTACACCATTGAAACCGCCCCTGGCCAGACCGTGCAGATAACTGAGGAGGAGCGATGGGAACTTTCGTCTGTAAGCAGCGCATTCTTGCGCCCGCATTAGTACTGATGGATGCAGAGCGGCGGTTGCGGCAGCCATTTCTTCGACATCACGGAGTTTGACACCGAGGTCAAGGCAGTTAAGGTCCCAGCTCCATACCCATCCAAGTTCAAGTACAAGGAAAACATCAGGCGTCTATTCCCTAAGCTCAAATGGGACAATATCAGAAAAAATCTCGAGAAGTATGCGACCTACCACACGCGATTCTCCGAGACGGTGACCGGAACCCAAGCGTCCGAATGGCTCCTCGCCCAAGTCCAGGACGTGGTCTTGAAGTCAAAGAAGCAAGGCGTGACCGTCGAGGCCTTCCCACATGCACTCTGGCCCCAAAAGTCCATTGTCGTGACCGTACGTGGCCGCAGCGACAGGACGGTCATCGTAGGTGCTCACCTGGACTCAATCAACGGCGCAAACCGTACCACAGCCAAAGCACCAGGCGTCGACGACAACGCCTCTGGCTCTTTCCTACTTCTCGAGTCACTCCGTGTTCTTCTGTCTGACAAGGACTTCGGGCCAAGCAAGCTGCAAAACACCATCGAGTTCCATTGGTACGCTGCCGAGGAGGGTGGTCTGCGTGGTAGCCAGGACATCTTCACTCAGTACGCCAACGCCGGCAGGGACGTATGGGCTATGCTCAACCAGGATATGGTTGGCTACACGAAGGCTACGCTGGACGCTGGCAAGCCTGAGAGCTTTGGTCTCATCACCGACTTCACCGATCCCGAGCTGAATGAGTATATCGGCCGTGTTATCGACGAGGTAAGTCGATTTTCGCCAACCTTGACATACAATATTACTGACATGCTCATAGTACACCGAAATCGAGCGCGTCAGCAGCGTCTGCGGTTATGCTTGCTCAGACCATGGCTCTGCCACAAGGAACGGATATCCTGCTTCTTTCGTCTTCGAGGCTGCGTTCGAATACCGTAACCCTTACATCCACACTGCCAACGATACCATCGAGCACATCGACCCCAAGCACGTACTTCAGCACGGCCAGCTCGTTCTTGGATTCTTGTACGAGCTTGGGTTTAGCAAGAGCAAGTAAGCGGTTGCGTGAATGTGGCATTGGTGGAGTTGCTTAGATACCCAGAGGCGTTATGGGTGAGTTGAATAAGTCATGGGCTACATTAAGAACCAATGAATTATGATATCATGAAACGGCCCTATCACTTTCCTCGATTCCCTGGCCTGACTTCGCAGTTCCCAATCCCATGGTGTTCTCGGCTATGCTGTCTCTTGTAACCACCCTTGACCTATCCCACGCAGGTCTTTCTTCCAGACCCGCTAGCGCATCATAAAGCGGCAGCATGTGTTGATACCACGGGAGCACACAATCAACACCAGAGTCCAGTACTTTCTGACGTAGCCCATTGAGGTTCATCAGTATACTTCTAGCACCATCTGAGGCGATGAGGAAGCAAGGCGGAACGCCGTTGGCGCTCTCAAACTCGCGGATTTGGCGGAATGCATCGACGCCCGTCACGGAATGGTGACGCATTGCTTCAATGAGAAATGAGTAAGCGTGGATGTCAAGATGCCAGGAAGGTAGCTTACGGTCCATGATCACGACGTTGTACTTCATTGGGTCGTTCTGGTATGTGAGAATAGCTTCCTCTGGGGTAGAAACGGTGTCACTGCCGCATCCGATTCTCCTAAGGGTCGCCTGCATGATCTGGAAAGCTATCAGGATCTGTCACAATGGATGAATTACAAACAAGGAGCGCACCTTCAGGTTGATAAAGTTATGGTCGACGAGCAACCTCCAAGACCTGAGCACATGGTCTGGTAATGGGCATCGGATATCAGCTGGCCATCTTTTTCGAGGGCTGGCGGTCTCCACGCCTTCTATAGCTGGTAGCCTGTAGTCGGTCTCGTGGGACAGCGCCATACTGGTCAGACTTTCGTTTGGCTGATGCTCGAGTTTGCATATCGGGCAGAGACACATGTCGCATCACGGTAGGTACAATGACAGCTGTAGTAGTGGAACGTAGAATACGAAGTCCACAAAACGTTTGCGTGTGGTAGTAGCGGCTCGATGCGGGGCACTTTATCTCTAAGCAGCACCATACCGCGAGCCTGATTCTCATCTCGGTCTACGTCATCCCACTCCCCTTCCTCTCCTCCCTCAGAGCATTCTTGACAATAGCACCGCACATCTTTGCGTACGGATTCGTCCTAACACTCATCTCCCTCGCTGCCTCGTCGCCGTACCGCGCCGCAGCAGCAAAATCTTTCGACGCCAATTCCTCCAGCTCGCTCTTGCCTAGCCCCCCCAGCTCTGTACAGGTTTCGCTAGCTTTCAAGTACAGAAAAGCGCGGTGCGAAAACGCGGTTCGTAAGATGCGCGCCTGGTATGCGGAGACTGGGGCTGTCGGGGATGATGTGGGAAGGGACAGGTGGACTGCGCGGGATAGATCTGTAAAGAGGTTCTCTATGTCCGATTCTGGAGCTGAGAAGATATGTGCTTCTTTTGGAAGTGCGGCTTCGATGCGTATCCTCCGCAGTTGTGCGCGATTAACGAAGGCGCTTGGGTACGTAGGATTTGTGGCGATGATGTTTTCGAACTCTTGAATCCCAGCATCGAGTAACTCTGGGCTGGATTCGCTCGATGTGCGGCGGATGATGTCGTTCTGTTGTGTCTCGAGAATAGAGAGCTGTGATGAAGAAATGGCGGGGTGCGGAGGTAACGTTGTGTCTATGGCGGATGCATCTTTTGACTTTGCGACAGATGATGGAAGTGTTTCTGGATCGAAGAGCGCGTTCAATATGCGGGAGTCATTCGCTGACAGCGATGTGTTGATCGTGTCGACGGCCATGGTGCTGAATTCGTATGAAGATGAGTTCTCGGTGTAGTAACTTGGAGGCTGGATCTGCTTTGAACGAAATGAGATACAATTCTGTGAAGTTTTCAATTGGTGTTTCTGATTGAATTAGGGTATCCAGTCTGATACTATTCAACATGAATCTGAGGTTCGGCTTAGCAGTCCTAGAGCCGGGCAACAGCGGATATTGTAGCCTGTTGCCCAAACCAGTTAGCTGCCTTCCCGTAACGAACATCACAGCTGCTCGAGCTCTGCCATCACGACCACGCATCTTGATCATATTTAATATTGATGTGGTACTAATAAGCATGACGGTAGACTTCGATTACGCAGCGCTTTATTCCAGGGCGTTTGCGGGACTGTCACGGCTTTCCGCATTCAAGACTCACCCTGGGCGGATAAGTGCGGACGGACATCAGCGGACAATGGGCGTCGTTTCAGGAAGGTACCGCAAGTGCTCTCGGGTTAAGGACTCTGATGACGGAAACTGAGCAAAGATCGCATGGATCATAAGAGCTCGGTTCTTGAAGGAAAGCAAAGTGAGCAGTCTTTCAAAGCTTGGTAGATAAAGGCAGTCTCGGACCGCCCGGGTTAGAATTAGCAAGCACACAGTTCTCTTCTCTGTCCATATCCACTGACTATTCGACTCGACCTTCACGCATCTCGAATCAATTGCACTCTACAAGCATGGCACCTGCAGCAATATCGCCTCCCGGCTCCCCAGTGCCCTCCACCACTTCCTCCTCGGACTTCGCCTCATACCGCGGGTATCACCATGTCCACTGGTATGTCGGCAACGCCAAGCAAGCTGCTTCCTTTTACGTTGCCCGTATGGGTTTCGAGCGCGTCGCATACCGCGGGCTGGAGACTGGTTCCCGTGCAACCGCGTCCCATGTCGTGCGCAACGGCAACGTTACCTTCATCCTAACCTCACCACTTCGATGCCTTGAGCAGAGGGACCGTTTCACCGAGGCAGAGGCAAGGCAACTTAGAGAAATTCACGAGCACCAAGAACGCCATGGCGATGCTGTCAAGGATGTTGCCTTCGAGGTTGACAATGTCGATGCCATCTACAATGCTGCTGTTTCCGCTGGTGGTGTTTCGATTGCGGAGCCACATGATGTTACCGACTCTTACGGCACCGTTCGCCTTGCCACTATCCGCACCTACGGCGACACAACACATACTTTGATTCAGAAGAACACATACAACGGCATCTTCCTGCCCGGATACCGCCCAGAAGTCAAGGCTGCTGACTCCCTAAACCGCTTCCTCCCTGCCGTCACACTCGAGGCCATCGATCACTGCGTCGGCAACCAGGACTGGGATGAGATGGAGGACGCATGTGACTATTATGAGAAGGTGCTCGGCTTCCACCGCTTCTGGAGTGTAGATGACAAGGACATCTGCACAGAGTACTCCGCGCTGAAGTCCATCGTCATGTCCTCGCCCAACGAAGTCGTCAAGATGCCAATCAACGAGCCCGCTAAGGGCAAGAAGCAGTCGCAGATCGAGGAATACGTCGACTTTTACGGCGGTCCAGGTGTCCAACACATTGCGCTGCGCACAAACAACATCATCAACGCCATCACAAACCTAAAGGCACGAGGCGTCGAGTTCATCAAGGTCCCGGAGACATACTATGACAGCATGAAGATGCGTCTCAAGAAGGCCGGGCTCACGCTGAACGAGGACTTCGAGACACTGAAGAGCTTGGACATCCTGATCGACTTCGACGAAGGCGGCTACCTGCTGCAGCTCTTCACGAAGCACTTGATGGATAGGCCGACGGTGTTTGTCGAGATCATCCAGCGCAACAACTTCAGTGGTTTCGGAGCTGGCAACTTCAAGTCGCTGTTCGAGGCCATCGAGAGGGAGCAGGAGCTTCGTGGTAACCTGGTTTGAGCGAGCTAATGGTAATGATTATCTGGAAAATGGCTTAGCTAGGCATTGGTGGCGTTTTGGGATACTATACCAACATAGCAATGTGTACTTCTTCTTCATATGATAATCATACTCGCGTTTCTGGTAATGACAATATTGGAGGTGCTGTTGCTGTGCGCTCAAACCGCCTCTCATAGCCAGGCAGAAGCTGCGGTCTCGCGAGCTGGGAGGTCGTCGCAGCCTTGTCCTTCGTAAAGTCTCCAGCGTGCTCGTTCATCCTCCGTTCCCCATGAAACAACTTGCCCAGCTCCAGTGGTGACTGGAGGTCCTCTCTCTCGCTTTCACTCAGTCTATGCCTCATCCCGACGCAGCCACCACGCTTTTCCTGTCTTACCTGATATCAACAACCGCACTTTGACCAAGGTGAAGTAAGCCCTGACCTGCTGTATACTTCCGGAGTTGGGAAAGCAGCGTCGAGGTACCGTCGTTTGTGCGTTTTTGCTTTTCAAGCTCAGTCTTCCATGGTATTCACGTCATCAATAGACACCAATGTCTGAGGGGTTGCGACGCCTGGAGATCTATCGTAAGCTCACGAAGCATCGTTTTGACGCTTGATTCGATCGCAGAAGATGTATAGGCGGCTTCAGAGGCGACCGCGCACCTCTTTGTGTGCAGAGAAGGTGAACCACAAGCGAACAGTCGCGGAGAAGCGGGAGGTATACAGTTTCAATGCGCCGGTCCCTGTCAAAGCAGGACCTTGAGATCTTCAGTGGATTCGGCGCAGTGTAGCAAGCTCTCACCAGGACGCGGGCGCGCGGTGCGCCTTCCAGCTTTTCTGGCGCACTTACACATGTCTGACGTCACGGTAAACAACGCAAGTCACTCACCTCACAGTGGCAGGCGAGCGAACAAGCGAGGACGTATAAAGAATAAGAGCTCTTCTTCAACCGCCTGCGCAAGGCAGACCGCGTCAATGAAAAGGTTCGCGTGCACCGGAGGTAGTGTAATACCGGCGACACTGTGCCAATGAATATAAGCAAGCCCAGTGATCCAAAGGCCGACTCCAAAAATAAGGATAATCGTGAATGTCTTCGTAAAGACGTTTTAGCGCTCGAACCTGTCAGTGAAAGTCCTGTCGAGGCGAGTGATCAAACTTACATTAAACTAAAAAGAACAGATACTACACTTGATCTAACTAGCACTTAATTAATTAATTATACAAAGCTGTTGTGGGTAAAAATACATTAGAAAACGCAAGGCAGCTCTGCTGTACTATCTACCACCTCTCTGCTTCTTGTAAGATACTTACAGCTAAAAACAAAGGACTCTCTATAGCAGTTGCCACATAAAACCCTATAAAGAAGAAGTAGGACACTCTTAACTTACTCTAACAGAAGAAGGGACGCAGCAAAGCCCTCCTCTCCTCCCCTAGCAAAGTACGCGACGCACGTCACCACAACAGGCTTAATAAGACAAAGAGACTTGAAGAAGAAGTGACAAAACACTATTAAAGCAAGGAGCGAGCTGCTGCAACGCTACGCAACAAGTCAGAGAAAGAGAGACGCTCTGCTGCGTACGCTGCGCGCCTTAAGGCCTCAAGGCAGAGAAGAGCAGAAGAAGCTGCCAATCGCGAGCGCAAAAAGCAAGAGCGCGACGCTGCTAAATATATACAATTATCCCAATCAGGCAATCGCAAGGCATCACAGAAAGCACCTGCAAAAGTCTGTACAAAAAAGAGCCGTTCTGCGCGTGCGCGGCGTGGTGTTGTTATAGAGGAGCATCCTCCACCCTCCTGCACAGTCACCACCCGCAGCAGTCGCACTGCAACTCGCAATTATTAGTCCTTTACAGAGGACTTTTACATACATTGATCCATCACCCTACTAAATTTTCTCGCGATGATCGCTTTTGTGCGTGGCTGTACAGCTTCATTTTGTGGTGTTGAGAAAGTGAGGAAATCGTGCATTGATCCGACGCGTGCATTGACCCGGTGGTCTCGGTACCGGTAGCTCCTGATTGGGACGGGCCTCAGCATCGGCCGGCGAGACTAGAAGTGGGTGACCATCAAGAGCTGGGGTTCTGCCGAGCACTGATAGCGACGTCAACGAGCGCGACCTTGTCCACTCGATCCTCAAATTGGCCGGAAATTTGTCTCACGATCACGAATTGCTATGCACGCAATCCATAAGTTTAGATGCGTCTGAGGCCCTCCGCAGCCTTGCATTACGTCCTTTCACTACCCTCTGGAAGCTTTGTCTTCCTGGCTCGTCCTGAATCCTCCATTCACGCCTCATGGACTCGGCTGCTTCATCCTCAGACCCTAAGTCTGTGACCACAACACTGCTGCTCTCCTCACCGGCAGTCAACCTCTTGAGCACTCAAAGACCCTGAGTACCCATGGGCTCCAGCAAAACGGTCAAAAAGGCGACTGAGGACCGTTTGTGGGGACGAGATCTCACGAACTTCACCGCTATAGGACCTGGCGCTGAGCCTACCCGGACACAGCGGAAAATTTTAAATACTCGAAGCTGCCGAATCACTTCATCGCTTGACCGAATACAGTCCGAGTCCCAGTGCACCAAGGAACAAGCGAGGTTCTTTGCATAATGAAGCATTTCTGCTTTCATTCGCCTAATTGTGCAATTTCCACTTGACCCAAGAGTTCTCGGCACTGGAGCTTGTTCGCCAGCAGCCCTCCTAACACGACCACTGCCGTGCCTTAGCTGGGAGACATTCAATTCGAGGTCTACAAGATGCGATTGTTCATCTACGTCGTTCGAACGAGAACGAACACTGTGCAGCATATACCGCTGCAGCATTCGCTTGCGTCAATTACTTTGCTCGCAGTCCTCAGCCTGGCGAGTATCTTCTCTTCAGCTGGCAGATCCTCGTAATGGCTGCCGCTACTCTATGGCATACGCACGGTCAAAGATTTAGTCGGAATTGGGAGAATCGCCGCTGATCCTGCTGGCAAAGCGCCTCAGCAAGTCGCTCCGGTGGAGGAACACGCAAACGTCATGCTGAATTGCCCGGACCTTGGCTGCACTGGTCACCCTGAGCAGCTGCAAGTATCTCATGAAGATTATACTATCGAACTCGACCCGACTCGCCACATACGGCCGAGAAGGCGTATTTGAAGGGGATATCAACCAGCAGAATACATTCATATAACTCTACCAGCTCAGAGAGGACTTCCCAGTCTGAATACAGACACGGCAGCCCCTACCGTTGATTCTCACAGCTCAAATCGCGCTTTTGCTCCAGAACCATGAGTTTACCTTATACATGGTTGGCTGGTGCGACCACATCCCTGCACGAGGTCATCACAGATTCCGTCTCGACAAAGTCAATAACCATGCGCTCGCTGTCATGGATACACTGTCAGAGTTACCTGTGTCGGTATGGAATGTGGCGAGCATCGTGACAGGTGTTTCGCTAGGCACTGCTGAGGCGCAGGCCGTGCAGTATGCACAACCGAGCAAGGGTGCGCGCCACGACTTACACTAGATCATGCGCAGCCACACGCACAGCTGCAAGCCATAAGCTCAAAGCCCCTCGCTCTTGCCAGCGCATCATATGTTACGACCTCATATCCTATCGCACTCGAGTCCTTGACACCTGCTCCAGACATCGCGCTTTGCCCGCAGATACACCCTCCTGAGCAGTCCAGCGGCCAGCTTGTACAACATCGGCCACAGTTGTGCCCCGCTTTTCAGCATGTCGCACGAATGCCATGCTTACGAGTACCCGGATCTAGACACAACTCAGAGACAGATACGTCTTCTTCGGCTGCGACACAGAGCACACAACGGTCACTTGGCGCAGTATGAGCTCCACACATTCGATCTGGACAAAGCGCCGAACTACATCGCTCTTTCGTACACTTGGGGCCCGGAATCTCCAGCATATCCGATTCGTGTCAACCGCCGAAAGTTGCAGATCCGCGCGAATCTGCATGCGTTCCTCCAGGGCTTCACTGCCCGCGCCTACATCTGGATAGACCAAATCTGTATCGATCAATCGAATCCGGAAGAGAAGAATCATCAAGTCAGGATGATGGCACAGATCTATAAGGATTGCGACTCTATGATCATCTGGCTAGGAAGCACCAGCCACAAGTTCAAGGAGGCAGCTGACGAATTTGTCTATAAGCCACGACCGCACTCGCTAAGCATTCTCCTGCATGACGACTACTTCACTCGCCTATGGGTTGTGCAAGAGGTGCTTCTCGCCAGAGCCGTCCGAATTATCTGCCGCGGAACATTGGGCTTTGTCGAGCTACCGTGGAACGACGTTCACGCAATAGCAACAGGGGGTTCTGCGTGGCTGCAGCAACACGGAAACAAGAAAGCTGTGCTCGCACTGATAGCAAATCAAGGCATGAATCGATACGAGGGTATCCGGACCGTAGTCGCACGATACAGCAGCTATCAGTGTGAGAACCCTCGCGACAAGGTGTACGGACTGCTGGGAATTGTACGTTCGGACGAGCGTCTGGAAGTGGACTACAACAAACTGGTGCAAGAGGTTTTCTTGGACGCAGCGAGAGCTGTGCAGGTCTCGAAACTGGGTAGGCCTGACAGAGTCAAATGTCAAGGGAGACTCCAGTCCCTCGCGCGGGAAATGGGTCTGGCGAACGGTGACAAAGGCATGACAGGACTCCGAGGGATGCTCAGAGATGTCTTCGGCTCTTCCAAAACCGCCCGGTCTTCTCTCGCAAACCTTCCAAAGTTGGCGAGACCAAAGTCAATGGGCTTCGATCCCCAGCGTTCGGGGGCGTGTCATGAGAGTGAGGCCTCGAAACGGCTCCTGGCTCGATGGTGGTGTGAATATGAGGGCAAGAGGTACTATCACGCCTGCTGTAGCTGCGAAGCGAGTAAGATGTGTCGCTGTAATCCAGGGAAGGCGATCATCCGATCGTCGCTTGCCTTCCCTTGGGTTGCTGCTGGCGTGCAGCTTACCGCAAAGCAAAAGGAAGCTCTCGGCGGAGGAACGTCCAAGTCTGATACTGCCAAAGCGGACACTTCCGAATCAGCCGCATCTGAGGTGAAGATGGAGGACGAAAACGATTATAGCGCAAGCGAAGGGGATAATTTGGAGCAGGATGCGAATGGAATTTGAGCAGGAATGCCTGCGCTTTGAGTTGTTGGAGGTCTCTTGGTGGGGCGTGCGAGTGGATTCGGGGCACGATACTTTCTTTCATGACTGCGGTCTCGGTCCATTCTCTGAGTCGTCATCAAGGCAAGACGTTTCCTGAATAGAAGGTGATCATCTTTTGGCGATAAATATTGGTGGTGTTGTGGTTTTGTTCGGTAGCGCACGGCTATCGAACAACCTTGGAGACACCCGCTCAGTATATGGGATTTGAAGAGTGGGTCTACGGTCTCGCAGGCACCCGAGCATTTCTGCAAGACGTCTTCGGTCAAAGAAAGCTGAAACGTCCTGGTTAGCAGCCAAACAATTGTCCTACTAAGAAAAATATCGGCTTCAAGACCTCCATATCAAGTATGCACACCTGCGAACCGGGCGCTGGTGGCATGAAATCAACTATGAACAAATTTATTATGATTATCGGCCCTGCTCATCAAGACGACGTCTTGATGAGTCGCAAGATGGTGTCTGAGGCTAGAAGTTTATTGCAAGGTCACAGCGTTCGGCAATCGATAAGCTGAACGAAGAGATATCTAAGACCGTTGTTATAGTCCTATGAGGCTTCCAAGACAAGTCAGGATGAACATATCACCACCCCATGAGATAGATCGTCCGATATCGAGGACTGTCCTTTATTTTGTCAATGAGCACGAGCAGCTCTGAGCCTGATTGCATCCTCTCTCATCACTGCAGCCCAGCCCCGAGACTGCATTTGCCAGATCATGCCTAGCGTCGTAAGCACTCTCGTCGGCGGCCCTTCACCGACGCCACATTTCCCTTTATGGTCCCGTCAACCACTTCGGCCACGTCTACATCCGAACCTGAGATTCAAAATCACATCTGCTGACTCCCTCCAAGCGTTACTCCGCCTCTGAACCAGTCACTGAAGCTATTCTCGCTAACGAGCCAATTACGCATCTTCAGCTGAAGGCTCGGGTCTTCGCTTGGCAGCCGTCAGGATTGCATTGGCCAATGAGAACGAATTGGGGTAGGCTATGACACCATTCAGCTCTTGTTCCTAAGCGAACACTGCCATGCTGCTCCCAGTATCTCTCAGCATACTGAGGCACAGGCCGAATGCAGGTCTCACACGTCAGGCGCGGTGCCGATTGTGGAGGTGCCGACTACACAGCAGCTCTGTGTCGACGAGGAGCACAGCCCGCCACTGCAGGTATATAGTTATCGAGTATCGACATCTATCCAGCCTCCCATCTTCCTATCCAGTCAAAAAACCATCACGAGCTTTTCCTCTGTTTCCTTACTATTTTACGTCTCATTTCCTTCGTCTCTTTCCCAGAGTCATTCAGTATATCGTGTATTCGTCTCACATCTCTCCACTCCTGGTTTCTCGGCTCCCTCTCACCACACCCACCATCAGCAGGCTTCTATTCCAGACCTCATTCACCATGCACTTCTTCACTTCAATCTCCCTGGCTTCTTCACTCATCGCCCTGGCCGGAGCCATCCCGACTCTGACCGAGCGAGCATTCACCTTCTGCCCCGGGCAATCGCACCTCACTCCTGAAGTCAAGTGTTCCAGTGGCTTCATCGGCTGCGCTCCATACGAGAAGGGAAGCGAGCTCTGCAACGGACAGAAGCGCTTCTTCAACGACTGCTCCGGCGACGCAGGCCTAGGTTCATTCTTCAACTGCGCCAACGGCTTCAAGGGCTGCACCACCAACCCAAACATCTGCGACACCAAGCCTTCGACCGGCAGCGATACATCGTCCACTCCGCCAAGCGTTCCCTCAACGGCGCCTGGCAGCTGTCGCGCCGGAGAAGGCACATGGTACAAGTGCGCCACCGGCTTCGAAGGATGCAGCACTGACCACAGCGTCTGCGACAAGCCGTCGACAGCCCCCGCCGCGCCCGGCACAGGCTCAAACTGTCCCGCCGGCTCCTCATTCCACGTCTGCGCCAGCAACGGCTTCCGGGGATGCAGCACAGACGCGCTTATCTGCGACAAACCCACAGCTCCAGCTCCAGCCCCAGTCCCAGCCCCAGCTCCCAAGACCGCAGACAAGAACCCCGCAGCGCCGTCGCCAGTCTGGTCCTGCCCCAAAGATACCTGGTACGCCCGGCTCAACGAGTGCGGCAGCGGCTTCGTTGGCTGCACGGGCTCGGCGCTCGGCAGCAGCGTGGATGTGTGCGCGGGCGAGAAGAGGTTCTGGGGCTCATGCCCGGCTCAGCATGGCAATTACTATAACTGCGCGAATGGGTTTGTGGGATGCACGACTGATGTTGCGGTGTGCGATAAGAAGGCGCAGTGAGCGTGGGTTGGGTGCTTGTGTGAGGCGTTGGGTGCTTGTGTGAGGCGTTGGGTGCTTGTGTGAGGCGTTGGGGCTTGGGCTAGAGACTCGTTTCTTGCTGTTTTGGTGGTCTGGTTGGTGTTGTGTGTGTTGTGCCAGCGGGCGTACTGTATATTGTTTTACGCGTACATACCACATTCCTTACCTCTCTACTATATATACCATACCAATCTTTTGACCTGCGCAGCTTCAATCGCTTTGACATGCATACGCGTGCATTGGATCGACGAGTGATGGGCATGTTGCATTGATGCGAAGACCATTTTCCGACGCCACGCTGCACGTACAGTAGCAGTATATCCAAAATCAAATACATGCAAATGAGCCATGACGTATCGCGTCCCCGTGCTCACTGCTTCAGAATAGCCTCCAGCCTCTCCAGCAGCAGATCCGCGTGGTGTCTCTGGAAGATCAGCATAGGCCTGAGGCGCACCGCGTGCGCACCGCTACCGCCGATATTCACACCGTGCGCCTTGGCGGTCTTGAGTATCTCATCGCGGCGCGGCGTGTCCCAGGCAATAAACGTGCCCTGGCCCTGTCCGCGCAGGTTCTGGATGTCCCCCGGGTAGCGCTCGGCCAGGCGCTGGAGGCCGGCGTAGAGATAGTCGCCGGTGGCGGCAGTGTGGGCGACGAGGTCGAGGCGCTCGATCTCGCGGATGATGGCGCGGAACAGGATGGCGCGCGCAGGATCACCCATCCACGTGTTGAACTGGCGGTAGGGCTTGTTGGGCCGCAGCGCGTCGTTGCCGTAGTAGTAGCCCGCCGTCTGGGCCTTCTTGCTGAACGTCACCATATCCGGCGGGGAGGCGAGGTTCCAGTGGTCGTGTGCCCAGAACCTGCCCGTCGCGCCGACGCCCGTCTGCACCTCGTCGACAATGAGTAGCACGTTGTTGCGGGCCGTGATGTCGCGCAGCCCCTGGAAGAAGGCGGGCGAGGCGTGGTTGTCGCCGCCCTCGGACTGGATGGGCTCGACGACGACGGCGGCGACGGGCTTAGGGAACTCGCGGATCAGGCGCTCCGTCTCGGCGAGGCAGCGCTGCTCCTCGGCGGCGTTCTCGGCGGCAAAGTCGGCGAGCGGGTACTGCAGGGCGGGGAAGGGCGCCTGGGGCCAGTCGAAGGCCGGGATGTCGAGCTTGTGGATGGGCTTGGAGCGGGTCGTGGACAGGCTGCCGAAGAGGCGGCCGTGGAAGCCCTTGCTGAAGGACATGATGGACATGTCCGGGGCGCCGGGCGCCTGGTTGTCCATGGCCGAGGCCACGTCGGCGGCAGAGAAGTCGGCGTCGTAGCTGCCGCGCTCCTGCTGGCGCTTCCACATGAAGGCGGCCTTGTACGCGAGCTCATTGGCGTCGGATCCGGCCTGAGCGGTGAAGACCTGATTGAGGCCCTTGGGCGCGACGGCAAGGATGCCCGTCTCGAGGATGTCGGCCCAGTCGTGCTGCGGGAAGTTGCCGAGCGCCGGGCGGTTGATCAGCGCCGACGCCATCTCGGGCGACGTCGCGGCGAGCTGCAGGGCCGCGTTGTTGTAGCCCACGGGAATTGACGCAATCTGCGCGTACACGTCGAGGAGCACGTTGCCGTCGAGGTCGGCAATGTAGTTGCCGTAGCTCTGCTGGTAATTGGCCATCATGTTCAGGCTGCGCGTGTCCGTGACCTTGCCGAGCCGCTCAATTGCCGCCCTACTCTTAGGGCCTGGCATCTGCGTCTTGATAATAGGCTGCCTGGGCTCGTCAGGGAAGAAGGCCTGCTCGCTTGCTTCTGGCGACACGGCCGCCGCGCCAGCAGACGCATACTGCCTGCGCAGCGCCTGTGCAGCCGGGCGCGCAACCGACGACCGCGCGCGGCGTGCTGTGCTGAGGAGAGACGCCATTGCGAAGCTGGCCGCTCAGGAATATGTCAAGCAAGTGCGGGCGTGGACCAGAGCTCGCGAACTCGTTGCGCGGTGGAATGCTGTAATTATGGCGTGCCCTCGGCCTTCGAAAGATATAGTTAACTAGAGTCGGAACCAGAGCAGCGTGAGTAGCAGTAGCACCCTCGGAAAGGGCGCATTCCACTTTATACCCCCCTCCGAATAATGCGAGATACCGCTATCAGTCACGACCAGACGTTGCACGAACCCCAGCAACTTTCCCAAACAGAGCTAGCTACTCCACGCGACGCGAAAGCTTAGCCGCGGGGTCCCTAATCGCCTAGCCCCATTGGGAGAACAGACGCTGGCAGCGTGACCACTACACGCCAATGAGCAGCCGCGCACACGCCCTATACGCGCGAGGCAGGTCATTCCGAGACCTGCTGCACGACCTCTTTACTCCGAGCATTGCTTTCCGACGGACTGTTGGGGAAACGGGCGTGTTGTTTGGCGCTGGGAACCTGGCCTGCTCCGTCTCGCCTTTGTCATTGTTGCACTTCGTCGCAGGCAGGATCACGTGAGACAGTAGAGGCACACTCCATTCCGGACCTCAAGTCGACGCTTGCATTGTCTGCGTGCGCCATCACTCGTACACATACGTGCATGTAGAACGTCGTGTCAAGAAAATACATAAGAGGCAGCGCCTCGAGGGTATAAGTCGCAAGAGAACAGACCCAAGTCCCACACCAAACCAAGCCCCAAGCGCTAAGAACGCGATTCCAGCAGACTCGCAAAGGAACAGACAACGCGCGTGATGCAAAGATACAAACAAAGCCGTTCCCCGCCAGATACACGGGCCGTCACGAAGGCTGGTCGAGGTTGACGCGCAGCGTGTACCGCAGCCCTTCTTTCTCGCAGTACTCGTGCAAGAACGCCAGCCCGAAGCGCACAGCCTGGATAGGCGACGTGTCGGACGCGAGGGGGAGGAAGAAAGGGCCAGACAGGCGAGCGCCGCTGATTTTCTCGGGCTCTTTGATCAGCGCCGTGCGCGTCTCGCGCGCGGCCCACGTGCGCTTGTACTGCGTCTGGAGGTCCTCGACGGGCAGCGCGATGCGCGCGTCTTGGAAGTGCACGGTCGTCTTCTTGGTGTGGTCTGCGAGGAGCGCGAAGTTTTCTGCAAGCGAAGCGTGGTCCCTAGCTAGCTGGGCGCGTGCGACATCTTGCGGCGAGTCGTGGGGTTTGGTGCTGGAGAAGCGTTGGGATATCAAGGTGCAGATGGTCGAGGCGATGACGGAGCTGAGGTACGAACGCAGGCCGTCGAGATGCGCAAAGTCCTTTGTGAAGCGCGCGTAAGAGAGACACAGGGGGAGAAGTGTCTTCCAGGTTTGCTCTACCTCGCCTGCTCTTCCACGATAGTTGAGAGACAGGTCCTGGGCATAATAAGCCGCCATGTAGGATCTGTGGCTTTGTCAGTGAAGTGCTACGCAGGGGAGGAGCAGACGTACAGTATGCATTCCAAGTTGGTCACGGCCGCACGCTTCTCGTCTTGCTTCGTCAGCTTATTGCCCCTCTCCATGAGGATCTTGGTAGCCTCATGCTTCAATGCGCGGCCCATCTGGTTGAGCTTCATCGAGCTCTGCGCCATCAGAGCAATCTCAGCCTGCTTCTTCCCATTCAAGGGCGCAGAGGTCGGTGCAGACCTCGCGTCGGGTCTGGCGTTTGCCGGAGTACCACCTGACCGACCTGGCGTCGCCTCTTGACTTTCGGACGAGCCCGTCCGCAGCATGTTGACAGCTCTGTGCTCCCTCTTTGGGGTTTCGTACTGGGGCTGGCTCTTCTGCATACTAGATTTGGCCGACGGCGCAGGAGACGACGTGGCCTGTGGTGTTGGAGTGTTGGGTCGATCTTGCGAGGACAACGCCCTTTGGCGTTTAGCGGGCGCCGCCAGAGACGCATCGTCGTCGGCTCTCGGGCGTTTCTCTGTGGTCTTTGTGGCTGGCGCTGCAGGCTTGGTGCTGTGCGCCGATGTCGATGTTGTCGATGTCTCTGGCCGACGTGCAGCGATCTTTGGAATCGGCTTAGGCTTCTTCTGCACAGGCTCTTCCACAACCTTCGTCCTGATCTTGACAGGAGATTCTCTGGGCGCATCCTGGCTCTGTTTCTTCTCGGCTGGCGGTGCTGGCCGCTTGGGCGGTAAGCGGAGGACTCGCTCGACAGTTGCAGCTTTCGCTTTGGAGAATTTCAAAGTCACTATCTTGGACTTCTTTTTCTCTTCATCCGTGACTGGCGGCGCAGTGTAAGGTGACTTCCCACTGATGGACGCCGGCCGGATACGTTGCTCTAATTTCAACGTCTTACCCGCCACTTGCGGACGATGGTTTCCCTCCTCCTTTTCCTTTTCCTTTTCCTTCTGCCTCTGCTTATGCTTCTCCTTTTCCTTCTCCTTCTGCGCCTCCTTCTCCTTCTGCGCCTCCTTCTCCTTCTGCGCCTCCTTCTCCTTCTGCGCCTCCTTCGCCTTCTGCGCCTCCTTCGCCTTCTGCGCCTCCTTCGCCTTCTCCGTCTGCTTCTCCTTCTCCTTCGGCACAGCGAGTGTCTGGCTCTTAGGTTCTGTCGACGATACAGATGCACTCGAGACTGCGCGTGACCTGTGCTTCTCCAGTCTGTCCAACTCTGCTTGTATGCTCGAGGGAAGCGTCGGCGACAGGATATCCGGCAGTCCGTAGGGATTGTTCAAGGGCTCGTGTACAGGGGATATCATTGGCGGTAGACCGTGTGGTGTCAAGTTGGACGGACTCGATTTGTCAACAGGTCTGGAATCCTCATCCTCAATGCTCTTTGCGTCTGCGGCGGGCGGTCGTGGCGGCAGCGGATGACGGATGCTGCTCTTGCTCTCGGGATCTGCTTGGCGCTTGGTGCGCTCTTCTGTGGCGCGTCTGTGTCATGTTAGCTTTGCCGTGGCGCGCTGTTGCTGAGACGTACTGCTTCTGCGCCTTGCTCTCTAGAGGCTTCTGAGCGAGGACTGATTGCTTGTCAGGCGGTTTCGTGCCGTTGGTATGCGCCGTGGGCGGTTTCGTAGGCGGTAAACTGGGTGAGGCTAGCTTGGAGCCGGGAGTGGGTGTGAGGACGCCGTTCGCTTGCTTGTTCTTGTAGGCAGACAGACTGATCTTCTTCTTCGGCGCTTGACTGGCGGCGTTGGACGCTGGCGACGCCCGAGACCTGGGCCGCTCTGGTTCTAGCTCTGGCTCTGGCTCTGGCTCGTCGTCCTCTCCCGCCTGGAGCTCGAAACAGTCCTGGCATGGCTCGCGGTACAGATAGGTCCTGTACTGCATATGTTCCTCTTCGGGCTTCCAAAGATGCCCCAGCATCCACGCGTGGGCTTCTTGCTGGGAGTGATATCGATACGGATCCATGGATGGTGTGGATAGGATGTATGGGTTGTGTGGCACCACCGTCTTCGTGCGCTTGAAGATGCGGTCCAGCTCCTCCAGCTCCTCCTGGCCATCCCTCGAGAAGCTCTTGCGCTTCAACGAGCGCGTGGTGGGCACGTCAGGCGGGTCGGGGCCCGACATGGTGGTGGAGGGCGGTCGCAGCAAGTCAGAGTTTCGCAGGCGCAGCGAGCTTGTAGTCGCAGACACGCGGGTGTGTGCAGGGCAAGTGGATATTTCCCGGGTGACGTATCCGCAGCGCGTGGCTCATGGGCGAGCGGCGGGTCAGGGTCGATGCGCGGTGAAGGGTCGCTGGGCCGGTCGCTGGGCCGGTCGCGGGCGCGGGCGCGGGCGCGGGGCACGCGGCAGGGCAGGGCGCACAGTGGGCCGCTGTGAAGCGTGTCGGTAGTGACGCTGCAGGCAGCCGGCGGAGCGCGACGGCGTGGGTGAAGCGCAGCTGCAGACGGTACCAAAGAATTGCTGAGCGCTACCTCAGCCTCCGATGCGCTGTGTAGCTGAGACGGCCGCGACAGAAGCCAACCATCGCCCAGACGCAGGCCAGTAAGAGTCCGCGACGCGATTCCGGGGTGCTAGACGTCAGGTAGGGCGCTGTCAGAGGCGCGTCGCCGTGTGTGTCAGTGGTTGCTGCGATGGTGCTCTGCCTTGGCGCAGTGGACATGGCGCCCTCGTGCTAGTGGGTTCAAGCGCGCGGGTTCGGCTGGCAAGGTACGAAGTAGGTACAGCGAATTGGTGCTGGGCTGTCACACCTCGTTTTCGTGAGCACGTCACACGTCAATTCACGGCATGCAAACTCATCGTCTTTCTATACACCTCTCGTCAACGTTGCTGAGCATTCTTGCTCCCTGTTGTTGAGTGCCTCGAGCCCCATCTCCACCGCCCCGTTGTCACTTGAGGAACGTCCCGAGCCCAGATCTGCGCTAGGGGGCGTCTTCCCGGATCGTGATGCAATGCCTGACGAGCTCCGAAATCCATTCGTGCGCCGAATCGGTGTCAATCTCAAGACCCACATATCCATCTCAGTAATAATAATGCTGCTTGCATATGAGCGAGAGATCTGTCCATCTGTGTCTTGTACATGTGAATCTACCACCGAGTGGGGCTGCATGTGAAGGGGAGTCTGGCTCTAAGTTCGAAACGCCTGCACACTGCTCTTTTGGATCGCTCTTGAACTCTGCTTTTGGGATGCACAGATCCGTTACCATGATATTTGTCAGCCCTGATGGTTCGCACGCTGAGGAACTCTGTCATGCGCGTCACCTTCCTTGTGTCGCACAACTAGGTTGGGAACGAAACCTTGCTTCTCCGCACATTGGCTTCAACCAACCTTTGATCGAAACCGTGGCTGAACACCAGTTTGAGGTGCCCTAACTCGCACATGCATTGCGCATCGCTTGTAGACATAGCTCCTCGGTTGTAATCACAACTCCTCATCATCAGTCTCGTCATCATCGTCGTCTGCTGGAGGGGGCAGCGACGGTTTTCTGGCGGGACCTGTGCTGCGCGTGCCTGCCCTTCCAAACGGTAGGGCACGAGGTGGAGGCGGACCGTCACTTGACTGTGATGGGACAGCTTCTTTTGTGGGCTGTGCGACCATTGAACTCGACTTGAGCGTCTCAGATGACCCGCCTACTAGGCCGCTGTCAGAAGCTTCAGCCTCGGACTCCGTATCAGCATCGGACCGTTCTGGCGTGGCTGGCACAGAGGCGTCTTCGTCATCGTTCTGCGCCTCAGCTTTGGCCTTTTCGATCTCCACCTCGTCGCTGTCCGAGTTGTCCTCCGGTATCACCTTTGCAGCCCGTGCAGGCGCCTTGCGTTTCGAGGTTCGAGATGGACCTGCTTTGCGTGGGGTCTCCGCTCTGGTCGATTGCATAGCGAGAGCTGGAATCCAACAGGTCAGCTCATGAAGTCCTGCTCGAGCACATGTCCATACCTGTCGACTTGTCGACCTTGGCTGTAGCTAGCAGACGGCTCTGGTCTCTAATCTTCCTCTTCTTCTCGTTGAGCAGCTCCATGAACTGCTGCAGCATTGCTGTCTCTGCTTCATTCTTAGTTTTGATAAAGTCACCGAGCTGAGCATTGAGCTTGGCAATGGTCTCCTTTTCGCTGTCGATTCGCGCCTTTACTTCTGCCAGCTCTTGCAATGTCTTCGTATGGGCCTGGGCTGATGCTTGAGCCCACTCGAATGGGTTGAACTCGAACTCGTCATCCCTGGGCAATACGATCTCACCCCAAGTGACCTGCGTCATGTTAGATTGGGTTCAGCCGAGAAGGTCCTGTCTTGCCTTGATTCCTTGGACATCCTGCCGGATGGAGAGCTCGAGATTATCCTTCTTCAAGGTGCAGACCATGCGAGTACCTTCCAATAAATTGGCTTGGTCGGGCCGCAATTCTTTCTGGAGGAGAAAGTGAGCTAGGACGGCCTCCCACTCGGCGTTGGTGCCTTTGAACTTGTGTTTTAATTTTGGAAGCTGGCTTTGTTTGACTGCATCCATGTCAGCACAGCAACTGCGGCGGACGTGAGGGTCACCCTTACTCTGCACCACATATGGATTCTCGCCTTCACAGCCAACAAGTCGAACATCGAGTTCGTGAGCGCCCTGCTGCTGCACCTCGATGACCACGAGTTCGCCGCACCCGCTAGCTGGCTCGACAGGCACGATACAGCGATCCATGATTGATGCCGTATTAACCATTCACTAGCCTGCAAGGCTGCTCCAGAAGGTGAAGCGCAAGATAATGACGTGGTGGCGTGGTTCTAGTGACAGCCCCAACAGCGTGTAACAAAGCGCACAGGATGGTCCCTGTCAGGCCGACCCTGGGGTCGTTGACGGCCGCGAGAGATGAATGCAGGAGCACGAGGCGGATGTTTCACGTGGGCGTAGAGTCTATCGAAACAGCACCTGACGCCTGGGAAGAGCAGCCATCCGAAGTTAAATGCGCGTGCGCAGGTGAGAAGTGCGCGGCGTAGGACGGGTGCTGCCTGGACTCCGGAGGCTGCTGCGGCACGCCAGGCACACGACGCACGCAGAGTTTAGCACACGAACCAGGCCGTGTTTTGCGCACCAGCCTGGTCGGTATATAGACCCTGACGAAACTGACGTTGTTGTTGACGGCGCGCGTCCTCCCCGAAGCCCCAAACACTGGAGCCCAAACACTGCAGCCCTGACGGCTATAACCACGCGCACGCCCGCCCTGGATTTGCGGGGGAGTTGCACAAAAGAGTTCGCTGTGCGTTCTGCAGCTGGTGTTGTTTATTTGGGCATCCACAGCCACTCAGCGTGACGATTGACAGGGTTCACGCGCCGAGCTTGCACCGTCCTGGCCGCAGCGTGGGCCTCCAAGCGGGAAAGAGCGCCTCGCTTACGCACCCTGCAGCAGGAGCGACCGACCAGCACACCAACCTCCTCCACCCTACCCAAACCTGTCTTGCTACACCACAATCGACCTCGTCGCGATCTGCCGACCCACTCTGCAATGGCTGCTCCGAACCGCAGCTTTGCGGGGCGGATAGCCTCCATGAACTCGATGGTCTCCGGCATCGAGAACTGGGACGACGCCGACTTCGAGGACGGCGACGGCCTGCTGTTCAAGAACTCGACGGTGCACTCGCTGTCCTCGCGCCTGAGCGTGCGCTCCGAAAGCAACACGGGCGACGACGACTGGCAGGTGCTGCTGGCGCCCGACGACGACCTGGCCACGAACAAGGCCATCTTCTCGGCGAAGCAGGCCGGCATCCCCATCCCCACGAGCGTGCCCGCGTCGGCGCTGCTGGGCGGCAGCATCAAGCGTCTGGGCAGGCCGAATAACCACAAGAAGATCGAGCTCGACGACGACTGGGGCAACGACCTGGAGCTCCCGGACCCGGCCGCGGGCGGAGAGCTGAAGCTGAAGGCGCTCGTGCCACGAACGCTCGCCGACAGCGCCGACGACTTTGGCGACTTTGGCGACGACTGGGGCGAGGGCAGCCTGGGTATCCGCTTTGCAGGCACCAAGAGAGACCCCCGCGGCGGACGCAGCTCGACGGCCTCTGCCATGAGCCCGAGCATGGGGAGCTGCATGACGCTGGAGAGCGAAGACGACGACTTGGCCGGGCTCGAGCTGCCCACGGAGGCCATGGATTTCACCGCCCGCCTGAATAGACTGAAGGCAGCTGAACAGTCCGCACTTGCGCCCTCGCCGTTCCCTAACCAGCAGCAACGTGAACCGCCCCCCACATCCGTGCGCGCCGTGGTCCCTAGTGAGGACGTGCCCTTGGCTGCCGAGGAGTCCGTCCACCAGGAGCCCGCCGACGATGATTTTGAAGCAGACTTCGACCTGCCAGCCACATTCCCTCCCCTGGCACTGACCTCATCTCTTCCGCAGTCACCCGCAGTCACCCCTGTCACGTCGCCGCCGCTGAACAGTGAGGCGGCATCGTCGCCCCAGCCGCAGCTTCAGCCGGCCAACGAGGAAGAGGAGTTCATGGAAGGCCTCGATTTCGGTGCAGGGGAGGTCCTTGACACCAGGAAGCTCACGCTAAACCGTAACATTGTAGTGAAGAAAACAGCTTCCAAGCCAGCGACACCACCTGCTGCTCGACCTACCGCTTCCATCACCTTCACTGACAAGCCATCGTCGGGCTCCAGAATACCTCGACCACTAACCACGACTGCTGCTCGTACTAGGCTCACTCCCGTCTATGAGTCCGGCGCCCCAATGCATGGCAGCACTCGACCAATGCCCACAACTACTAGTGCGCAGTACCTCAAGGCAAAGCGCTCGGCGCCGTTGCTCAGGAATTCCAACTTCCAGCCCACTTCACGCTCGAGTGCACCCTTCCTGTCCGCCGGCAGCTCGACTGCCCAGTCACACCATGTTACTGCCAGAGGCTCACATGGCCAACTTCGACGCGACTCCGACCCGCGCCGGCCATTGTCGCCCTCAATGCGATCCCACTCGCGCATGTCTATTGGTGGTCAGATGGAGACACAGGCTTCCAGTCGCGCCACAGCTCGGCGAGACCTGGCTCCGTCTGCTCAAGGCCGTCACCCACCGCCACCAAAGAAGTTGACAAAGCCTCAACGAAAGCGCAATTTCGGCGATGGCCACGAACTTGACCTCTTCGACGACTTGCCAACATCTGCCACCAAGGAGAAGCAGTATGAGAAGACCCCACGCAACACTCCCAGCACAAAAACGCTTCGATCGCAGACTAGCACATCTCGCCTACCGATGCCAGACCGCATGGCCACACCGCTGCCACAAACACCCAAGAGCCCGCCCAAGACGGACAACACGCCACGATTTGCTCGAGACACTGCTGCTAGTAGGAATGCCCGTGAACAGCGTCTGGCAGGTACAAGGTCGCGAGGTGAAGGTCCCATCGCGCCTGCATCTCGGCCCGTCAGCTGGCAAGCACAAGTTGCTGCCCGCAGCCCACTCACGAGTCCGACTGCTCTTCGCAAGAAGAGTACGGGTCAGAAGCCCCAATTGATCAGGCAGATGACACAACCATACACACAAAGTAAGACACTCCAGCTGCATGTCTCGTCACCATCACTAACAGTCGCACAGCCGAAAAAGGAATGATCTACAATCCTTCCATGCAGCGCTGGGAAGGTAACGAGGACGTTCTCGTCTCGTTTTCCCAGCCGAACAACTCCACCACAACTCTTGCATTGACCACAGCAAGTACACCGACATTTGCGCCACCAGGCATGACGCACGGTCGCGCACACGACCGCTCGCAATCCATGTCACACAACCTACTGTCGTCGATCCACTCTAGGAACCTCTCGTCGCCACGTCTGATGAAGATGCCATCCAACCCGGCACCAGCACCTTCACCACCGCGTCCAGCGCTCATCTCGCAGATTTCAGCGCCTCGAGGTGTTCAATACGACGGTCGCATGGTCTTCGATCCTGTCAAGATGACGTGGCTCAAAGCTCCACGACACTCAACCGGTCCTACATCGCCAATGTCAGTCGGAGACCCAGACGACGAAGAAGATCCCTTCGCTGGTCTTGACGACTTGAAGGACAACGAGAGTGTCGTAGGTGGTAACAATAGCGGCGCAGGCGGCGCAGCTACCGGCGACGACCCAACATTTGTTGGCGAAGAGTTCGACGTTGGCCCCAGCTTCATCCGCAGACAACGCGAAGAAGAAGCTGTCTGGCGACGCCGAGTCGAAGGCTGGGTTGGCGGCATCCGCGACCCTGGCGAGCAGCATGGCGGATGGCGATGGGCGATCCGCGAGTTCGCGGCGAGCGCGTCGGCCGGTGCCATCGAAAACTACTAAACGCTTGCATACATGCGTTTCACCATACTTAACGACTTATGACTGCATTGCACATTTGGATATTGGGCATATACCCACCCGGCAAAAAGGCGTCTGGACAGTGTCCTGCTAGAGATATCCTCAGAGTGTTACGACGGGTGCTCGGATAGACGCCTCACTCTTCACGACGTATTTATGACTTATGATTGTGTTTCTTGCATGGAAGACGTGGGCTATGTCGCTCCAGATACAGGATTGTAGGTTTTGGACTTTGACATTTGCACGCGACGGGGCGTTCTGTTTAGCCTTCTGCAACGTAGTGCGACTAATACATAGGGATCTTGAAATACATAGGAATTTATTGCCACGAATGGACGATGCGTGCCTTGTGCTGGTGACGGTGCTGGTGCTGGTGCTGGTGCTGGTGAAGCCAGGTCCCGGGATCTGCCAAGACTCAGCTGAAACGGCGCAGGTGGGGCCCGTCTGCAAGCGCGTGCTTGACGCCCGAATGCAGGTCAGGTGGTATCAAGCCAACAGTCACACGTCACGGCCCAGCCCCGCTCGTCACCCTATATAATAACACCATGTCTCGGTCCAACGACCCAGGACACTACTTCCAGACCACGTACGCCGTGCCCTCAGACGCCTCGCGGCCCAACGCTAACGAGCCGCAGCTCCGCGCTCGAGGAGACGGCGCGCAAGGCAGCCAAATCGAAGAACGACCAGGGCAGCCCGTTCAAGCTGCCCTCTAAGATCCTCGCTGTCGTTGCAGACCCGCAGGATGCGAGCCAAGTCTACGTCGCCGAGGCCGCCGGCAACGTGAAGCGGATCAACCTCGAAGTCGGTCAGACCCCCGTCGAGCTCCCCCTGCCCCTCCACGCACACCACCTGCCCCGCAGAGCTGAGGCTGACCACACCCTCCGCAGACTAGGAAGGTAACCAAGACCTTCGCTGGCCCGGTAGCGCCCCTCACATCGCTCGCCGTCTCGCCGAGGACCGACACTGCCTACGCGGGATGCTGGGACAAGTCGGTGTGGTCGTGGACACTGTCGACAGGCAAGCTGGCACAGCGATTCCAGGGCCACAGCGACTTCGTCAAGGCCGTTCTGCCATTCACCTTGCAAGGCAAAGCGCTGCTCGTGTCTGCTTCGGCAGACGCAAGCATTATCGTGTGGGATGCGGCAACTGGCCAGAAGCTGCACACGCTGAAGGGACACACACGGGGGATTCTTGCACTCACGCTCGACACGACAGACTACGAGCCCAACAAAGATTCAGCCACAGTGTTCAGTGCTGGCAGCGACCGAGAGATCCGGCGTTGGAACATTGGCTTTGCCTCGGCCTCGGAGATCGAGCCGTCGCCAGTCATTGCGCACGAGACGAGCATCGACGCTGTACACTTCGACTCAGACGGAGACCTCTGGACTGCCTCTGCGGATAAAACCGCCAAGTGCCTTTCGAGGGGCAGAAACTGGGACGAAGACTCGGCGTTCGAGCATCCTGACTTTGTACGCGACGTGGCCGTTGACGAAGATGGAGGCTGGGTTGCTACCGCCTGCAGAGATGAGGAGGTCCGCGTATGGGAGAAAGGCAGTGGCAAGCTGCATCACACTTTCTCCGGACATTTCGAAGAGGTCACTGGACTGATCCTGCTGCCTGGTCAGAGACTTGTCAGTGTGAGTATCGACGCGACCGTTCGACAGTGGAGCCTGAAGGCACCTGAGCTGGCCAAGGCAGTCAAAGAGGCTGAGGATGAACACCTGGGTAAGACAAAGGAGAAGGAGCCCGAGAAGAAAGAGGGCGTCATGACCGCCGAGGAAGAAGCGGAATTGGCCGAACTCATGGAAGATAGCGACTAGCGACTAGACAACTTCGGCGAGCGGACTAGCCTTCGGATCGTACACTGCCAGCAACTCGCTGACACCTTCGATCGACGTCTTCTCCGGTCGCCATAAGTAACAACACGAAACGAGACGATGGGACGAGCACAAAAGTGCAAGGCTCTACCGACGTGTGGTCATCGCCGGACGTGGTAGGGTTGGTCCCAGCTCCTACAAGGAGACATTTGGTATCACCCCTCACCCTATGCTTTGCGCGCTCTGGTTCTGTTTACCGTGGTAACTAGCTGTGTGCTATTCGACGGACACCTTCGATTCTATTCGTAATTAAGGACCGCCCATCACTGACGTCCCCCTCACCTACTCCGCACCGATCGATCAGCAATGACAGCTGCGATCTTCATTCACCTTCGACGCACGGAAGCCCCCTTCACGTGAACCTGAGCCCAACGCTCAACACATCCTCGAAGATCTGCCTTGAACTCGGAATTTCTTTCGCGTAACGCGACGCTCTCTTTGCCGACTAACGCGCATCTTGTCCTATAATTAACACCCTCCCTTGTCCTCCATTCCACCACACCGCGATTACGTCACCTGTGGCTACCGTCCGAATCACAATAGGCCATGGCTCGTACCGCATGATCCCTTGTCCCTGATGGAGTAACGCGAAGACGCCCACCTCGAAGAAGACCTTTCAATGCAGGGTTATTCACCCCATCACCTGTGCGGTCTTTTCAGACCTGCGAGCGTGGGAGAAGCCAGCAGATGTTGAGCTAAGCTCAGACAGGCAGCAATGCCCTTGGCACATTGCATGGAAGCACTCTTCTACGACGGCTGCGGCCATGAAAATGTAGGGAACTCGAGGGCTCGTTCGTACCTGACTGGAGTGCAGAGTGTGAAATGGGGCACGTTTGCACCTCACACGTCGACAATATGAACCTAACGGCTACAACTGGATCCGGTGACAGCAGCTTTGCTGGGCAACCAAATGATCAATGTTCGAATTTCTGAAAGACCAACGAGATGTAACAAACGCAACTTGGGCTTCGGACACAAAACAATCTGTATGGCTACTCTTGCCTACAAAAGCAGGACGCCGCGCATTTGCACCGCACATCGCGAGGCAGCTGAACAGCAGCAGATTGCCACTCTGGCTACAACCAGTACGGCTAACGGGTTCATGGTATGTGTCACCCACCTATATGGACCCCACCAAAAGAGCTGGTATGGTGGGATGGCACGCCCGTGAGTCGCGGACCACGCTGCTACTGGTCCCAAGCGCACCACGAAACTAACCCCCTCACCTTCGTGGGTGCTTTGGATCGGTTGACGCGTCCCCGACTCAAATTACTACGATCGGCCGATAGTGCTGCGACAACAGCAGTGTCGGCCGCTCGTCCACACCTTGCATTGCATATGCCTCCGGGGAGCGAGAGGGCCTGTCTTCCAGGGGGTAGCTCCCACCACCAGTAACTCTCTTGCCAGAGAGGAGCGTGTGGCAGACGCCTGCGACATTGAGACTCGTCACGAGACTCTGACAGGCCTCACGGTCCATGGCAAATTGGAAGCAGTGACTCCTTGCTCCGAGGTGTGAGCCTCGGGTCTTTGACTCGGGGCACACTCGCGTACACGCGTGAGAGCTTTCGCTCCGCTTTGGTCTTCTGTTGACTTCTCTCGACCTTCATTTTGCTTCATTCCTCGGCTTGAGACGAGGATCTCCTCAGCGCTCGCCCTTGACGATCCCGCACGAAGAACCCGCACGATAGGGACTATGTCCCCACCACCGGTGTCTCTCTTCTCAGAGAGAAGCGCGTGGTAGATGCCTGCGATATTGAGCCTGCTTGCGGGCTCTGACAGACCGTATGGTCCATGGCACGCTGTCTACAGGTACCTTCTTGCTCGTTCCACTTATTCCTTGGCTTCGCCTTCGTTTCCAGCATGGATTATACTGTGTCCAGATCGAGTCCTCCGCTAGAGCACCCGCTCGCGCCCGTCCATTTCGTCGATTGTTCGAGGAGCTCGCAAGTAGGGTTGCCCGAAGGTTGAGCCCATTGGGTTTAACCTGCAGGGTTTCCCGCCACCAGTGTCCGCCTTGTCAGGCGGAAGCGAGTGGACGATGCCAACAGACATGGAGTTCTAACCCTTACAGAGAGCTTTGCTCGACAGCAGGGTCGGGACTCTGACAGACCGCAAGGTCCCTGGCAAACGACTCGCGAGCGCCCTCCGGCCCCGTGTCTCGAGCCCGAAGCTGTCCTAAGTGCCGCTTCTGGCTTGAGACACTTCGATTCGTTCCTGCGGTCCCTTGTCCGAGCTTGTCTCGTCCATTATGACTAGATGTAGTCTGTTTGCTGGCACGTGTACGTATACACATGCTGTTTGTTCCTCGTTGCTACCGGTGCTGTTGGCTGCAGCGTGGCAGGTGCTTAGCTTGTCTGGAGAAAGTGGGTCGGCTGCTGCTTGCGCAGCTGCTGGTGACCGCAAGAGGTGGACGGGCGGTACAAGTCGCACCCTGCGCCTCCTCGTGGTGCCGCCTGGATAGTCGACTGCTCTCTGTAGCGGGAGCGGGAGATGAACCAAATGCAGGGTACGCAATGCGGTGAGTGAGTACATGTCGAATGTATTGATCTGTTGCTTGTATTTTCAGACATACGCACAATCTCTCGCACGTCGATAGCCAATACAACGAATCCTCTTTTATTCAACTTGCTTGCTCGCCCCTCTCTCCCGTCTCAAATCCCCATCTCCCCGTCGTCTGATATTCCCTTTCCTTTCACCTCCCCACGCCGCCGCACTCCCCTTTGCCCACCCCTCTCTTCTCGCCAAACACAAACAATCACCACCTGACGGCTCCACACTCGCACACAATGGCACCGCACAAGCACGACGCGCTCTGCGCGCATCTACACGCCAAACTCCAGCGCTTCGGCGAGGCGAATCCAGGGAGGATGGCGGATTCTGAGGAGCAGTCAAAAGAGCAGTCGCAGCAGTCAAAAGAGCAGTCGCAGCAGTCAAAAGAGCAGTCGCAGCAGTCAAAAGAGCAGTCGCAGCAGTCAAAA